TTTCGGGGGTTCGAGGCGAGCCCCGAAAAAGGGCCCCTTCACATATATGACATAAAAAAGTAGCGCAAATAAAATATATAAAATTAACATTAAAGCTTCTATAACTAATTAATATTCAAATAAACATTAATCTTCTTGAATTCTTAGACGCAAAATCGTCTTATGGGGGCCCTGGACCTTGATGGGCCCTAAGCGGCCGCCTAGTCTGCCTAGGCCTAGGGCCGGCCCTGATGAGAAGTTTGCCTAGGGATTTTAAAGTTAATTGAAAGGGGGTGCTAAAAGGAACTTCACCCAATTCTTCTTCAACTTTCAATCATTCACTAATGCCCATCATTCTTGAAATTATATAGTATTATATTGTAATATTAATTGCAAGGTAATCTTAAAATCAAATCAGTATTTTATAGAAAGCTTGAAAATTCAGCGCTATTATTTTATATAATGAGAAACATTTAACGGCAATAGGAACATAGGAAATATCAATCCATTGAAAAATGTATAGATTTTTGTAAATGGCAGGGAAACGTAGGGTTTTCAGAGAGTTTCAATTTCAATATCCATATTGAAATACGAAATTTTCAGTAAACACGCGTGTTGTGCATAGAAATCAAAAACACCGGTGCTGATATCGGCTTGTTATAAATCAATATCGTGATACGGAGCGGTACAGCGCGGCCTTTATTATATATATTTGTCACGTTACCGCCCACAAATATCCGGCAACTTGCCATTATTCTCTGTTCTATTCAGTGATACTAAGCCGACGAACTAAACGCTTTTTGCGTTTATGTCATTGAATTTTTGTTGAAATCATTCTGCAAACAAGGATGATCGGTTAGCATTCGGACGGATAGGCTCGGCTGTTTTTCCGAAAATCTATCAAATCCGATTTGGCTGAAATTTTGCAAATAGCTTCATTTTGCATAAAAACAATGTTTGCGAGAAGGATTTTTGACAATTCGAAAAAAATTTTTTTATTTTATAATATTATTTCTTACATTACCGATGTACCTCAAAAAACAAAATAGGTTAGGTTATGCTATATTTTATGGAGTGGGGGCGATGGGGTATACCGAGCTTTCTTTAGGACGTTCTACGATTTTCTTCTGTTTAGATTGTTGATACGTGAAATATTTATGTTGTATTCAGCCTTTACATGTTTTATATTTTTTATCTGGAAATTAATTATATTAACTTATCTTCACTTGCTAAAAAGCTAAGTAATCATGAAGCGGTATACAGAATACCGTTGTAATCTTATTCTACGCGGCGTCGGTAATGCAGGAAACTACATTAAAATGGTAAAACGTTTTTCGCAAAATTATGAGTCTTAACCTTCGAGTCGCCGAAAATCCTTCTCGCAAATATTGTTTTTATACAAAATGAAGCTATTTGCGAAATTTCAGCCAAATCAGGTTCGACAGATTTTCGTCAATTTCGCCATGGGTTCTTTTGTTTTGTACATTTTGCGTATTTTATTTTCCCAGCTGGGTGAAAAATGACCGCAAGTCCGCAGGCGCGAGGATTAAGGCAATATTTTCAAGCTACTCGCGCGATGTAAATGTAGCGAAAGGAGTTGTACATACACACGAAGAGATAAAAGCTGAAAACATTTCCTGAAACTGTAACGCCCACATCTTCGAGGCTATCACTGACAGTAGATCACCGCGAAATATCACGGCCTTCTCCGTTGACGTCTGACGAGCATAGAATCTCTAACACGGCCTTTCAGAGCGAGCCATGTGCACAAGTTCAACGGGAAGCGAGACAATGGGGGACAGAACGGAAAAGAAAAGACGCCGTCGTCAGGCGTACGCAGCAGCTCTGTCGCGTCATTTTTATATTGTCCCTCGAAAACAACCCCCCGAGCTACCACGGCCTGGAAACGTTTCATTCGGCTCAACATTTCACAACCTATTATTTCGCATTATTATCTGTCGCGTTTACGCTTTATTAAGTCCGTCCCGTTTCGACCGGCTTCACGCTTCGCCGTTATAACGCGTGGTTCATGGTTTGGCTAAAATTGATCACATAAAAGTATCGTGCAATAGTACTTAAACCTTTAAGCAGGGGTGGCTAACACGAGGTCCACGGGCCGCATGCGGCCCGTGGTACATATCACCAAAGGAATATTGCATCATGAGCGTCGATGTGGTCGAAGCTGTAGCTTGCTTGCTTGCTTTAATTAACAAAAAAAAAATTAGGTGCGTGACCCGGCAAGAAATATTAGTTCTGAAATTTGGCCCATCCTGCTGAAAAGGTTGGCCATCCCTGGCTTAAAGTTTAATAAAAAAGGTTAAACTTTTGGATTCCAAGGACGTAAAATTATTACCCTTTTTTTTGTCCTTTAATAGTTGTTGACGCTTAGAATCCAAAAATATAGGTCGTAGATTTATGAAATTAGCGGTTCAAAAGTTATGGGTATGTAAAGTTTCGCGTTTTTAGGTTATTTTACACGTTACTTTGACGCCATGTTGCTTCCATCTATCATTTGATTGGCCCGCAAAGCTGAGGATCTACATATCAGTATGACCACCCTCATATTTTAAAGAGGGTCCTTTGAATGAAATTATTTCAACAATATTCTGATTTCATATATTGGATTTAAATATATAGCCTAACCTAACCTGATACGTGTGAAACAAATTCAAATGAATCATTCGATTTGTCCCGCCAAAATGGCCGCCGAATGCTCATCTGTGCGGGCCAATCAAATGATAGATGGAAGCAACATGGCGTCAAAGTAACGTGTAAAATAACCTAAAAACGCGAAACTTTACATACCCATAACTTTTGAACCGCTAATTTCCTAAAGCTACGACATATATTTTTGGATTCTACGGGTCGAAAACTATTAACCTATAAATAAAGAATGTAATTATTTTACATTCTTGGAGTCCAAGTTCAGCCATAAAAAGACTGCATAAATATTTCATGAATACTTTTACTACTAAATGGCTAGTAGTAAATTGCAGCAAACATTGCATGAATTGATGAAAAAACACATACACCGTATCAATTTAAGGCTTAAAGAACTCGGTGAATGAATGTTGGTCGAAAATGCGAGGGAATAGTGGTAGGATGATAGTCGAGGAAAAATAAAGCAGTAATGGTTCTGTAAATGTGGTCAAACGTGGTGGTAACGAGGAATAAAACTGTCGCCAGACCACAGGAGCAAGTGGCTCGCGGACAAGTTTATTTAAATCCCACTAATGACGTCATTAAAATAGTAAACGACGTCGTTTAGGGGGTGGACTGTAAGCGAGGTTTGCAACACTGCTCTCCAACGAACGGAAACGTTGAGAAACTTTTTCTTCACCTCCTCTGGTTACGTTGTTCTATCAGTAAATTTCATCGAAATTTCGTTTCTTTCCCTCTATTTTGTTTAATTAACATTCCACCAAGCTCTTGAATTTCTTTTCAATGATGAAAGGAGTAGAAGGGACAATGTTTAGGATTTTGAGACTTACAATTAATATTGTTTTAGGCTCTACGATATCAGGGTAAAGACAGATTCTAAGAGAGATCTATTCACAATGGCATAATCAATAACTGAATACGAACCAGGAGGGGTATTCTTATCCATAACCACTCGACCATCGACAGATTATTTCTTTAGAAGTGATTTTTATTCTTGGACCTAGGAATCCTGGAAATGGATTGTAGTACAACCGACAGATGCTAAATATAGATATGACCTGACTGGTCGGTTGCTAAATCATTCAATAGCGACCCAAATTTCTAACGTACTCCATCATGTAGAAAAATTTCTCAAATTCAATCTATACTTAGTTTTCAATTTGAATACCACTTTTGTGTATTTCATAGAAGTTTCATTTGATGTTACAAAAACAAAAGAAAAAAAACTGTCCACAAACGCATAAAGAACACGTGGTCCTTTCACAGCTTTTTTCACAGTTTGGCTCGTTAATTGGCCGACATTCATGAATAATTGGCTTGCTAAATATTTCAAAAGGTTCCGTCGCTTTCCTTTTAGCCACAGCCCCCTTCTTTCACCATAAAACAGTAAAGGAAATGATCAATGGACGATTTTTAAATTCTATCAGATTATACTGTTCTTCTTACAAATAATCATCCATTAGTTGCAGAAATGATTATACGCAGTGGGTAAAAATGACCCAGGGTTCCTAGTGCAGTGGTTGTTAAAGGAAACTTTTGCATAGGGCTAATATTTAATGAAAAACGAGGAAGGGTACATCCAAGATCCACGAGTTCATCACCAGGGACACAACTGGCCTGGTGAGGCAGTCGGAATGAGACAATGGGGGTAGCTTTTTCAAAGGGAAACGCAAAAGAATGGAGAAAAAGGGAGGAAAGTTGGACGAGAGAGTAATATGCAGAAGGTCTCGACCATCCTTTGATTTTAATGGATCGGCCAATGAACGAAGAAGAAGACCCCTTCCGTTATAACACGTTAATGAATAGCCGTCTATCTTAACGCGACTCTAATGCGAAATCAATATCTAATTATCTCTCAACTGGCCTCCGTGAGCCTTTCTGTCCTTTTCATTTGCCCTCGCTGCTGGTCGATGATCATCAAGAAAGAAAAATTGTCTACACTTATAAAAAAAAAAAAAAAAAAAAAATTGTAAAACTCTTCTATATATTTTTTTTATAATTAATATGATCAATGTGTATTGGGGATGTGCAGGTACCCGATATTCCGGCCTTGGCGGGCTCGGAAAAAATCGGGTGGGTTCGGAAAAAATGGAGTGGGCTCGAAAAAAATCGGGTGGGCTCGGAAAAAATCGGGTGGGCTCGGAAAAAATCGGGCGCGCTCAGGCGGATGTCCAATACATGCGTGCAGTAGGGTAGCCCGACTATTTCGGGTCAGGTCGGATAAAGTCGGGCAGACTCGGACAAGCTCCCGCGGGCCGCGGTCCGCGACCCAACTCTCAAGTACATAAGAATTAGGCCGCGGCTCGCGGCCCGCGGGAGCTCGTCCGAATCTGCCCGACTTTATCCGACCTGACCCGAAACAGTTGGGCTACTCGACTGCACGTATGTATCGGACACCCGCCCGAGCCCGCCCGATGTTTTCCGAACCGACCCGAATAGTCGGGCCGCACATCACTAATGTGTATGCAATATTGACATCAATTGGATTTGTTTTTAGGTTATAAAAAGTTAAATGGAGAGAGGATAAAGGTCTGCTACTTTAGAGGCAGCCTGTAGGATACAGATAGTCCCCTATGTCGATGGCTGCGACCCTTCATCGGTTTAGCATCGGCACGAAAAGTATGCGTGCATACAAAGCATTCGATCGGCTGCACAGCCTCGACACACACTCGAGAGAAAGCAACCGGCTGGCTGGGGGGAGTATGTGACGCCGTCCTTAAACGGCCTTCCGCCACCCCTTGCTTTCCGGGTCACCCGTTACCCTGACAAGGGAGGTTTCATAATTGAGGACTAATTGTCGCGTTAGGGCTCGAACGAAAAGAGAAGAGCAGAGTGGAAAAAGAGCAGAGCCAGGGAGATCCAACTGTGGGGTAGATCAATGACCAAGTTTTCCTCACTTTTCTCTCCTTTAGAGGTCGAATTCTTCGAGTTAAAATTGTGGAAGATAATAAAAAAGTGAAATAGAAAGGAGAAGCAGCTGTAGGTCAAATCCAAATTCTTTTTTTACTTTGAACGTAGAATTCTTCAAACTGAAACACAAAACACTTATTACATTTATCTGTTACATAGTCCTTTTCCTTTTGTAGGTGTTCAAATGAAAAGCTTGATAAATTATCCAAATCACAGATGAAATATGATAAGGAATAGTGGATTTATGAAGTAGGATCTTGAAACTCTTTTTGTGACGGTGAGGAGAGTGCTGATTAGAAAGCGTCAAGTCAGGAAGCTGAAGGTGAGAACGATTTCCTCGTGAGCTCCATTAATTATTGCTGGCTCAACAGCGTCTCGCGTTACTGCTGGCAAATCACTCTCCCTCCAATAGAAAAAAAGAAAGAAAAACAGTGGAATATTTTTTTAATCCCGATAAAATGTCAGTACATTTACGGTACATCGATGCCCCATGAATCAATTTCAATAATTGGAAAAAAGATATCTCTGTCTTCGCAATTTAATTTCACTGGAGGAAATAGAAAAGTTAACTCTCCTTGATCAGTTTTTCATTTCCATCAGCAAACATTAATTACCAAGTATTCTAACAAAAAATATCCATTTCAGATCGGTAAAACAATAACCCAATTTCGCAAAACACCCTCTGCCTTGACACTCGAAATACCCTAAAAAGCAGCTCCAATAATTTCACAAAAAAAAAAAAAAAAAAAAAAAATAAATAAAAAATAAAAGAGGAATACAAAGGAGACATGAGGCATGGACACGGAAGGAAGGGTGAAACGGGGTGAGCTAGGGGAATGGAGGGTAAAAAATGGGGCGAAAAACGGCGGAAAGGGTTGGAGATGTCGGACGAAAACGGAAGTCCCTTTGATTTTCAGGCGAGCCGCAATTATCCCTCTCGCACCGTTCCATATACCGGAACTGGAGCAGTCGGATCGTTACGATGCCTTTTCTCTCCCTCCTTTCTTTTCGTGCCTAACCCTCCTGTAGATAGCGGCAGCCCTCGTGGCCGTGGCTCACCACGAAAAACGCATGAAAAGATCCCACGGGAGTGTGTAGGATAGAGGGATGCATCGAGCCCGAGGACACGCGAGGAGTCAAAAGGAGGGTTGGAAAAGAGGAGAGGGCTGGTGGGATCGGTGCTAGCAATCGCGGAGACAATGCAACCGAGCTGAATGAGAGAGAAGAGTTAGGAGGTAGAGGAGGGAGAGGTTCCTCGCTAACTTCTTGTTTGCCGAGGATGACACCGGCGGCTGTGCGGATTCGGTCTCATTAAAAATCATTCGCCAGGAGCATTTTCAAAGCTGATTCGGTGGAAGGCCACGGTTAATCACCCGAGGAGCAGGCACTCGAAACGCCTTTTATCGCTCGCTTTACGCAGCATCACCCTTTGTCCTCGCGCGATCGCTTCTTCCCTTTTTTTTTTATAACTTCGTTTGTCGGATCGCTGGAAATTTTCTTCTCGCCGACTCCGACAAGCTAGTTTAGAAGATTGATCTTTCTTTCAACCCTTTAAAACCACTTTTGCCATTTTAACCGATATGTATTCGGAATTATTTAATTAGCACCAATTATTGATGGATGATTCCTTTTTTCATATATATGTTACGGTAAATGTGATTAATCCGGTGATTATGTGTAATTGTCGGTTATTATATATAATCACCATTAAATTTGGTAAATGTGATAAATTAATGAATATTTAACAAATTAACCGGCGAGTGTATATAATTCCCAACTCGTAATGGCGAATGTGATAAAAGTCCATAACTTTAACAAAATTCGTCCAGTTTACTAAGGTTTGTAAAAATTAAGATGGAAATGTCCATTACAACTCAATTAAAAGTGAATATTATTGATGTATTAGGTTAGGTAAAGCGGCTTCACCTAACCTATAACATCTATGTGTGGTTTTAATAATAATAAGAGGAAAATAATAATATAATAATAATAATAACCAAGAAGAGAAAGTCGAATGCTGCAGTACCGAGAAATAGAATAGCACGAGGTAAGTTTCTACTATTCAATGATTCTTGGTTATGACTGTACCGACCCCTGGTGACCTGACGTTCAGTCGTCGGTGCTGGGCAGGTTGCAGGTTTTAGGCGCTTTTTACTCGAATTTGGAAACGTTAATTACTGGAAAACAAAACCGCAAACGCTATTTCGCCATTCTTCGAAAAGGAAGAGGTTACTCAATTGGATCAGTATATATATATATATATATTTTTCTCTGTGTGTGTTCACCGATTACTCCAAGATGGATGGACCAATCAGAACGAAACCTTTTGCATCTTGTAGAGTATGTCTTCCGGTTGGTCCCATTAAAAAAAAATTTTTTTTGATCCCTAGAATCACCCCTTAAAAAATCCCCCACCTGTTGTCGAACATCCTGTTGTTACGTCCGGATTGTTTTCAAGAATCCGACGTGGCTAACATCTATTTTCATTTTCTTTCTGATAGTGTTGAATAGTTTAACCGTTTAATATACTGAATATGTGTACCTCATCGGTGCGCAGCACTTGGAGATAATCCCAGGCGAGGCACACAAAGAAGGCTATAATTAGTTCTTTTCAAACAATAAGAAGTTAACCTTCCTTGGAACGATTGCCTTGTCGAAACCGTGTAGCAATAAACACATAGAAATTCGAAATCGCTAAGGTTAAGGAGAGGTACTATCAACATCTTTCGCCACGCGGTTAAGCAGTGCGACGCACTTGGAAGTTTCCCAGCTTAACCGCGCGGAATAAGGGAAATACGATTTTTGTTTCACCTCGCAAACGAAATACCTCTCCTACCTCCAAAGCATGCGTCAGCCGGTCCTTCCACCAAAGAATGAATGCGATTAAGAACGAAAGTGATTGGAATCGAACGGAATGAAACTGTTTGAATGATTATGAAATGCGAGGGTTTGCGTGACAACCGCTGTAGTTTGAAATTGTCGACCGACGTTCAAGAACGTTCGAGACAAGAGGTCGACTAAGGCAATAAACATCGGCAACGAACATCTGGGAAACGTTAAACGTAAAACGTTTCAAATATATGTATATCGTTAATAATTAACACGCGAGTCTACTGTTAGATAAATGCAACAAACCATATGCATAGATCCGCGATTTAACGATAACAATAAAATATCGATTGCCTTATTACGTAAACCGCCGAAACGCGAATAAGGAACGGAATAATTAACAGTATTCAACTAATAGTCGTTCAATACAGTAAATCAAACATCTATTATAAAACGTAGACCTCCTTCGATACTGGAAACGTCATTTATAAAAGCCTCTTTGATTAACGAATTCAAATAAAACCAAGTCGTAATACATTTCGAACATTCCAGAAGTATTAGGATTGCGACGCACGAATTTCGCAGAATAGAGGGGTAGAAAGAAATAGACAACGCTAGACAAAGGCAACGTGAAAGGTCAAGAAGGGATGAGAACTCGGGAAACGCGCCTAGACCAACCTATACGCGCGGGCCTTCCCCTTCGACACGTATCCTGATTTGCCAAATGATGTCCCTACTTTGGGGTACCGATCGCGGGTCGAACCCTGAGACACGATCGCTTGACTGAGGCAAATCACTCTTCGTCGAAAAATCGTGAGGTACTTGACGGGGAGACCGTGTTCGCGTTAGAGACAGAGTTGTCGCGGAAAATATCGTAATTAGCTGCTCGGCAAAGTTCCTTCGCGTAGCAAGGCAGAGTGTCGAGATTGTGCGATTCGTGTTTCTCGCGGCAAGGACTCATACGGATACGTTAAATTTCATACTTTTCAATTAACTATCTTTTTCTTTCGTTTTTAAATCGTTCGCTAATTAATATTTATGTTTTCCGCGTCGCGTCGCTTTTGAAGTCAGTTTTCGTACCGCTTCGTAAATAATCGTTTTCCGTAACAGTAAAACCGTAATAAAGGGCCGATCGCGAACGCGTTGTGCAAGTGATCATCTTTTCTTCGCCTTCCAGATTTCTAGACAACACCAGCGACCACTAAGCGAATCCAAAATCTTATCATATATTATATTACATCGAGCTTGGTAAGTTGTCCATTTCATTTCTATTCAATACGACGAATCTGGATTTAATGAGGCAAAACGGGCGATCTACGGAACCGCGTGTTCTGGAAAATTTCCCACTGGATCGTTCCTTTAAACACTGCGATTTAAGGTATCGAAACATTAATATTTCCAAATAAAATTCCGATCGCACTCAAAGAAGACAGCCCCACGAAACCGTGGTTTTGGTAGTATCCCCCTGGGACCGTTCTCTCTTTTTCGCGTACTAATTGTTCACCGAACATCGTCGCTCGAACCATCAAATCAAAAATTTAACTAATCGAAAATTCAATAGATTTCATTTTTATATAATTTTATACTTTTCTTGACATCATATATTTCATTCATTTCTTTTGTATTTCAAGCAGCTCGTATTTCCTGTCAACTAACCATTTTATTGTTATGCTTATTTTTCCAAAATTATATTTTTGTTACACATAACCAGTTTCTAATTCATTTGCGTTTCAAACACACTTGTTGGATTCCAAGGAATTAAACAACACGTAGAGAATACTCTTACTTAGAAACGTTTATTATGAAATGCGCACTCGACTAGTAGGTACTGAAATCTGCCCTGGTAAAGCTCTGTAAGCTTTTTATATACTATTGGTGGAAACTGGATAGTGGTAGGGATGATGGTTAAGGAACAGTGTGACTATGGAAAGGTACAAAGTGCAGGATGAGTGAGGAATAGGGACGATGGTCAGGGTACGAAGTGCAAGATGAATCAGGAATAGGGGTGATGTCAAGGAACAGTGTGACTAAGGAAAGGAATGAAATGCAGGATGAGTAAAGGTTAGGAGTCATGGTTAGAATGTTTGGCTGAGGATGAATCTATAGTGTTTGTGTTGCGATTAGTGGCGTTGGTTATCCAACACACTTCCTTCCTTCACGTTCACGCTTACCATCTTCGCACAAATTCATATGAGGGGCCCGTATGGGACCAGAGCATTGACGAACTCAATTAATCTATCAATTAATCGTACTAATTCTTTTTATTGTTCTAATCGTGAGTGATCCAACGTCGTCACAAGCGATTAGGACTGGTGGCAGCGCTAATACCGTTCTCAACCGTGTATTAACCACTCAGAAAGTAAAGAAATTTATCTTTTAGCGCCGTACCTCGCTCGCGACGTAACACTGTATAACAACCGGCAATTATAAATACGTAATCACCAGTTTATTACATTTACTGTAACATATATAATATATTTTTCAAACGAATGTCCCCCAGCTTCCGTTCAGAGAAAAGAGGAGTGGAGAATCGACGCGTCGACTCGGTGTGGGGGATTATTGTTTTCGAATAAAAATTTTTCTATAAAATCGAGCGGAAAAGGGATGTAGTCCGCGCGACGAGCGGAAAAATATCGGTGACAGCAATCGCCGAAACAATCCATGCGAGAAGAATGAGTCTCGAGTGTACCTCTCGATTCCATGTGTAAACCCTTCTCCATAAATCGTTCCGTGTGACTAGGAACAGAGGCTCGGGTACTGCACGATTAATTTTTAAAGATCGCTTTTAAATTGTTTTATCTCTCCGAAGATTCCAGGTAAGCATTCGAGCCGAATCGAGAGGTTTCTTCTGAATTTATTGGCCAATTTTGATTATTTTCTTCCAATTGAAATCCACCATGCTCGATACTTGCCAAACATTTTCCAAGTTCCATTGAAACATCGCTAAAGAATCATCTTGAAATTTGCAGATAGACTGATTAAATCCACATTTCCATCAAGTTCTATAATGCGAAAAGGAAGAACAAGTATGAAGTGGCAGGAATAATCTGATACAGGCTCCAGTATGCTTGGACATTGCATGGATTTCTCTGCTTATTGTAAATGGGCCAGATATTCGGCTTTGAAGAGAGCTCTGCAAGCGCTTCATTTCAAGCTCTTTGCTATGTATGTATGTGTGTTGATGCAGCAGCAATGATGTGTCCGATATCTTTGATATGCATGGTAAAAAGCGATGCTATGGGTCAATCGAGCGACGAGCATGTAAAATGAAGAAACAAGAGAAAAAATACATGAATTCCAGAGGATTTTTAGCTGTGAAACATGCACGTTATTTCCATCAGAAATAGAATCTCTGTAGAGAGTTAAATATTCACTCTTCGTCATTACTTTTTTTCTATTAACGCATAAAATTACTGAAGAATTCTGAGAGAATCCAGGAACAAGGAAAACTTGTGATGCAGCCAGATGTGTATAACAGATTGATAAATTGAAAGGTTGTACAGAAATAGTTCAGAAAGTATCGATGCACCTGCTAATTGGACCAGAAAATTCTTTGCTTAATCCTTGACCGATTCTTGGCGACACGACTTTTCCTGTACACCGGCTAAGGCAATCCTTTCACGCGAGTTATTGGAAAAGTTGGAGCAGCAAGGCTCCTATTGGAGGCCAGACACGGTGTGCATTTTTATGCGAGCGGGAGCAACAACCTTTTGTAGTCGAAAAAGCCCGCCGTGAAATATCATTATACCGTGGCGAGCGAATATTCACTAGGATATATTTGCCCACAGCCCCCGACGTTTTCTGGTTTGTCAACGTCACGTCGTTTTGATTGCTACTTTCCCTGTACTTGGCTACCTGGAAAGCTCTGCAACCGAGAATACGGATCCTGTTTGAAAGAAACTTCTTCCGCTTTCAGGGCCCAGCAATGTTTAATTAACTTTCCACTTTGCTCTCCAAATGGAAATTATTTCTTATGCAAGCTTCAATAAATGAAGTTGCAATTTAACACTCTCCTGCACAGACAATTAAATCCCAAAGTATGTTTTTCATTAAAAGCTACACAATTTTGGGAACAGCTATGAAACGAGGCATGCATGATAGTTTTCAACGAGCTGCAACTTTTACCCCGGCTCCACGTAAATTAATTTTCATTTAATTTCTACAAACTTCTATTAAAATTCATCGTTGCACTGTAGGATGCAGGCGGAAAAATTATGGGCGTTTCGTCTCGGGAACCGTCCACTAGACTTGTCGGTGGGGCTGACGTGGACAGTCCCTGCCCCAGACGCCTGGGTTCTATATTCTTAGATCTGATATATACAAGGCCCGTGATGGACCGCTTGTCAGAAAGGATGAAGTTACACGCGCGACACTTCACGGCCATCACAGGAAAGGCCCAGGGCGCCAGGGACGCCAGATGTGGGGGGGTCCTGGTGTGTTCCTCAGAGGTCCCGGGGCCCTCCCTATAGTCCCAGTGCGGGTCACTGTGGGGGGTTTTAGCGGGTAAAAGTCCCGCACTACCTCCGGCCCCTCCCTAGGGGGATGGAGGTGTCTTTGGAAGATTTCTCTCACGTAAATCAAAAAGGGGTGCCGGGATATCGACAAAGCCCGTGATGGAGCACTTGCGAGAAAGGATAGAGTCACACGCGCAACACCTTACGGCCATCACAGGAAAGGCCCAGGGCACCGGGGTGGCGGGGTTCTTGGTGTGTTCTTCAGAAGTCTCGGGGCCCTCCCTATAGCCCCAGTGCGGGTCACTGTGGGGGGTTTTAGCGGGTAAAAGTCCCGCACTACTTCCGGCCCCTCCCTAGGGGAATGGAGGTGTCTTTGGAAGATTTCCCCCACGTAAAAAAAAGGTGGGTGCCGGGATATCGACAAGGCCCGTGATGGAGCACTTGCGAGAAACGATAGAGTTACACGCGCGACACCTTACGGCCATCACAGGGAAGGCCTAGGGCGCAGGGAGTGGCGGGGTTCTCGGTGTGTTCTTCAGACGTCTCGGGGCCCTCCCTATAGCCCCAGTGCGAGTCACTGTGGGGGGTTTTAGCGGGTAAAAGTCCCGCACTACTTCCGGCCCCTTCCTAGGAGAATGGAGGTGTCTTTGGAAGATTTCTCCCACGTAAAAAAAAGGTGGGTGCCGGGATATCGACAAGGCCCGTGATGGAGCACTTACGAGAAAGGATGGAGTTACATGCGCAACACCTTGCGGCGGCCATCAGGAATAAGGCGCCTATGGCACCATGCTCCGCTTATAACCCCCACAGTACCATGATTGTTGTAACCATTGTGCCGTATATCTTCCGATAGATGGAAGCGCATTAATTTAAAAAAAAAAGAAAAATGATTGTTGTAACCAGATTCCTCTTGCAGTCAGATTTTTGGCAGCCCCGTATGAATAATCATCCATAGAGATTCCCTTGTTTCTTTCGGGCGAAGGAAATCGAGCAGTCAGAAGATACTACTGTATTTTTCCTTCGATAGGATTATGGAAGCGTAGCTTGTGCACGAACGAGCAGGATTACCCAATAAGCGGCTTTTTCTCTTGGCCGATAAAGCCTTGGAAAACGTGGCCGATTCCGGAACGATATCTTCCGAGTGACCGACTCGCCGTCTCCCGGAGTCGAAAGTTCTCTTCAGGGCCTGTTCAAAGCCCACTCGTAGCGTTCCTTTTATCGAAGTCGCATTCTGGAGACTCTTTTGAGAAGTAGACACACACACATAGGCGTTAGAGTGCGCCAGCCTGGTAGATATATATATATGTACATAGAGCACAATGTTAATTCTCTGTGGAGGAAAAACGTTTTCTGTAAGGTGGTGGGTGGAATGGAATTCTCTGCGATCTTTATTGCAAATTTATCGGTACACTCGACCAAAGAGGGGTATCCTGGTAATTTATTATTTTATAAATATTCATTGTTTTCATTTGTTATATATTTCCATTCAAAAGTATTTCAACTGCTCTTCTTATCACAGAACAGTAAAAGAAGAAATGTCCTTAATTGTCTTCCGTTTGAATGATCCACCCTGAAGATATTAATTTTCTTTAATTAACATAAAGGACCGTTACTTTCCCTCGGAATTTTCAGTTTATCGAAGCGATAATTAACAGTGGTGTTCCAAGAGCTTTCACTATGCAGGAACGCATCTTCCTCGCAGACAAATCTTAAGAAGTTTAGTCAGCGAGTCGAAGATTACAATTCGCCAGACGAACTCGGGCGCGTTATTAATTTATGGAAACGTCGCTCTTTTGTGAGTTCGAAAGGTTACCAGCAATTTACTTTGCTAATTGCAAAAGTTTAATGACCACTGCACTCGAGACCGACCATTAATGTCGCCTATTCTACACACTCGTAGTACACACGTAGCTGGTGCATATTTTTTTTTTTTACATGCGCTCGTTTGCAAACCGCACAGACAAGCTTTGAAAAAGGAGCGGCTAGCAATTTTTAGACATTGAGTATGTATTATTTTATCTTGAAGTATCATTTATTAAGTGATCTAATTAGAATATTAATTTAAATGCTGTATTACAGTTGAGTACAGAATGACATTTTTTTTTAATGAAGGATTTAGAGCAGAGATATCTACATTCAATGGAACAGTTTTGATATTACATTCCTAACATTTTAAGGATACTTGGGATCAATATCAAATTCCCAAAAGCATTCTGTGCATTCAATAAAAGTGACCCAGTTGAGGAGGAACACTCATGTGTGCCTAATGAAACTGGAACAAGACAAATAACAGAGTCCTTGCTGTGCTGGCCACAAACAGGAGTTTTCCTAAATTTTATGCTCTCATCTACCGTTGCAAAATGCTTAAATCTGATTGCAGAGCAGGCAAACAAATTCAGTGAAACTCATAACTTTAATTAAAGCAAGCAGTAAAGTGGTTATTTCCTTTTATTTTAATCATTCTCAAGGTGGAAGAATTTCAGAGAAATTCTTTGATAGCATCTTATAGTTGAGAACATCCGAGCTAATTTCATGGCAACAAAAATGATATTTCCAGTTATACTAATTTACCTAGAAATCAGATTTAAATCTGAAACGCTTTAAGACGTTATCCATCACCATTTCCAATTTCAGGGTTACAAAAATCCCTTCATGAGACATTCAGACTGCTGTTTCATTAATCCTGTTTCGACGCGTCATTCTCACCGCCTTGAACTGCCTTAAACCATTCACCTGGTATGAGAGCATCCATCGCGGCAGGTGCGGGAGTTGGTGAAAATCTGTGAGGTAGAAAAAAGAAAAATTGGACACGCAGCTTTGTTGCAATCAACGCTTAGCTTAGGCGCCGTATTAACTTGGTAAAAAGCCGGTACACCGGCGCAATATATGTCACGTATTCTACCGTACTTGGATACATACATACGAGCCACATACTTCTCGGACTAGCCCGTATATATGCACATACCCTGGTAGACACATAGAGAGCGCACACCGGCGTGCATCGACCTCCGGGAAAACGCGCCCACACACACAGATCCGGTGTGGAAATGTGGTCAAACACCCGGACTGAGAGAGGCAGTGGCTAACAGAGAAGGATAGGAGATACCACGTACACACATACACATAATGGATGAATTCAGTTCAGTTCGAGCCAGTTCAGGATCGCGAGACGCAGGCGCGTTAACCATAGCATCGTATTGCAGGATTTACTCCCTCCCCCCCCCCCCCCCCCCCCCCCCGCTCTCTGTTTCTCAATTTTTCCAACCTGCTTCTTCTCTTCTTCTTGCTGTCTAGTTTCTTCCTCTTTGTATTGGGTTATATGTGGGTTATATGCTGATGAGTTCATAGAGTTGGATTATTTCATATTCTCTTCTTTCTCTGTTCTTGAATCTTTGAGTCTTCTTCTTTGTATCCTTCCTTAGATCCTCTAATTTGTGTCGTTTGATCATTCATATTGCTACCATATTTTCTTCCTCTGTGATACCTCCTGTATCGATGCATATCTTCTTTGAAAATTCACCTCCTGCTCCCTTCTTTCAAGCCCCAAGTTTCTCTTGGTACACAATATGCGTTCTTCTCTTTGCATCCCATAAGTCTATTTCAAAATTCATCCTCCAACTTTACTTTTATTCTTCCTCCCATCTAGATGGTACTACTCTTCTCACCATCTCCACTCGTTGCTTCTTTCTCTTCTCTTCCCCCCCCCCCCCCCCCCCCCGTTTCTTTTATATCTTCTTTTTATCAACCACATCCCCCCACCGTTTTCTCTCCCTGCCAACGATGTCCTTGTCTGTCCCCACTTCCCCTCCCGGCCTCTTCTTCAAACCCCCCCCCCACCAGCTTCTCTTCTCCCTACCCTCTCAGTCGGCGGATCTCCTTCCGGCGAACCGCAAACGATCCTCCTTCTCGCTCCCTTTCGTCCTCGAATCTCCCACCGCGGCACATTTTTTCGACCCCGAACGATGCCGAACGTGTGCGTACGCCTGCGTACACGCCTTTACTACTTGCTACTACGGTTTTACTACTGATACTTCCGGGCTACTACGCGCAGTAGCGAGGCTTCACGTTTTCTGCGCCCTCCCGCCTCTCCCCACCGCTTGGCCACCTCTTCTTCTTCTTTTTCTTTTTCACCCACTGGACAGTGGACGTTACGGTTTTGATCGTTCGACCTGATCTCGTCCATCTCAGTTTAAGAGATTTTTTTTTCACTTCTCGTTCGAACGTTATCGATGCCCTACATTGTTTCGAATCCAAATTTAAGTCCTTTCTTCTCCTTTTGTCTAGGATGATTCCGCTCTTTGCCTGAGGTGGTTTCTTCTTCCCCGTTGGAACTGGGAAGATTGATGAACAGGATTTTTAGTTTTTGGAGGTACTTTTTCCTCGGAGAGTATAAATGTAAGAGAAGAATTGGAAGAATTCTGGTCCAACGCTATGATCCACAATACCAATGTGTTATATCAAAATCATTAATCAAAGCTATTGCAATGTTTTTTACTTAATGTCTTGAATATCAAATATTTTCAGCATCTGCTATTAACGTTATAAAACTAAGAAACTTGTTGGAAGGCGTTCCAAATCGTTTTTCATAAAAGCCACTCGCCAGTGGATTTCATCCCGAGAGGAGGAAAGTTGTACCGTGGTGGCTGATGGAGCTGTGCCAAATTGAAACAAGAACCACGTTAAATCGGCCGTCTTCCGAATCGAGCACAGCGGGACACGTTTTCGACGTTAGGCCAACCCTTCGCTCTTCGTCCTCGTTTTTCGACTCTTAACCGGCCTCCTCTTGGTTCCCCGTGGTCTGCCCACTTCTCCGCACGCGAAATGGCCACTTGAAGCTACGAAAGTAATTCATTTAGCGCTTCACGCTGCGTTTAAACCCGGCCCCTGCACAGGGACCGTCGGAAGATAAATCTCTTCTCTCTTCATTCTCGTTTGGCGACTCTGTCTGTTCCAGCGAACAACTCATCTTCTATTAAGAATATCGACGAAGCAATTACGCGGTTATTTTCACTGAACTTTAAGCTAAAAATTGATGTGTCATAAGCGTTGTTTAGCAAAAATTTTCTGTCATGAAATTAGGCCAGAGTATCCATGTTCCAAAATCAATCTGATGCGGTGTACACAACTGTAACATTAACACTCTAAGCACCACGTCACCCATACATGGGTGACGCTTGAATTTCAATAGGAATCCATCACTTATATTAGAAATTCTTTGACTTACTTAATTGGAAATACTTGTATTAGATACTTGAAATTGTGGATAAAAATATAATGAAATATTTTAAGGATAACATACATAAAATTTCTGAAGATAAATGGAATTTTCAATGGTTTTATGTATGAAATCATATGTTATTATAGAGCATATAATTTTGTATAATGATCGTTAAACCCCAATGGCAAATGGAGGCAATAACGATAACGTTGGTGTCGCTTATCAGAGGAAGATCGACGGACTGGTTGAAAATCGTCGTCGAATCAATTGGCGATTTAACGATTGGCAACGACGAGCCGAGTGAACGCGTTAATTGCGTTAAAACGTTGAAACAACGCGAAACGAGAGGATCCACGAGGGTGGCCCGACACGGGTCAGGACACCAGCGTAAAATTCAGGCGAAAGGTCGCCACGCTTGCGCCCCGCAATTTCGTTCGAAACTCAATGAAACAGCACCACGTTCTAATACCGCGCCGACCTGCCACAGAAAAGTGGCCCCATTCGAATTAATTGCTCGCGAAATAATTTGCCTAATACCGGCTGAATAAGGTCCTTGATGTTTGGGAGGGAAAGTCTGAAAGCAGGCTGACGTGTTCATTTTGAACCTGGATGTAAAAAAGGAACGATTGGTATTTCTTCTCTTCATCAAAATGGAAGAATATAAAAATAATGGCAATTTTCAATCCCCCAAATCAATCCACCGGTATTTGAGCTCTCAGTGCCATTAAATTACAATAATTCATTCCCCATAGGGTTGCCACTATATTGCCATGGCTCAATGAAGAAAGTTTGAATATAATCATGGATGGCATCCAGTTTGAGGAAGGCTCTAAAAAGTGTAATTTGAATGCTTAGGACGTTAATCTGGAGCCTGCATGCGCTATTAAGGTGCTCCGCAGTAGCTTGAAGCTACTAGACACCTCCAACACCATCGTTACCACCATCGCCAACCCCCATCACGGGTAACGTCACTACGTGCTACGGCGTACGAATCGTTACACCTTCCAACCACGGTTCAGACGTCGAGTTTCATCGTGGCGAGGTTTGTCGGGCTTGCCGGTGGAGGCGAGACGCGGTGAAGAGATAAATAAGTGGATGAACAAGGAGAAGGTACTGAGAGTTAGGGCTGGTTAGGAGAAATCGGAGATTAGAGAGGTTAGAAGAGGAGAAATGTGAAATTATGAAGGTAACTGTGATGAAAATGTAAGGTGGAAGAGGTGTGAAGATAGCTGAACAAAAAAAGATGCTTGGGGAAGATTAAAAAGTTGAAAAATATGGATAATTATTGAAGAAGAAATGAGAGATATTCAGTTCAAGTTTAATGAATAAAGAAATGGAAGTTTATATATAAAAGAAAAATTAATTATTGCAGTATAAGATGAAGAACAATAGAAATGGCACTGAGAGTTAGAGTTGGTTAGAAGAAATTGAAGATTAGAGAAGTTAGAAGAGGAGAAATGTGAAATTATGAGGGCAACTGTGAAGAAAATGTAAGGTGGAAGAGGTGTGAAGATAGCTGAACAAAAAAGGATGCTTGGGGAAGATTAAAAAGTTGAAAAATATGGATAATTATTGAAGAAGAAATGAGAGATATTCAGTTCAAGTTTAATGAATAAAGAAATGGAAGTTTATATATAAAAGAAAAATTAATTATTGCAATATAAGATGAAGAACAATAGAAAAGACACTGAGAGTTAGGGTTGGTTAGGAGAAATTGGAGATTAGAGAGGTAGAAGAAAAGAAATGGGAAATTATGAGGGTAACTGTGATGAAAATATAAGGTGAAGGTAGCTGAATAAAGGAGGATGCTTAGGGATGATTAAAAAGTTGAAAAATATGGATAATTATTGAAGAAGAAATTGGAGGTATTCAGTCCAATTTTAATGAATAAAGAAATGAAAGTTTATCTGTAATAGAAAAATCAATTATTGCACTATAAGATGAAGAAGAATAGAAAAAAGTCTTCAAGAGGAAAACAAACATATGAATAAGAAGAAAATAGAATACAATTGAGCAAAGCTCAACTTATGAGGATAAATGTGATGAAAATGCAAGGTTAAAGGGGTGTGAAGATAACTGAATAAAGGAGAATGCTTAGGGATGATTAAGAAATTGAAAAATATGGATAATTATCGAAAAAGAAATTACAGTCCATTTTTAATGATTAAAGAAATAAAAGTTTATCTGTAATAGAAAAATCAATTACTGCAATATAAGATAAAGAAGAATAGGAAAAAAGTCCCCAAGAGGAAAACAAACATATAAATAAGAAGAAAATAGGCAACTATTGAGCAAAGCAGTAGATAAAGTGGCTAAATAAGCGAAGGAACATCGGAGCGGATGAAAGAGTAGCAAGAAGAGAAGCGAAAGAAGTGAACTGAAAGCACTCCGGGTCACAATACAAACTACCCTCGTGAGGAGAGGAGAAAAAGGGAATAGACAAGTGCCGAAAATTTCAAGAACCTTCAACTGCAGCATCGCTTACCCATGTCTTCTTTTTCTCAGCCACTAGACTCCACATTTCCACCTTTCAGTGAAATTTAACTTGTTAATAGAAATGCAATGACAAATTCGCAAAGATGCAGATGAAAAAAAAATGAATGGAATCACTTGAAAATTATCCAGGTAACCTTACGAGTCCTCTATCAGACCCTATACTCTTCTTTCCTTTTTTCCCTCCGCAGAGTTCAACCAGGCTCAGTTAAAATCACATCACACGTACAATGGAATGCCTAACCAACCGGTCGCCAAGAAATTTCTATCTTCGCCATTGAAATTTCCCTCTGAAGGGATAATTAGATAAAAGCAGCCAGCACACAGGCTGGACCAATCTCAAGAACCCAAGATCCACTAGCAAAGCACACTAACTAAATAAGGTTTATGGGAGGCGGGTTAAGTTCATGGAGTGCGACGTTCGGGCAAGTAGAGAACCTCCCTTCTCTCCCTTGGAGTGTGAAATGGCTTTAGCAGCTACAACGTCAAAAACCATTGCCACCAGTCACTGTCCTGATGCACAATGAAGGTACAGGAGAAGCCTCACAGTCATTGCTATATTGTCCCTCCATCCCACTTGTCCAAATAAAAAAATGGGCAGACAAACGTAGGTGTTTACCATCAACTTTTATTTGAAACGTGTACCAGCGAGGTCGGCTGTGCGAAGCCTTTCAGAGGGAAACGGTTTAGGGCTTAGATACATAAAACAGGATCAAGGAAAAGTACATGGTATCACGTTGTTGAGGATAAAGGTATAGATGTCAGGACCCAAGCGGTTGCAATTATAGGATAGAATATGAAATATAAAATGAATGATCTCGAGTAGGCGAAATGGGTCGCAAGTAAAAACATGGAAGATCGATGGGAAGGATTTCAAGTTGTAAGAAAATCAGGTTAAACGGGAGACAAATATACGAAGTGCTGGGGGGAGGGATTCCCTGTGAGAAATCGTGAGAAATGAAGAACCGGAGGGAAGGACGGTTGAACAAAGAGATATTGATAGCCGAAGATGATGAACTTGAAGTAAGGCATAAAAGAGGAAGCTTATTGATGATGAAACATGCAATTAACTAATCTTCGGTATCGCAATACATTGCACGGGCTCCTACACTGTCCCATGTTTTCATCAAACCACCAATTGTACCGGCAGAGAATTTCTTATACCCGAAGACCTTTCAATGCAGACCCTTCAATGGTCTAATTACACGGGACTCGGAGTGCATCCTGAACATATCAGCTACCTTCTGATCGACATCAGCGAAGGCATCAAAATCAAGGAATCCTATTGCTGAAGAAACATGAAGCATAGAGAGAGAGAGAGAGAGAGTACACAGCAAACGTAAAATCGTAGACAGGGTGGAAAGCAGTACAGGTATACCAAAGAGGGAGAGAACGATATCGCCGACCACAGAGATAAAGAAGAGAGGAAAAGGAAGGCAGAGTAACCGAGAATCAACGGGAGCGACGGGGAGGGACGAAAGGTGGCGTGGGGGGAGAGAGTGTGGTGTAGAGGTGACGTCACGTCGGGTCGATACTCACCCACACTCCGTACCCCGGCATCGTCGTAAACGAGGGGGCGCAGGCGCCGCCTCGTACGCTCCTGAGAGTGCTCCTTCCCGCCATATTAGCCAGCATGGGGTAGGCGAGGATGTGCGACAGGGGTGGCTCGGGCTGCTTCTTCTCCCGTAAGGTAATCCGCGTTACCGTGTCGCGTGGCCAGTCGGTTGTTCGAGTCGCGTGGTGTCCATTGGCCACGATAATTAGTCAATTAAGGTCAGAAGGGTGAGCGAAACAGGAAGGGCGTACCGGCCCTGGTCCCGGCGGTTCTCTCTCTCTCTCTCTTTCTCTCTCTTAGTTCACGTTCCTCCGATCCTTGAAGCCTGTGCACGAGAACGCATGGATACGGGGACTGGCACGAAACTAACTAGCATTGGGCTGAGAACGGATGGTGAGATCGACAAACGTAAAGAGGAACGATCCTGGACACAGGAAACGGCATTGGAGAGGGGCGCAGAAGGCTCGAAGGGTGAGGAGCTCGCCGCTGGGTTTCCCGAGGACACCTCGAACAAAAGGGGTTGCAAATCGGCCGCGCAAGTGTGGATGTCTTTATTGTCCCTGTGCGACCGGATGTGCGGATCCACCGCGTGGCTCGTCCTCTTCACATGCCTCCACGGGGTGCGTTTCCATACTCTCGTGCGATAAGACCGGCTGTAGATTGTACCAGTGTGCATCAGTTTCATTGTATCCGCGCCTCACGTGGTTCATTTTGGTTGCCTCCTTGGAACCGAGCTGGAGGATCACTTTACTTAGGACCACGATCAGGGAATCGTGGAGCTTCTCTGAGGTGGATGCTGGTGATCCAATAAATGTATTGAAACTTGAAGTATTACAGTGCTAGCAATCAATGAGGGCATTGTGGTCTTGGTATTATAAGTCAACAAATGCTTTGATGATCAGGAATTTATGACAAACATATTGGAAAGCTTAAAATGTTTAATAAGTTTCAGATTTAAACAGCTAAAAATTTGAAGATGTAACTACTACTCAGGATAGAAGTAAGGAAACAATGTCATCTAAAGCTAGAATTCAGTAAAGCAGCTTTACTGACAATAGTTCTGAGGTATTGCTTCTTATTCTTAATGAGTGTTATCAGGAAACTGCATAATACTTCACATACACACTGCATACCCAGATTAGCTGAAGGAGACTTATCAGGCTTAGGATGCAGAGAATTGAAGCTATTTGATAGATATCATTGTGAACTGTCTTTTGAGGAAGAATGACGTTCATTCAGGAGAAGGCTTAGTTATTAATATGAAGTATTACTTGTTGAAGTGAAGAGTAAAGAGCAATTCATTTCTCTTCAAGAATTTTAGCAAAAGATCAATGAATTTTAATTCTGAACTATAGAAAATAATTGGTAGAAAGTGATCCTCTCTTAAATGATGTACAAACCTTATAGTAATTCTGTGAGAATTGTACTACTTTCTATTCTTGTTACAATGTGCCAAATTAGAGAATGTATTCTGGTCAGAAAACCAGGCTAATTTTGTCCTTAAAGCAACCAATATCTGCATGTCAATTAAATCCAAGTCTGTATATTAGTAACGTTGTCCAATTTCAGATTAACAGAGCATGAAGAGGAAAAGAAAATCGCAGCCCTGCTTGTTTGCACGACTGATTGTTATCTGGCTTTTCGTGGCGACCGAACAAGAAAATTTCTATTCCTAACGGATCCTTTAAGCTTGCATCTCTGATTGTTCCTTGTTACACAGTACAGAATCAGTTGGAAGGTGTTTGCAATTTTAACGACCCTCTAATCGGCCTGCTGATTGAATATCGCGTGCAACAACCTCGTTCAGCCTACTTTGTTGAACTTTTTAATCTCGGCTTGATTTTTTATTAAAACCTCTTCATGCTTGAAGATTATAAAATTGTACAGATTAGGTATTACCTATGATGGTATGCAAATTTTCATTGTCGAACGATACACCGTTGTGTACAAAGGTGTGATAAAAATAATACTTATTGATCTTGATATAAAAAATTAATGGCAAAGGTCATGCAACAGCAATGAAAAATACTTACTCGATCGGTCGTTAAAAATACCATGAAAGTATATCTTCTGAAGGCTCTGGGAGATTGTCAAACGGTTGTAAAAGACAGAAGGGAAACATGGTACTAATTAGCGTTAATTTTGTTGCAGGAGGGCCGGGGGGAAGTGACAGACATAAGCGCAAGTCCTGGAAGGCAAGCACCTGCCAACCAGTTGCGCCCCAAGGAGCCACCCCCCATGGTTATTCAGGGAGACTTCAGGAAGGTACTAACTTCAACGACATTCCTCTTCTCTGCTATTGTATAAAAGTCTTTGGTACCCCGTTGGGTCTTATAGAACCCGGTCAGATCACATATAAAAACAGAATTAACAGAGGGAAGAAAAATCACATTGGAAATATGTATTCTTCTTCTCCATGAAACTGTTCCAGCAACAAAACTGTGTGTACAGGGGATGTGCTGGAACAGTTTCATGGATTGTCGGGTTTAAAAAGCGTCGTTCAGGATGCACTTGTTGAAGTGAAAGGACCTGTCGTTGCAGGTGAGCGGGATCAGTACGGAGATCTTCAAGCAGATAGAGACCGTCGAAAACGATCATGACGCCTCGACAGCAGCGGCCCTTGAAGCTGTCGAACGAAGGGGCGAGATGGTCGTCCGGGTCATCGAGCCACGGCAAATGGGCAGACAGGCGTCCGAGGCAGCAAAGAAGTTCATTGCGATGCAGGTGTGTAGCTGTGCAAGCTGCTTTCGAAATCCTTCAATTAACTTCTTGACATCCATCGATTGCTCTACAGCCTCTCATATTATAATAATACTGAAAATTGTAAAAATACTGACAACAGCAAAAATTGTCAATATCTCCATTCCTGAAACACATGGAAATGGTAATCACCATTATAACTACCTCCACCAATCAGAATAATTCCACCTAACACAATTCTCTTATTTCTCCTTTAAAGAGCCTGGAAATAGAGAGATCTTGATGATATTTTTGTCCATGGTGTTGTAGGATCCGAAGCACCCCATCCACTTCGTTGAAATAATTAAAAGGCCAGGGCAAACGCTGGGGCTCTACATACGCGAAGGGAACGGGGTCGACAGGAACGATGGCGTCTTTATCTCGAGGATAGCCCTGGAGACCGCTGTCTACAACAGCGGCTGCCTCAAGGTGAGCACCGTTTCTTCCCTCTTCCCTCCGTTTCTTCCTCTATCCACTTAATTGCCACTGCTGCTGGAAGCAAGACCAATTTGGGATCAGGATTTATTGGAGTTATTCTTCTGGGATATGATGGTACATTCAGTCCACTGATTTTTCTATCAAACTGTGATTCACTTTCCTTGCACTTACACTCCTATCAAGTGCACCTGTAAAATGGGGTCAAGGATTGTGCTTACTTTGAAATCTGATATCACAAGGATTATTTTATTTCTTCAATTAGGTTGGGGACGAGATCCTTGCGGTGAATCTGGTAGATGTGACGCACATGAGCTTGGACGACGTGGTGATCATCATGTCGATACCCAGGAGGCTCGTTCTGGCGACGAGGCACGGCCAGCATCAGCCGGTGTCCCACAGCCGTCAGGCCGAGCACAAAGCACCGCCGGTCGTAGTGATCAAAAGGGAGCTGAACGAGGACGAGAGTGATCATGCAACGAGCAATCACGTCAGGTATATAAATTTCAATGAAATTTGAAGAAATCTGAAAGCTACAGTGGTCCAGTAATCAATAGCAGGAGAAAGGTGTGATAGAAATAGTTTGATAGACCTTAATTGACCCAGCAAGACACTTGGAGCAGTCTATTTTAATTTCAACTTGTGTTTGATCTAAAGGAACAATTAAAGTGTCAACAGCCATTAATTGTTTCTAACAAAAGGATCACTTCAATGTGTCATTGTAAGATCTCTTGAAGATCTCTGGGAGAAGATTGAAACAAATTATTTTATTTTCAGGGATGGTAATCGTAGACGCGGTGACGGTCGTGAAATGCTGCCTTCCCGGTCGAGACTGGGTCTAACGGGCCTAGGTTCCAGCCAGGATCTAGGATCTAGTAACGGTGACCTATACTATAATTCCAGACCGGAAGGACACTGGTCCTATCAACCACCGCCGCCTCCTGTGATCACACATCAGCCAAAACCCTCTACAACTCAACATTTCCAGCCCTATGAGCGTGGATATCCAAAGACCTTGGAGAGTTTGGCTGAAAAAGTAAGTGCTGAAGGAGATTTTAGCTCTTGTCCAGGATCCTGACGCAGGTTGAGGTTTAATTTTAAGGACAGAGATAAAGTACCTTCATTATTTATCACATTCCTGGTTTGAATATATCCAAACAATATTGGAAATGCTTGGAAATTTATGAAAGAAGGTTAAACTTGAAGAAAATGAATTGAAAGATGTAATTGTAATAAAGCTACCACAGTTTTCTGAAGGAATGAAAAGAAGCAGATGGCATTTTTATGATAAATCTCCACCTGCAGTCAGGTGTAGGCCACACCATAGATGTTCTAGACGATGTGGATCGAGCACCCTTTCATATACCTGTCTGCACCAAGTTGACACTTGTTTGCCCTTCTCTGTCTTCGATTGCGATAGCGATTTGAATAAGAAAGTGGTGAATTCGTGGCAATCTCTCGAGACACTCCTAAAAAGATATCAGAATAACGTGCACCGTCTCCAAATCTTTGAGCAAACGTATAAAGTAACAGGTATATTCAAAATTTATGATCATTTTAAGTAATGTCCAAACGACATGAATTGTAGACGGTTCACAAACTCTCGTTCGTGTTTCGACCACGTGTTTCACATGACTAATCGGTTCTATGAATGAATGCTACGTTGATATTAACCAGGATTTCACAAAGGTAAAGAAACCACCAACTCTTTCTTGATATCTAGACTTGTGTATGCTGCAATCTCCTGCACTCCACCCTATCTGGACAATGGATAAATATTTGCACTGTTTAAATAAATATTATTAAAATAAATATTGTATTAGGTGTACAAATTAATTCGGTGCCTTCTCTTTTTTTAATTAATGGCTTATTTTTAATAATAAATTATTAAATTTATCGTTCGCGCCATTTTTCAAATTCACAAAAGCGCGGGAAAATATTTGAATTTAAAATAGTAACCAAGAAAGTGTAATATTAAAGGTACCGAATTAATTTGTACTATTTAAAAGAAACAAATATTTCTACCAATGTCCACATGGTATACTGTACTCTGTGGCTATTTAAATGTAATCCCACCCTTTGGTTGCCTCATCAAGCTTTATTATGTGCTCTTTCTATTTCTTTCTTTCTCAGTATTGTCTCTCCTTACGACGACCGTGATCGTTATAAACCACAGGATAAATGGATCAAACGAAATTCTAAAAAATACTTAATAAAATGATCCATCGATCCTGTTGGTATAATATTGAAATTAGAATTTCCTTCGAGCACAGTCAATTCAATCTCCTCCAGAGGAGTCATTGATTGATTGTGAGACGAAGGAAATGTGCAAGATGGTTTTAAAAGAAACGAAATGAGATTGATGTTTCTTGAATTTAGGTACACTCCTTCTACACGGGGCCAGTAATGCCCTCGAACGGTGGTCGTCGAATGTCCACGGGGGCAGGAATGCAGTCGGTTGGCAGTAGATTGTCCAGTCAAACCCAGTCGTCGCATTATGGTAGTTACGGTCAGCACACTGGCAGTGGAAGAATAATGCCTAGAAGCGGTTCGGATCAGCATTTGCCTCGAGTCGACTACACCAGCATCACTACACCTGCTCGACACACTCTTCTTAGATCCAGCTTGAAGTCGGGTCCGTTGACAGACTAACTTAGAGGAAGAATCTTGTGAAATATACCTGTTCGTTGTTTATGGTCCTCTGTTCCGCCTAACAGGAACATCAGCGTTGAGATACAACACCAGATATGGCACCCAAGGGGACAGTACAACGTCGGCCCAAAGGCAAGGTCAGTTCGGCACCCTGACAAGGAGGCATCGACCCTCGTTGGACTACGCGTCCGACACCGAGGCAACGTGTTCCAGTTCACCGAAGTCTGCGTACTATTACTACAGGCACAACATGAATAATCCATCTCAAAGCAGTGCTGTGTCGCACCTTGCCACCCTCTCCAGGTCGCAAATTGGTCAGAGTTCCTCCGGTCAGTTGTATTGCAAAGAAATATTTTTTGATAGCATGCAGTTGATAGGGTTAGTATAAATGTATGGGTTCATATGTTGTAGGTCTGAGATCAAATTCGTTGCCTCGCAGTGGCAGAACGTTGCCTCAGCAACCTGGTCTTAGATCTGGACTTAGTACGGTAGCATCAGGACTGATAGATCAGGAAGACAGCGATGGAGCACTGTCAGCACCTGAATTACCTTCCATCAGACGTGACAGAGGTAACAATGATTAAGTCACCATAGGTTATCGTTAAGTTAACGTTTGGATTTGAACAATAGGAAGAATACCGTCATCACCCAGTGTGTTCACATCGGATGAATACAGAGCATGGCTGAGTAGAACGCCAAGCACCAGTGCGTTGTACGAACAGATCAGAGCTACTACGGCTAGACCACCGCGTTACACTTATAGTGCAGAAAATATTCATGCAGCTGCGAATCAAGTAAGTAAATATGTGGCAACAAATTAAATGGTCAGTATTTAAATCTATTTTCGGTCAGTATTTTATTACCAAAATGGTCAGTATAAAAATACTAAACTGTTAGGTTAGTACATAAATGGCGAATGGTCAGTATAAAAATACTAAACTGTTAGGTTAGGTCAGGTTAGGTTAGTATATAAATGGCGAATGGTCAGTATGGAAGGATACTGATACAAAAATTAACCAAAATTCCTTTCTTTTTAATTAAATTTATATAAATTTTTTTTTTTAATAAAACAAATATTTTTAATCAAATAGAATAAGGAACAGTGAAAATAGTAGGAAAAATTAAAAAAATTATTCTCCAAAGGATTTAAATACTGACCAGTAAAATACAAGCCTAAATATATTTCTTCATCTTTAAAGTAATTAATGATTTCTTCTTGTGCAGGGTGAATATGGAAGTTACGGCGGGTACAGACCACTCTCCAGCACGCTCGATCGTCTCTCGACGAGGTCAGCCTCGGCTCAACAAGTGAACCTAGCCAATCTGAGAGCATCGACAGCGATCAGTTCAACGTGCCATCGTGGAACGACGAATCCAAGACCGGCCTCGGTTGCGTCGAGTGCTCGTACATCGTTGACGAGTCAAAAGCCATCGTTGAGTAGCTCAGCCACTCAGAGGGCGACCTCGGTTAGGAGAATCAGGAACTTATTGGACCTAGAGTCCACGAGAAGCATACCCACCCCAACGCCTACCAGAACTCAGGATCAAAGACTGCTAGATATTAATCCTGCAGGTGAGCAGGCTGATTCTCGAAGTATTAAGTAAGATAATTCTACTTTTCGTCACTTTTCTTCTGCAGAGTTCCTCAAATATAAAATAGAAAAACCGCCAACTGTAGGGACTCCGAGCTCGACCAGCTCTCTCTTGAGTTCGCTCGGGGAAACGAGTAGCGGTGACCTGGCTGGTGGTATCAGTGGATTGCTATGGGTCCATCTTCTTGCTGGACGTGGTCTTCGTTCGACGACGTCCTCTTCGGCAGCTACCACACCCTCGACACCATCAGGTCAGCCTAATTTAGGTACGTTCGGGAGTATGCACCTCCTTTAGACTACTACTCCTTCGCACACTAGGATCTTTTTCATCTAACTTCATTGGTAACATTCGTATCAGTACATTGATCGCCACTTAGGTCCTTTTTCCTTAAACTCTCGAATGTTAGCAGAAAGTTAATTTGAAATAGAAGTGAAATAAAGCCAGCAGGAAACATGAGTTGGAAATGCAACGCCAAAAGTTCTCTATTGTTTAAAAATCATACAGCTAGCTGTGGCTTAAGAGACTTGTATTGCGTGCTGGAGTGCGACAGGGTGCACAAAGCAAGAACAGTGGTGCGAACCGGTGACCTGATGTTCGACTGGGACGAGACCTTCGAGCTGGACCTCGTTGGCAACCGGCAACTGGACCTGCTCGTCTATTCCTGGGATCCTCAGTATAGGCATAAACTTTGTTACAAGGGCTCGGTGCACCTAGCGAGCCTCCTGAAGGAATCGCCTCTTCAACAGCTGGCTGTCAAGGTCGAGCCACGTGGCACGATCTACTTAAGACTGCGATACATTGATGCTCAGCAAACGTTCCGAAGGAGAGGACTTCCAGTCATATCTTTGGCCACCAGAGTTGCACCTCTCTTTGGAGTTGATCTTGACACAGTGGTGAGTGATCTTTTCAGGTCTTTCAGTTATTAAACCTTTCATGTATCATTTGGAATGTTACTTTGACTTCAGGTGAGCCGAGAGAGTAAAACTGGCGGAGTTCCTGGAGGTGTTTCCACCGCCCTGGCGATGGGTGTTCCAAACGTACCTATAATTGTCTGGCGCTGCGTCGAGGAAGTTGAGAGAAGAGGTCTCGATATCATCGGTTTGTACAGGCTTTGTGGATCAGCGACCAAGAAGAGGATACTTAGAGAAGCCTTTGAAAGGAATGCTCGTTCAGTGAATCTGTCACCTGATAATGTACCAGATATCAACGTTATTACTGGTTATTTTCTTCAACAAATAACGCTCTACAGCAGACCTGTCTGACCTGTGGCCCACGGGCCACTCGTGGCTCCTTCCCCCACCACGGAGCTCGAGCTTGGCCCCTCCCACTCTTCCAGGTGGTGTCCCGACTCTTCCAATATTTGACGCGTATTCCCTGGTCCTAGGAAACCGCTGCCCCAATACTGACACTACTGGATGGTGGGGGAAGTCTGAAGCAGTGGCTCTTTCCCTTCTAGCAGATAGAAATCTTCAAAAGACACCCCCTACTCCCCTGGGGAGGGGTCGGGAGTAGTGTGGGATTAGTATGATACTCCACGGTGGTCTGCACTGGGGCTGTAGGAAGGACCCCGGGACCCCCCCACCACGGAGCTTGGCTCCTCCCACTCTTCCAGTTGGTTTCCCGACTCTTCCAATATTTGACGCGTATTCCCTGGTCCTAGGAAACCGCTGCCCCAATACTGACACTACTGGATGGTGGGGGAAGTCTGAAGCAGTGGCTCTTTCCCTTCTAGTAGATAGAAATCTTCAAAAGACACCCCCTACTCCCCTGGGGAGGGGCCGGGAGTAGTGTGGGATTAGTGTGATGCTCCACGATGGTCTGCACTGGGGCTGTAGGAAAGACCCCGGGACCCCCCCTCGTGGTGGGCGAGGGTCTACCCTTTGACCCTCTCCCGTGTAGCAGTTAGACAGGCCTGCTCTACAGATCAATTTCAATAGACATTTAATTTATGATAATCTGTCCTCAGGTGTGCTGAAGGATTACCTACGAGAACTTCCTGAACCACTTTTCACAAAGTGCCTCTACCAAATGATGGTCGATGCACTGGCCGTCTGTTTACCAGATGATCCACAAGGCAGCGCCAAACTCATGTTCAGTATACTCGACTGTTTGCCAAAAGTGAACAGGGTTTGTATCTAACCAGAGAACAATCAGTTTTCATAAATCTGTAAAATATTGCTTTACACTGTTCCATTTCTTTGAATAGTGCACGTTAATTTACTTGTTGGACCACTTGGCAATGGTGGTGTCGCAGTGCAACAAAATGTCACCAGCAAGTCTGGCAGTCTGTTTCGGGCCAGTTTTGATGTTACATTCCGAGGAGAATGGGCCACCGTTAGACTTCCAACAGCCAATAGCTGTACTCAAGTATCTCCTTGAAATATGGCCCGTTAAGTCAGGTAATGTCGTCATTCCTAACAATATATTTTCTTGAAACTAAACTCCGGGGTAGAAAATGATTGCGAAATGATCTCAATGAAGAATCGTTCCGATCAAACAATTGTACCGTGAGAATAAGAGCCGAATAATCAGTCGCTCATTTCACAGACAGTTCGGAAGATTTCTTCAGTCGCTTCAGCGCTTCCTCGAGTTACGCAACAAGCAGAGCACAACAACAGTCAACACCAAATGCAGCAGCATCAGCAGCAGCAACAGCAGCAGCAACAGGTGCCGCATCAAATGCAGGGAACATTGGGACGAACAGGGCTGCCCTGGCAGCAGCAACACTCACTTCATCAACAGCCCCCAACTTCAACAGCCGCGGTTCTCGCGGCCTCCACTCGTCCTCCACCACCGGTCAAGCCTCGACAGGTTAGTGCTCTCCCACTACTCTCGCTTTATCTCGGCGACGTTCGTTCCAATCTTTCACCAACCTCTTCTTCCCTCCTCTGTAGACGTTCCACTTTCTTCATTGACGCCTTAAGTAAGTAAAGAATACGTACTTGGAAGAATACATTTCGCAAAACATTTGTACAGAGGATGGACAGGAAAGGAAGGTCAAAGATACAACTTTCCTGGTTTTCGTTTCACATATTATAAAAATTGTAAATTAAGAAGAGAAATACCAGGAAAGTTTAATGAAACGCTTCAAGAAATTCGACAACAGTCTTCGCTTTTTCTATCCGTGTATCACATGCATTATATATATCTGAAGCGTGTTGTGAACAGCATGATAGGCAAAGTATAAAGACTCTGTTCATTCCCTTTTGTTTCGCTTCGCAGAACAAATCCCGACGCGCTTTCATAATCTCGGATCAGTGAAACGTTCGTTCCATTCATTTACTCATTCATTCATGCATACGTTCCATTCATTTACTCAGCTCATATCGGTTCCAGGTTCACGTGTGGCTCTCTCGGCGATCTTTTTTTTTTTTTTATGTTAATCACCAGTTGTTGCAGACTGTTCGCTATGCACCTAAACTACAAACGAATCCTACTGCTTTCCTTGAAAGATGAAGAAAATTAAGAGAACATTTGATCAAACAATTTCATTTGAAAAATTGAGCTTGTTCTGCCTGGCAAACAATTTGCAAAGAAACGATGTCGCGTGTTGTATCCGTGTAAATAAAACGCCTCCGTGCATGTCTCGATGTCAGTTCTTGTACATTTATATTTGGGTGCAACGATGAAGATACCGGTTGCTTTATGATTTTCGTTTCTCTTTGCCGCCAGTCTCTCTCTTTCTCTCTCTCTCTCGACGTCTTTCTTATTATATAGTGACGATTTACGTTGTCTTCTTTATCTTTTTTCGTTTGGGCACGTATTCTTCAGAGCAAGCGCAAATTGCCGGCTCTACCAAACCGCTGACAGCACAGAGACGCCGCTTCTTGCACAGGTATTATCGTTATTATCGTTTTCATTCGCGTTAAATCAGCCTTTAGTTATCATTATCATATTGCATGGCCCGAATATTCAGATATCAGAGAACCAATCTATACACTCATTCATCTGTCACCTTCCATTCTACTTTATTTGCACAGAGTCTGCGTGGGTGGTTCCAAGGAACTGTGTAAAAATGTACGGGACCATTGAAGAAATGCAATCCACTCAAACGATTACCAAAGATTCTACGCTGTATACAATTTAAACCTAAGAAACCAAATAACCGTCTAATTAAAACACAAAGTAACTTGTTATGTTTACTCTGTCTATCAGTTGGTTGATGTACAAGCGTTCATGCACAGAGTTTAGAGTACTCTTACAATGTACTTTCACCTCTCGTCGCATAGATGTTTACTTAATTAAAATTGGAACGAAGAGAAAACATAGGGAAAGTGGTCCTTCTTAAGAGTAGCAAGCGTAGAGTGTTAAGTAGTTTATTTTAATTGACCTACCACTCAACTTTTGACAACACTCTAAATCAGTCTGAGAGATCATTAGTACACCTAGAACGGTGGTAATTGCGCCATGAGTGTGTTGCATCTTGAATTCGGTTTTATATTCACCTTTTTTATGTAAGACTATGAATTACCTGTGCATTATTGAAACTGTATTCAAGTACACAATATTCTTTGAGTTCTCAGATATCCTTGTCCAACGAACACACAAATCTTAACCCTTCGTCGATGAATGCAAGAATGCCAAAGTATAGTATGCAAGATGAGACACTTAAATGACTAATTCTACTTTTAACCATGTAACAATGTTAATTTAAAGCATCTCATATTCTCTTTAGATACAGTTCAGTTCCGCTTCATCATCGCCATTCAAAGACAAAAACATTTTGTTCAACAAGAAGTCTCATTTTGGCTTCAAGAATCCTTCAGCGGAGCTTTCACCATAGAAACATTTGCATCCACCTTGCACACATAATCATGAAAATCTTCTTCCATGAAAATACAGAACTCTTTGCACATTAATTTCATAATCATCCTTCGTCACAAGAATAGACACGTTTCTTATTGGGTTTTGAAATCTAACGCTTCGGTCAGAGTGCAAAGGGTTAATATACTTTCACACACAGCTTCCTGTTTGAGTCGAAGAAGCTTGCATGACTAATGGAAAACGACGCTGGCGATACGGCGTCTCTGTTTGCATAGGTGATAGTCTCGTCTCCCGGTTCACCTAGCAGCGAGGAGTCGGAAGCCTCGCCGGAGCCAATTAACAAGAGCCTCATGGGTGGCCTGGGACTCGAGAAGGGCAACGAAGGGGTCACGACCAACTCGGCTGGCCCTGGAACAGAACAAATCACTCCGTCAAGCAGCGTCGACACCGAAGAGGGAAATACACCGCATCAGGAAGAAGGCGAAAAAGGCGTGGAGGGCGACGCTGAAGCCAGCGACGACGATCGACACCAGCACGTACCCAAGACGCATTAGAATCTTCTTCAAATACACGAGGATCGAGTCGGGGGTGCGCGTCCTGAATAGTTTGAATGTCTCACTTTCCATTCATCGTTTGAACAATCTTTCGATACTTTTCAAGGGTCAAACTTCGTTTTAGAGGAGCAGAAATTAATGGTTCCAAAATATGTAGTCTTGTAGTTTTTGACCTGAAACATTCGAAAATGCAAGTTAAAAATGGTTTTAAAAATACAATTGTGTAAAAATGTACGTATTTAGTGATGTTTGACAGATCAGTACGACGCCATATTGTTTCTACGCATTCTCTGATTGGTTCGCTGAAATGACTAACTTCCGCTTACTTTATTTAAAAACATATTGCTTCTTGATTGCTGCTATCAAAAAATCCATAAGATGTGTTTCGTTAATTTTACGAAACCTACGCCACAAAAATTCACATAGGCGATCGGTAAAGTCTTCGTCGTGGAAGCGACTCCGAAGTTCGATTTCGAATGTATGCGCGAACCAATCTGAAGATAGCTAGAAGCAATATGGCGTTGTACTAACCTGTCAAAGTACGCAAAATACACTTTCTTCACACAATTGTATTTTTTAAACCATTAGTTTCCACGATTTTTAACTTGCATTTTCGAATGTTTCAGGTCGAAAACTGTATTCGATACTTTCATGTGTACTAAAGAAGATTTGATACTTTTTATTCAACAATTTTTGGTTCCCTAAGACGAAGTGCAGCCTTTCCTATGATTGATGCTTCAGTTTTGCCCAACGCTGATGACACTGAATACAGACACGTTTTACACGATTATTAACGAGAATTTGAAGCTTGTTAAACTAGGAGAGGATTTTGTTATTTGCAAATGATTCAGGGAAGGAAGAATGAACGTAAGTTCTTAAAACATTGTTCACCGATCAGAACTGTGTTGATTTTCAATTCTACTTTTCAAATTTACAACAACAAAGCTTTTCTTTGTTTTGAAGAAATCCTTGAATGGTGAACAAATGCGTTAAGAATTTCTCTTTCATTTTAATTCAACATTCTTGTGGTGTGTTGACAAAAGCTAAAGACAGGAAGAGATGTTCTTCTTTTTGATTTTCCAAAGATATTTAAACGCGTTGACTGCAATGATTTGGAAGTTTAATACATGCTGTTCTTGGAACAGCAAACTATACCAAAGACTTAAGTCTGATATATACTATATTCAACATTATCGAGTCAAGTGATTTCTTCTTTGAGAATATTAGTGCATTGTTGGCTGTGTTAGGGAATTTTCTTTGTTGTACGATGTGTTGTGTTTGGAAATATTTATACGTGTTTTTTCTGGCAGTCAGCGCATCAAGTTACATGTATGCTCTTCTAAAAGGATACGTTCAAACGATAACGAACGTGCAACTATGATAAATCAAGGCTGAATTTTGTCGCCAGACGCACAATAAAAGCGACCATTGTTTTCCAAACGTGGAACGATACGCATAATGGGACCACTGCGAATATTCGTTAAAAAATCTTCGCGATTAAAGAATATCTAACGCTGAAATTGACGATCTGACGACCGACTGGAAGCCTTTTACATGTTCTTCATAAAAATTCATTTGATAATCATTCACCGGTGAGATATCTGTCGAGTAACACACCAAAGAAAACTGCTAACTAACGTTACAGTGATGTTCATGGAAGGATTTCACTCTTTGGCTGCAAAGTACGTTGTCTTTTCACAGTTATCATAACTGTAATCGATGAACAGGTTCCTAATTTATAAAAGTTTGCACAAAATTCCATTATTATACATATGAATCTTCTTTCGAAGAAGATAAACTGAGTTACCGCTCTAAAAGAGAACACAATTCTTTCTTTTCACAGCTGAAGAGTTCGTTGTAAGTCTGACGCATCTTTCTTCAAGCACAAATATCGTAGAAGAAAATATAAAACCATGTAAAGTTCTTTTCTACATTGAAGATCCCGCCAAAGCTTCTCTCAGAAGACCAGCATTGATTGGAGTGATACGATTGATGAGCAGAAACTGAAGAAACAGAAAGGAACGTACAGGGAACATCTGAGATCGTCCCATGTGTCTTGGAACTGCACAAATTTACAAAAAGCGACTGAAAAACAAATTATCCAAATTATTAAAAAATTCTCTAAACAAAGGGACGGAGACGAGTGTTTGGTTAGACCCAACGATTCACCGCGCACACCCTCAGCTCAAAGAGGCACATCGCTTCTGCAGTTGATCTTTCAATGAAATTCAAGGTATTTCCCGGCTGCTCGAGGTTCAGAGATCATAATTTAAACAGTTCCGGTACGTTTCTTCACCGGCTGCAGAAGAAAGGCGACAAAGACTGATCACACTGAAGGAATAAAAGAGAACGGTGCACGAGGGGGGGGGGGGGCAGGAAAGCGAAACGAGGAAGAAATATGAGAAATAACGTAAACACATAACAAAACAAATTACACAAACACAACGGTCGATTTATATACAATATACTATATAAATATATATATATACATATTATATATACACACATAGGCTAGTTACGATATACATGTGCTTTTGATAAAAAATTATTACTTGTAGAGGTTAGCTAGCCCTCGTATACAGAAACACGATGGAACTGCTGAAGTACACGACGCCTGCGTCCACGTATACGAATGAGAAAGAAACGAGGCACTGGGTATAAGTGCACGCAGATGCTGATAAATAAATATAACACATAAAGATATTCAGGAGCTGAGAAACCGACTCCAAACACTTCTTGTACATGTTGACAATAGGAAACTGACGAACTGAGAGTGAAGACAATGGAAGGACGAGGTGGATCGAAAAAAGGGGAAGTAACTAAAAAAGGAAAGTAGTCGAACTCACCGAGAAACGATAATAATTACAAGTAAAAGAAAAATGAAACAAAGTTAATTGTAACTTGTAAACGACTAAACATAGCCAGTATTATATTGTGTACGTAAAGAAGAAAACATTTAACGAGGACGAACCGGAGTTCGTTTGTTCTACGATATCGTCGACGGGGACACGAGCGACAACTCGACTATTATTGCTATTATTATTGTTAGTTGGTAATATATATAAATAAACTGTTCGCATATATGCGGGGTGAATTGTCAGACATTGTCATTTGAGTTAATTTCTTTTTGTTGATTCACTTGGGAAGAGCCGAACAGCTAATTTGTTATATTTTTGTTGTTCTAGTGTATTGGTGTTTGTAGCGTAGAGAATAATTGATTGTGAGAAGCATCGTTTGGTTGGAGATACATGTTCCTAAAATGAACAATCAGAAAGTTAGTTTATTTGACAATTTCTAGCGATTCACAGAGTTTGAATGAATAACTTTGTCTTTCTCAGATGTTATTGTTGAGATAACAAAAACATTTCAGACTGAACAAAGTTATTGTTCAACTTCATATAAATAATGTATAAAATGCATCGTATGCAGGATAATGATAACGCTAGGATCAGTGGGTATTTGTTAACCCTTTGGAGAAACGTTGCCTCTAAATTACTAAATATTACTTTAACAATATATTAAACTGTTCGTAAGCAAAACTTCCACTTCTCATATGGAAATGAAATGTTTGAAACAGTATTTCACGCTAATGAAAGTATACTGTTGAAGATATTTAGAGCTTCAAGGGGTTGACTGTTATTACCATTGCTTTATTTCGCTCGTGCCCTTGTATGTGAATGCAGTCTATGTAAATGTCACAAGATATATGCAGCATTTGTACATCAGCATTGTTCAGGAATACGGAGTAAATTCAATTGGCATCTTCAAATGTTAAACTACGCTAAATCTAATTATTTCTAATTAATAAGTTATAAATATTTGAAAAAGTAAAAGCGTAACATTTATAATATTTTAATATCTTCATTGGACATTGCTGTTGCAACGTGCAAATATATCTGTGCCCATAATGTATTCATAATATACGTGTGCATAAAGATACACACCAACGTAGTCATTTCTTTTCTCACGCAGTGTTATTTTTATTATGCCACCAGGATGGTGTTTCTTTCGAGTAGACAAGAGTCAAGGATTATTGTATAATTCATTGTACCATACTAATTAGTCGCATCCTAATTGTATCGAACCCCCGACTGTTTCACTGTCGTTCGATGTGTAAGCGCGATGGAACGCCGGATACCATCTCCCCTTTCACGTTTCAGTGAAACATTTCTGGAAAATCTAGGTAGTTCCTAAACTTCTTCTGTACTTCAAATAATTAGGAGGTTAAATGAAAATTTACAAAAAGTCTGAAAAGCTATAAGCTTGGAATATTACAATGAGATGTAGGAACTACCTATTGTCTGAACTGCAGTTAATATTAATTTTTTTAATCATATACACTATGAAACTATATTATTACCTTTTATATTTGTACCATTACTTTGTACTTTTTCTATTCAATGCGATGAGTGATAAGTATACAGTGGAAAATGACTGTAACAAATTTTTACCATTACCAAAAGATTTCCATGAAACATTGCAACAAATATGCTTCATGAAAATGTTGCAATAAAAGAATACTGTAATAGGAAATATTACAGAAACTGGTGTAAAGATGAGAAATATTAAAGGAAATAAGTAGAACAGTAGGAGATACTGTAATGCACAATAATATTGCAGTAGAAATAACTGCAAGAAACTGTATAATCAGGCCCAATAAGAAAACCGAATTTGCTCTTTTTAAAGGAGTCATCCTATACCGACTGACCAGAATATTTGTACATAAGTGTAGTTCATTAAAGACTTTGGATGTCATCCTAAAAAAGTAAAACGTTCCGGCGTCCGGCGTTCCTCGACGTTCCTAATTTTAAAATAATAACAATGAAATCACGCGTCCAAAAATGACAAAAAAAAAAGACAACACATAACGCGTACCATTAATTATACGTGAAAGCACACTGCCGCAATTTTGTATGATTAACTGTTGTTATATATACACCTATACCTATATATTATGCTACGTATACATAATTATTAATTGAGAATGAGTGATACGCATCCATCGAAGGATTCCCAAGTTACAGGCTGAAACTTTCCAACGGAAGGTATCTTCTATTCAAAAATGACAAACAGATTGACTAGCAGAAGCAACAATGTGACAATCAGTTAACTAATATCCACTAGAAACTTAGTTGATCTGTAAGGAAAAAAATTTTATTTTATTTTAAACATCTCCAATACAAAGACACACTCGATAAGAATAATTACCATGTGATGAGACATGGATATCCCAGCTTGAAAAGGGAAACCCTTCGAAGGATGGTGTGTCGCTCTGAAACAACCCCTTGATTGAAGAAAGCTGAGCGAAGGAACTAAGTCTGACACGTAATGGCTCTCCAATTCCTTTTCGCCAATATCTTTCTTTCCTCGTTCACTATGAACCTTCTGAGCGCACACTTCATCAACCTCCTGCATCGTACCTCTAAGTGATGCCACTTGTCATAGAAAATTGTTATAGGTGCGATTGGGGGTGATCAGATGGTCCAAGGAGAAATAGCAACCCTTTGCAATCGTTCAAAACTGTTACTTGAAATCTTTGCTTTTATATTTTCTGCTCTCTTAAGAAGAATCAATGATTAGCTTTCAGTGAAGCAAACTGAAGAAATCCAATTGCAAAGGGTTGAAGGGTCTCATGGAACAATGGTGTTCGGTTAGTTTCTCGCTTCACAACGAAACTTCAGGGAGAGAAAGGCCAAGAACTGCGTGCTTTTATCAGGATACACTGGTTCGATGAAACAGAACCTAATGAAGATGAAGAAAAGAAGAGAAGAGACCAGAGGAGACAAATGAAGTAGAATAGATACGAGGGTGGACAAATTAAAGCGAAGGGGCTTTACGTCGATATAAGAATATAATTTTTTATTGTGCTCGCATTACCTGATTCTCTTGTGCAATCGCGTTTTATGGAACACACCATCAGGACAGAAGAAACGAACGATAACCCAGCGGCTTGTATTTTCTACCGTGGCACACGATCTTTCAACAATTTTATTCTTCTTTATGACAACCCAGCGATATTTTATAGGTCGATGATTTTGATAAGCTCCTGTGCATCTTTTCCTCTGGAGAAAAATACTTGTGCTTCTCCTGCTGGTACCATGATTCGTCGAAGCAGAGCCGTTGAACTTTAAACCTGAAACTGAAGAAGAAAAACTGTTGAAGAGAAGAAACATCTGGTGAATAACAGAGTTTTGTTCTGCGACAGAAGTACAAGTAATAAATTTTCTTTTAGAGACTGTTAGTAGACAGCGAAGCACCTTGGTGATTGATTAATGCCTTTCGCAGGGGAGAAACTTGAATAGAAGATGAAAATTCAAAGGGAAGAAAGGTAGGGAAGAACCTTTTATCTATTAAAACTGAGATAACAGAAAAGTTTGGATGAAGAAATTGAAAAAGGTAAGCGAGGAAGATCTGAAGAAAAGAATAATCTTAAACTTGAATTTCTTTTCAATCACCTGTTCGACGGCTCTGGATATTCACCCCGCACAATAAGATTCGAGGAGGATGCTTTTCTACTGTTTTCAGAGTAAACAGTATTAGTTTCTTCAATGACTCATGGGTACCAACATTGTTTCTGATTTCCCCGCGTTACAACAGGTCTTTTTAATCGTCGAATCCTAGCTAACGTATATACGATGGACCACGTTTGTCATACTGAAAGATTAAAAAAAAAAATGAACAAAAAAATATATGTATGTGTGTCTGAAACAGAGAGGAGAGAGTGTAAGATTTTGTCCATGATTTTTCTATAATTTAGAGGCAGAGAGTAGCTGGGGTGCAACCGTTGTCTCTTTTGCACCCTAAAGAAGAGAAATTTCATAAGAAAATGGAAAGGAAGACACGAATGGAACAATGTTTCCCAAAAGTCTTTGAATTGTTATGAGATTCAGGTCAGAAATTGAATTATTCTAAGTAAGCAGTCTGTTAGGTTTTGGATTATCAGAAGCCAACATTTAATCAAATCATTCATCTTCATCTTTTCAAGTTCCTCCATCACCTAGTTAAGAATTAAAAGCAAGGTAAGAAGAGTGAAACGAAGAAAGCAGGTGAAGCAGAGCTCTCAGTAGCAAACCTGAAGAGGATTCTTAACCAGCTTGACTATGATTTACGTTGTTCGTTCTTCCAATAACCTATGTGATGTTCAGTGAATAACAGCTCAGAGAAGCAGCACAAATTTCAGAAAGGGATCACAGAGGAAGAAGAAAATGAACGACGATGACGATCGAATTCCTCGAGCCACCATATGACGTAGACGTAGAAACGACGAACTTCATTCTCCCATATTTGGTGCTCCACGAAGTCCAAATAAGCAGCAGCCAACAGCAGCAAATAGTAAATAGAATTAAAGCAAAGTGAGACAGACTTATGAATCATTAGATAAAGTAACGAGCTAACAATGTACAGAGTGAAAAGGAAAAGAAAACAATGACTGAGAAAAGGGCACATTTCTCTATTGTTTCTTGAGCTTCACATCTCGGGGGATTCGAAGTACGAAACGCTTTCTTCTTGATGTTAAAGAAGAAGAAAAAGAAGAACGAGGAGGAGAAGGTAGAGACTAAACGAAGCCTGTAAATAAGTAGAATGCATCCTGTTCATCACACGTGTGGATGATTTTTGATGCGCTTGACACAGTTATTCGAAAAGATATAAGGAAGAAATGTATACACACACACACACAGAAACACATACACAGAGGACATATATGTGTACCGGGGTCGAAGCTGGCTGTCCTGGGGCCAGTTAATCTTCTGATCCATTGTGTACAGTTTTGGTGGCTGTTCAGGTGTAAGGGTCCCAGATTAGATACAGCCCTGCATACGTAGTTTCCAGAAGAGTTGTAGCTTCTTGTATAATTATGTGAATTATAATGTAGAAAGGAAAACATTTATCTCCGGGGATCGCTGCGAACACATATCTCAGTCAGAATTCATTCAATCTGGTTGCGAAGGGGAGTTAATTGGATAAGAACGGATTCAGAGTTGTGTCAATAATTGTGGGCCCCTTTTATAAAATAAGTAAGTGTCCATTAGAGGTTTTCAAATGGTTCAGTCTTTTCTTCATTGAAAAGCTTCAGCTAAAAATGAAAATGATTTGAATGTATTTTAAACACCTTTCATTGGTTTTGAATAGATATAAACTTGATTCTAGTTTTCTAGGTGAAGTTGTAAGGAGGATTAATCAAAGATGAACAAGGAGGGGCCCACAATACCTAAGCATTGAGTGGATTGAATCCGTTGATCAAGGAGTGTGCTTGGTCATTTCCATCCTTCATCGAGCAGGGGCATAATTAGGTCGTAGGTTTTACCCTAAAGCTTTCATCATCCTACATATCATAGAGAAGAAGAGATCCTTTTGTTTCTGTAGAGGATAGACGGGCCTACAAAGGGAATTCTTAGGGTTCAGTGAAGTATTTAAATAAAAAGAATTTAAAAAAAAGAAAAATGGAAAAAAAAAGAGGATGTACGAGGAAAAACTTGGAACAAAGAAAAGAAGGAATAAGAGGGCCTCTAGAGTATTTGATAGAGAAACGTATCACGTTTCGAGACAAACGAGGAACACGCTTTTTAGGATTAGTCGCAGCTTCGACCTAGCCCCGAAAGTGTAGCTAAGAAGCACTATACAATGTGCACGATGAACTTGTTGCCTTTCTCTTCATTATCACGAGTACTATTCTTCTGTTGAATAATTAAATTCTTCTGAAAATTAATCTTCTTAAATTGCCTCATTCATTGAGGATATTTAATAAAGAAAAAGTATACTTCTTTGTTTAAAAAAAAAATAATAATAATTCAACGCAGAAAATGATTTCTTCACTTTCTGTAATATAATTAGTCAGTTCTCGATGATAATGAAGAAAAAGGATTTGTTGCAGTGCATCAAATCATTCAGTTTTTCGACATATCCATCTTCTGACCTCATATTTTCATAAAACAAGATATACAACATGCCCATCCTCATCTATAAATTCATCGACAAATTATTTTCATAGTCAGATTAATCAACATTGATCTCATACTGTTCTTATTCTATATCTACTATCTCACAGTATTATAAATAATTCAATTATCTTTCTTTTTTTCTATCTCCTTACAAAGACTAGCTTTGGTATGAATGAATTTTTTATGGCGTAAATGGAGGTATAGTTCGTCGACCATACATGTATTTCATGCTGTAATTCGTTTCTTTTGATATTTGTTTACTAAAAAATATTCCTATTACCTTTTTAATTATTTGACAATAATCATGACTGATGAATGTTTAGAAAAATAATTATTAAATTTGACAATTTCATAAATGAAAGAAAATATCAGAAAAAAAAGAAGAAGATAAATAGAAATACTAGGAAAAACTGAGTATTAATAAATAAATGTTGATGCAGATTGCAGTTGAATATCGCATGTAAAGGGATGAACGCTAATGTAATTTGCATTTGAACAAATTTTACTTTGTTCTTAATTAATTGACGATTTTATAATATTTACATAATTATTTATAGGAGTTTCTATGATAAGTGTACATATAATCAGATCACGAGATCATAATGTCACTGTCTAAGTGATTGAAAAAGCTTATAATTATTTAGAAAGGAGCCTGTGAAACTCTGTTAGCGAACATTGTGTGAAGGAGTAATTGTATTTCACTTGTTGTATTATACACTGTAGAAAGATCTTTTGCGCGTTAATTGTCACTGATTATGTTGTAATTATTTCAAGTTAATTAAGACAAATATTACATGTTTCTTTTTCTGTATCAAAAAGATTAACGAAGGATCTTTAACTGTACTACTTTGCGTTAAAATCTTATATTTTTATAATGGAACAAAGCATCAAGCGTTAGCTGTGCAATCTTCAATTTCAATTCTTATTAAATTTCAATCAAATATATCCAAAGTAGAGATATAACGCGCAATTGATTTTCAAAAGAATACTTTTAATATACATAAAGAATGAATGGATGAGAATTGAAGAAAATGAATGAATGTATGTATGTAAAGAAATCAGGCGATTAAATCGCTCAGAGAATTGAAAATTCTAAGTCTATAAAGTTCTAAGAAGAATGAATTGAATGAATGAGTGAGTGTGTGACCAAAAGATTGGGAAGAAAATGAGAGGATGAAGAAATGTCAAAATGAGAACAGAGCAACAGCAAGCAACACGTTAAAATATAAATACAATAAAAGTAACAAGAAAATGGGAAGGTATAAATATTAATTTTAAAACAAAATGTCGAAGAATGAAAGAATGAGGGGCATCAGAGCGAAGAACGATGAAGTAATGGTGAATGTGAGATGAAGTAGTACATTCTATCAGTATTTGCGCGACAAAACTGGAAAAAAAAAATCGTAACTAAGAATGAGGTGTTTAAATAAATATTCAGACGGTTCGAGGGTTGATTTCACCCTTCCATCGAAGCTGCTAAACGATCCAAAGCAAGGGTGCGTATGTGTGAGAGAGAAAAATAAATATATATATATATAAAAATTATACATACAAAAAATGAAGAAGAAGAAAAAACAACTATCGTTGATCGCTATATCAAGCAAGTAGATATATATATAATATATTATATTGAAAAATATATAGTAGCGTCTCGGTATAATTATTACGATTTGTAATTGCGCGTTGCGGCGCGCCAAAACTACGGGCGCCCATTGACCGCTTATGCGAACCAGAAATCAACTATAAAAAAAAAAACATCGATGAGAGTGAAACCACAAAAATAGTGTCGAGGATTGAAAAGTGTGTGTTTGTGTATGACAGTGTCAATTGTAAATGCGTTCGGCTTTACTAATAATTTATGTTTTCGTTCTAGATCGAACTTCCTAGGTTATGTACGTTTGAAATCTGGATTATTCGCGCCTCTATAGTTCGATCGATAATCGAAATTTTTCGATTGCGGCAAAAGTAGAAATCGAGCGCATTATGCAATTCAATTTTTCTTACTTCTTCAGTTGCGAATTGTTTTTCAATCGAACATTTTTAAAGCCGATCGCACCTTAAGAAAGTGTAGAAACACAGTATGCGAATACAAGTTAACCTCAACACCAAAATAAAACGGAATTTCCTGCAATACAATAGTTAGATCAATTACGGGAATTCTTTGTAACTAGATTTAAATATTCGTATTATTCGTTGTCACGCGTGTTCGTTTGTCCGAATCGCTTTGAGATCCGTATCGTAACGAACATTCTCGCGATAAATGGGGATAAAGAACGGAATCACTATAACGATGGTAAGAATATATATATATATATTTCATCGTATTACGTTTACGAAATTCACGTGAACGTGAATTTTACGTGTATGCCAAGCACGACGGGTGAAAAAGATTTCTGCTTTCGAGGACTGACTTTTTTTTTTAATGTCGTTCTAAATAAATAATTGTAACGATAACGGTAATGGTAACAATAATAATATTAATATTGATAATATAAAAATAATAATGATAACAATGTGCGTTCGAATTGCTAATAATAATAAATAATAATATATATATACTTTAAGGCATGTATTCTCCCAGCGTGCTTGGCCGTGTGTCTTGGTTTTAATTGTTTATAAAAAAAAAAGAAATGTTATTGCGTTGTGGGCCGATCTTGATGACGATCGATGTTTATTAACGATTAAAATGATTATCAGTAGACGAGAGAAAGTATCGAGTAAACCCTTTGCATTCGAACATCCAATTACAACGAGAATTCTAATTTTCATTTGTTTTACGCTGCAAATGAATGTACAGAGGCAAATATGAATGATTCACGATTTTTCGAGTTATATTAGGTGTTACGTGCGAATAATGAATACGAATATAATGACATAGGTAAAAAGTAGTTCGAGTGAAAAGGGTTGCTAAGCTGGAGGCGACGCTTTATTTTTTTTTCTTTCATTTAACAGCATCTAGACTACCAACGTATAATTGATGATAATTGATGATAATATCAAAGTTCTGAAATATTTCAAAAATGTCAAATATAAAAAATGTATACTGTGTTTTTCTTTTAGTAACACGGACATTTGCGGTAAAATGATATAGGGATTTTTGTGAATGAAATATAATTAGTTATTTATCGATAATAAGTTGGTAGCCAAGTTGCTAGGGATGTTGCTTGATAGCGAATCGATAAATCTCACGTAAGTGAAATATCGTAATAGTGTTTAGGGTTCTAACGTCGCCACTTCCGGCGGGTGTAATTTAGTCAGTGTTAAATCTACACACTAATTCAAAAGGAGAATCGACGGTGCGCGTGGTCGTCGACCGATTATAAATCAACAGTAGAAATAGTAGAGCGTGACAATTTCAAAGAGGTAGTACTACCGTTGTTCCGTTAATTGTTTTCATAGATTTTATTATGCCGTGACCGCATCGCGTGTTCTTGCTAAACGTTCGTTTACATGCTAAAGGGTAACAATAAATAATTGACTTATTAACAAACAATTACACGGTGAACTTGTTCAGTGTTCGTATTACCTGATTCAAATATTTCGCGTACTACGAATTGAATTTCGCGCCCTTCGATAAATCGATAGTGAACAGTCGAACTATTGAAAACTAAAAAGTCCCTAGAGTAGTATCCATTTAAAAATAGAGTCGGGTACATTTTTTCGAACAACGAAGTTCTCCAAAGAAATAAGTTTGTTTTTACGTTAATATTGATTTGTTTTAAATAATTTTAAAATTAGCAAAAATAACCGACAAGTTTCACGAGACGCGGCCACGCCTAGCCAGGACTATTTTTCTAAGTTGCAAAGGTATAATAAATTAATGATGTTGCATTATCGTTACTAGAGTATATTATAATGTACATTGATATTTTAACTAGCGAAGTATGAGAAAAAAATGTTACGAACATAGTAAACAAGCTGCATATAATATATTAATATACAAATGTAGATATCTTCGTTGAAATCGTGCCGGTTCGTACTTGCGGTCGGTGCATGCGCGCGCACGCAGCAACGTGCCATTAGCCTGATAAACCAATTTCAAATGACGGCGACAGGAATTAGCGAAAGGAGACATTTAAAATACCATTTTACGAGTTGAGGCACGCCTTTATAAGTTCCAGTGTCGATTCGCGATCGAGGAAGTACAACTGGGTAAAAACCGAACGAGAAAAGGAAAAAAATTCCTAGACGCGCAATGACCCGAGGCTGGAACGACGTGAATGCAAGTGCAAATAGAAAAATGTGCGCGTGAGAATGGATGAATGGCAACGAATGAACGGGGTGTCGTTCTTCAACCAAAAAAACAAAAGAAAATTAATAATGGAATCGTTCTATCAGTCACCTCACGTATATTATACAATGTCATAATACTATGCTGCCATATGATATAAATACATGTCTGCGGTAAGAAGTATATTATTAAAACATTATAAATAAATATGTTATAAGTAATTATTTCCGTGGTTATATTTTTCAGATTAGAGGTGCTGTCCTTTTCAAATTTCCCTACATTATCAATCACCTCGATATAAGCTTAGAACTGTTTTCCCCAGATGGCACTAGAAGCGGTTAAAAAACTAGGGCAGTTTGCTCAGCTAGTAAAATTAGGTTTAGTGATCGATATGTAGTTCAAAAAAAGAAAATGTCTTCTGTCGTTATGATTTAATGTAATCTCACTTTTCTCATGTTTAAGATTTTCAGAAATTTTTTAGAAAACGTGACAAGTGTACAATGTTGCATTTTTGTAAACATCTTGTTGAATAACTACTCTTGAAACGTTTACTATTTAATCTTCTCTTCAATTATTAAAATTGTTAAGCAGATTTGTATATTGAGGTTATGAAGTGGCTTCACATATTTATAAGAAGATATTTCAGTTTATGTGTACGTAGAGTTCGCAGTACTGATCAATTTCAACGAATCAAGCACAGTTTAATGCAATATCGATATTTTAATTAGTTTAATTTATACCATTTTCAGATATCACCAGTGTATAGGACATATACAAGTTAACTTATGTTTTATTATGAAGCGACGTCAAAGAAGGCCTGTTTTAGAGCTCAATCAGTCGCATTCTGGTTCTCATGGCGAATATGTACAAAGTAAAGAGATTTGTTTCTAACCATGCATGCGGTTAACTTTCTATAATTAACAATTTTTCATTTGCCTCAGATAAACGCAGGCAATTAAGTAACGATTACTGTGGACAAAATGTACCTGCCAATTCTTTGGCAAACATACTTTGTCATTATAATTCAGATAGTGACACCGAAGAATCTAAAAAAGATGTTTGTAAATTAGATGATCAGGTTAATAATTTTTTCAAGGTTAGTTTACATTATATCACAATTTTGTATTTAACCCTTTCGCTGCCACGTGAAAGGGTCATATTAAAAATTTTATAATGGCAAAGAATTGCGATATATATTAAAATAATGGTACAATCTTGCCAATGGTCACCAGGGACCACCATGGCCCAAATGAAAAGCCAAGCACTGGTCCCATGGGACCACACTGGCAGCGAAAGGGTTAACAGGCCTCTATGCAAGATATTTTGTAACCTGTAATTTATAGGAAATTCAACTTATTGCTCCCAAGCAACCAGTATCAGATGAATCTGCTGTCAATCCAGCTGTGAATTCAAATACATGCCAAACAAACCACGTAAACCAACAAGCGCTAAGTAAGGATTTATTATGAGTATCATAATGTTGAAAATATACAAATTTTCAAAACTTTTTTTACCGTTTAGTGTGGAGAGAATGCCTAGATGAATCTTCAGGGTATCCTTATTACTGGCATATTGAAACTAACGAGGTAACATGGGAAATGCCAGATGAATTACGGTATTTGAAGAACAACGTTAAATCAAGTTCTATTATGAAACAGTTACAAGAGTCTCATTGGGTTGATTTCTCATCTGTCACATGTAATTATATCTGCATTTTTAAATGCCTCAGTATGATCCTTTTAATAAATCATATATATATATATATATATATATATAATTTTAGATCAACAATCTCAAGAAAACATACCAGAGGGTATGATACCGAGGGAAGTAGTGGCTCGAAATCGCAATAGGTACATTTGCAACGAGTCTGCTAAAAAACGTGAGGCTCAATCTGATCAGGAGGTTGCGAATACATCTGACACTATGGATAACGACTCCGACGATGGGTATGCTGCTGAAATGTTAATACTATTAAATCTGATTGTAATGAAATAGTTAAGAGAACGATAACTTGACATTTTAGAAAGATAGAAATGATAACGTCCTATGGAAGCGACGAAAGTGATTCCGATACGCCGGATGATAATCAATCTAAAAACAAAGCACCTTCTGTAACTGAATCAACCAGTACAGGTTCGACAGTGAAAGCAAAGAACATTGAAACATATCCCTCGACAACGCCGGTAATACAGCCTCAACTACCGACGGTTCCCCAAAATTCCGCTCCTGATTATGAAAATAAAGACACTGTGGAGTATAAAAAGCCAGAAGTCTCGTTAGACTTAAAGCCAACAGAAGATACAGAAACTAAGTACTTAAAAGCTCAAGTTAAACAAAGTGTAACTCAGGAAACTGAAGAAAAAACTAACAATGATAATCAAACAGCGAAGGAGTCTTTTGTAAAGAAAAGTAGCAACAAGCATAATACCGACGTCGAGTTAGACTTTCGTGTGTCCTTAGTGCCGGGATACGATGAAGATTCCGATGCCGAAGAGGAACCTGAAACTAAACAAGAAAGGAAAGCTTTGTTTCCAATTCCTTTGACCGACAATGTCAAAGAAAGTACACCTCTGCCGAGTAAAATTGTGCTTGACGAGAGTCAAACGATAAGCTCAATTGTCTTAATCAATAGTGCTGATAACGAGAGCAGTAGCGAAAGGAAAAGTACTCAAGATCAAGAGGACGAGCAGGTATCAGAGAAGCCGGAGTGCAAAGAAGAGCCTGCTGTAAAAGCAGAGGAGGATGTGCAAAAGACGAACAAATTTCTTGATAATTTATCTGGAAGGAGTAAATTCTTTCAAAGGAAAAAGCGAATCGCGTTTGATGGTAAGAATATTGATATATTTATACAGGGTGTTAAAAAATTCCCTGAAGACCTACACCGTTGGATAGATCAGGAAAAATAGAAGTGAAAAGTTCTGTAGCATTTTTTGGTGGGATCAGTAGTTTAGCCGCATTTCGTTGTTGAAAATTGACCAATCAGGGCGCAGCTGAGTGGCAAGCATGCGCAGTGGGGATTTTCTGCTGCTTGCTCGGCGGCAGGGGAGGTTAGTTTCCTACTGCGCATTCGCAAGCGCGTCGCTCAGCGGTAGAGGTTAGTTTCCTACTGCGCATGCGTGCCACTCAAGCTGCGCCCTGATTGGTCAATTTTCAACAACAAAACGCGGCTAAACTACTGATCCCATCGAAAAGTACTACAGAACTTTTCGCTTCGATTTTTTATGATCTATCCAACGGTGTAGAGGTCTTCAAAGAATTTTTTAACACTCTGTATATTAATAAATATCGTTTCAATATGAAATTGTAATGTATCTTCCAGTTACACCTTCAAAAACGAAAACAGTCGATGAGAGCGAATCGACTAAAACGGAAGCCGAGACGCAACGCGAGGAATCAAATTCGTGCGACGAACCTATTACCGATCATCGAGAGCATAACGATACGACGAGCGAAAATACAACAGAGAATGCTGCGAATTTCAAAGACGAACCGAACAATACACTGGAAGGAGCAAACGTATCGTCTGAAACGTCAAACGAGTCGAAAGAAGACGAAGGAGAAGTTAATTTATTATCACAAATCGTTCTTGAGAAATTGAAATTCTTGTCAGAAGGAAAGCCAAGTGTGTCTCCGGTTCAAATGATGTCTATACAGTTACAAGTAAATAAAGTTTTTCTTATTGAAAATAAAATATGATGTGTAAGGTTTAATGATTATCTTTTGGATTTCAGACACTGTGTATTGCATGGGAAGGAGGTTACTTAGAAAAAAGTTACTTACGTAGATGGTTGTCTGATACTAGTCATGAATTGGAACGCTTGGAACAAGACGCAGCACCACCTGGATGGCTTTGTCAATGGGATAGGTATAGTATACCATCTAAAATTTATGTATTACTTCGTACCAATAAACATGAATCGTTCCATACAAAGCATCGCGTATGTTATACACGCCATTATTCTAAAAAAAAAAAAGTATCCGGGAATAATCTTTGCACGTACCATTGTATCAAGTCAGTTAATGGTAATCGAAAGCTTTTTATTTGAAATTTTTACTTGAAATTCTATTTCAAATTCTCCTGACAAATATCTATTTTTCCATATTTTATTTTTCACTCTCTTAATATCTCTTGTCAGTGTCTTTGTGTTTAATCATAAAACTTCAAGCAATTTCAAGCAAATTGAATGCCTTGTAACAAACATTTAATCAATTTGATTTTATCAATTTCAGAGCAAAAAAATTACCCAATTCTTTGTCAAATTTGTAGGATCATTAAGAGCGTTTGCATTAAACTCAATTGCATTGAAACACAGGTTTTATTTGTACATAAAATGTATCTTTAAACAGTATCGCGTTATTTATGTTAAACGATAGCCAAGATAGGTCTGTGTTCAGAATGCAGTCATTCAAATAATATGTGTTCAATATTTAAAACAATCAATACATATGGAAGAATTAATAAACGTTAAAACTGCTAATCAGTGATCGAATAATAAAAAGATGAAGTGATAGAAACCAAAGACTTGTAGCTAAGTGCACGGAACAATTTCAAAAGATGCTTGATTAAAAATGCAACCACCTTAAATGTGAATATCGAGAAATAAAATTGATACGCGAGTGTTGAAGAGAATAGATGAACCTTGAGAAGATATCTGGATGAAGTACTGAATGTTTGAACGAAGCACAGAACCTTTAACTCAAGTTCCTCTTGGACCAAGTTACGCAGGAGAACTTGGAGCTTAAACAGAAGCAGTGTACGTCAGAAAGAATTCATTGAAACATGGGAATAAGTTTTAACGCAAACCTGTTAGTTGAAAGAAAACAAAGCACCAATATTCTAGATAACCTTACCATGTCGTGTGATATACTATATTTTTTTCTCACGTAAATGTTTCACGTATCATGTTATAATTTCTCTGTACATATGATCGTCATTCGATATTCTTGTTAAATACATTCCATTAAAAGTTGTCTGTTCTTTACGTACAACTATATGTGTTCAAATGTGATATCAATTGAAGCCATTCTGTTTCTGTACGAGTGCTCGTCGTCGTAATCTTGGAAAAAAAAAAAAAAAAACAAAAAAAGAAGGAAAAATGTCATCCTGATTATTGCACTCTCAGTACACGCATAATCAATTCGCTTAATTTCGCTAGCGTAACGCAGACGTTGTCGACGTAATCTCGATGATCGTGTTGCGGAAGAGAGCGCCTTCTATGTATACCGCTAAGTAACACTTAATCCTTTTGTAATAAAAGGGTCTCGCTGAGTTAACGGCACGCCGAGTCGCAGGTAGGAGTATTAACTGTTTTTTAGTTAATAAGTTGCTTCAGAAATCGGGAGGACGTTTCCTTTCACGGAGTAACGTCCCTCGAAAGTTTGTCAATGTAAAGAAAAAAAAAAAAAAGAGAAAAAAAAACAAAACATGCAAGTAAGTTCATTGTCCCCTTCACTTTATTATATTCCTTGCTGACCATTTTTTCCAGGTCACATAAGCGATATTATTACCAGAACACCACTACTGGAGTTACGCAATGGACCTATCCGGACACTGGCATCGCAGGTGGTGCAGAAGAAATGGAGATTTGCTCAACGCCTCCTCCGACAGAACAGGAAGAGATGATTTTACCTGGTAAATATATTTATCAATATCAATCTTTAATTTCCAATCAGACGTACTATCACTGTTGTTTCTTCGCTGCAGTAGAAGAAGAAGGAGTGAAACTGAAATCAAAGAAATTGCAAGAAAGCGATGAGACAAGCCAGGACACTGCAGCTCCAAGGAACAGTGATATCGAAGCTCCACCTCCACCTCAGATTTCAAATCCAAGTCCACCCCCACCTCCAAAAATATACGCAGAGGATCTGAAAAGGGACAAAAGGAAACAAGATAAATGCAACGACAAACTGGATAGTAAGAAACAGAGACCTAGAGAAGGTGAATTCCATATTATATAAATTATCTGTATTAATTAAAATATAGATTCAGATATATATTTTCTGTTACAGAGGGAACGATAATTACTGAAGTGAAATTAGAAGATTCAGTTGCGCCCTCTCATTCTTCAGCTTTGTTATCCCCTCAGCCAACGAGCCTTGTGAATGTGACCAATGCAGAGCCGCTACCACCAGGTGTGGATTTAACAGAAGCACCGTATGAGATACCTGCAACTGCCCTGAAACGAATTATATACGGTGCTGTGCAGCCACAAGGCAGTGCTCTTTACGATACAACAGCAAGGGATCCAACAGTTCCTATTTTAAGTCATCCAGCGGCCATAGTACAAGAACATTATCTTCAGTACCCAGCTTATCATCAGCATTTACACGCTGTAAGTTCTGAGAGAAGGGAAATCTGTATTTAATTTTTCTGTAACATTGTATATTTGTTGAACAGCCAGCGGCGTTAGTACTTCCACACAAACACAGTGTACAACCTGCGATTCAGCTAATACCTGATTACACTCCAATATATACAAACCACAAGATCATCGAGAAGCCACCAGTTAAAACAGCCAAGGAGTCTTTGGTGTCTGCTTTAGATTCATTTTATAATGACATAGCACGTATAGAAAATACTGGGACGGAGAAAGCTCCTCAGAGACCAGATACCACGATAGCAGAACCCTCTTCTGTACCTGCGGAGGAGACAAAATTGGAAACAGAACAGGAACCTCTTCCTGCTGAGATTGCAGTGAAAGAGAGGAAGAGGAAAAAGGTAAGCAACGCTTTGTTAAATGAAAATTAATTAAGATTAACTTGTTATGTGATTTCAGGCGAGAATTGGTATTAGTAAGAAGCATAAAGAGATGTCTAGTATGGTAGCTAAATGGCAAAAAGTGCAACAGAATTTTGAGAACACATAAACTGAGCAGATGTAGTAGTAATGTTCTGCGAGGATGAGGTAATTATTTTCTCTTCGATACTTGAATTATAATTCTAAAATGATAAAATAAACAACTCATTGGTGTTGCAGATGCAATTGTGCGATATTTAAGTCGTTGAACATAGAATAGCGCACTGTACTTCCATCAGTATAGTGTTCCTGTACCTGCAGTTAATATTGTTATTGTATGCTCTTTTTTATTTTTTAAATTTAATGAAAATCGGTCGAACATGCAAATAATGTAAATTTCAAAATGTTATATTGTCGCCGGAACGATTTCTATTATCTGTACAAAACACAAGTTAATGAATTTCAAAGTTCATAAACCGTTATTGCAATTTACAAGCATTTAAAATAAAACAAATATGAATTAATAGTATCTATTATCTTTAGATAAGTTAACGATATCTAACTCGTCTGTCTTTACGTGATCTATCTTCTTTCTCATGTTAATTGGATAAATTTCATTGTTTAAACTCTACAAGAAAAAACTTTGTAAATGTTGAAAGAGATATTAGTTAAGTACTTTATATAATAAAGAAATAGCTGACATTTGAACATGATGAAACTGGTAAATGTAATTATTCACTATCTTTTAAATGACAAATGGTAACGGTTTCAAATCAATTTTCATTAGTACATGATCATTTTGAATAAATATTAAAAAGAAAGATGATATATATATTAAATCTGTAAGCAGAGACTATTTTAGATACTTCCATGAACAGTTAAATATTTTTTAAAGGAACTACCCAGGAGCTAATATAATAATGAAAATTTGTTTGTAAAATTGTGCATGTTGAAAAATTGTTTTTGTATTAATATGTAAATATGTGATTGAAAAAATATATGTATAAACAGGAGGACATGATCATGATTTCTATACAATTGGTTTACAAATTAACACGTTAATTACAATTTAAGTACAAAATTGAATTTCCCGGGTTTTCTTTAAAAGTTGACCGCAGCGCCATCTATGCAGAAATGGCTGAAACTACTCGTTAGCTTACCGACCAAAATTCCAACACAGGCGCCATCTACCGGAGAGTGATAGAACTTCTTGGTTGAGAAGTTTCCGTCGTTTTTTAATAGATGGCGCTACTGGCGCTATAATCAGTGACTACAGATGTACAAGACTGGACATGCCTTTGTTTTCGAGAGGAAATAACTTAAGGGGTCCCAGACACCCCAAAGCAGCATAAAATTGAAGAATTATTATTGTAATTGTTTGACAAACTTGTATTCACTTCATGCACTTTGATAAAGAACTCATTGGCAAAAAGCAACTGAGTTATTATTTAATTTAACCAATTTCATTTCTGAGTTATTTATTTAATGCTTGTAATTTCTTTTCTCAGCTATTTATTTAATTGACTAAAATTTTTCTATCATTTTAGTTATTCAATATACTTCTAATTTCCCTTCGGAGTTTATTTAATTTACTATATTTATTTTTTCCGCTTATTAATTGGCTCATGAAAGGGGAATAAAATTTATGATTTTATCTCTCTTCTGGGCATCTGCCGTCCACCCTTTTACTTATTACTTATCTTTCTTTATGAGTCCCGCCTCACTTTTTTCAGTTGTTTATTATTTTATCCTTCCCTATGGACTAAAGACCACCCTTTTCAGGTATTAATTGTTTCATCCTCCTTTATGGGTCAAACCCACGCTGCCTAATTATTTATTATTATTTTAAAATTAAAATAAAATATAATTATTTATTACTTTATTTCTCTTTATGGGCCTCGCGGGGACCGCCCTTCCCAGGTATTGTTTATCCTATTCCTACTCTTATGGACCAAGGCCTCCCTTTATAGTTATTTACTTTTTTCATTCTTTTCATGGACCTCGCAGGAACTACCCCCAAATCACTGTATCTTCGTATCCTTTGTACCCATGCATCCCTAACATCCCAGCACTTCTTATAAGCCTGCATTCTTCGTGTTCCTGCATTCCTTACATCCCGACATCCCTTATATTCCTGTATCTTTTACATCTCTGCATTAATTACACCCCTTACATCCATGTATCCCTTATATCGCTGTAAGCACTTTTTGAGTAAGAAAACGTTACAAATTTAGTTCCTTTTTCCGCCGCCAGAGGGCGCTGATTCGAGGTCGAGATTTTAGTTCGAATTTTTGCCGCAAGAGGGCCAAAATTCCTGCGATGTTTAGTTTCTTTTTCTACCGCCAGAGGGCGCTGATTCGAGGTCGAGATTTTAGTTCGAATTTTTGCCGCAAGAGGGCCAAAATTCCTGCGTGGTTTAGTTCCTTTTTCTACCCCCAGAGGGCGCTGATTCGAGGTCGAGATTTTAGTTCGAATTTTTACCGCAAGAGGGCCAAAATTTCGGCGTGGTTTGGTTCCTTTTTCTACCCCCAGAGGGCGCTGATTCGAGGTCGAGATTTTAGTTCGAATTTTTACCGCAAGAGGGCCAAAATTTCAGCGTGGTTTAGTTCCTTTTTCTACCGCCAGAGGGCGCTGTTACGAACGCCGAAAGCGTCATTCAAGGACGTAAGTGATAAAAGGATGTAAGGCACCGCAGATTGTAGGGAACAGAGTGATTTGTAGGATGTAGGGCTATCAGGGAAGCAGGGCTATAAGGGAAGCAGAGCTATAAGGGAAGCAGGGTTGTAAAAGGAACAGACATTTAAGGGATAGGGAAATTTACAGGATTGAAGGGTGTGAGGAATAGAAAGGTGTAAAGTATAGCGGGATGTTAGGCATACGGGGATGTGAGGAACGTTTCCCAGCGTAAGGGTGATAGAGGAGTAAAGAAAGCAGGAATGTAAAAGGTGCACACGGGAGTAATAAAATCAACACGTTCGTCCTCCTAATGAATTTATTCAATAAGCTAAGAAGATTAATATAGCAAATTAAATGAACGCAGAAAATAAACTAAGAGTATGTATGTTTAGCAGGCAGATCTGCACCCCTCGGCGGTCGCTATAAGACTGATGATGTTTCACTTCGCTCTACGTCAAACGGTTGATGACGGTGCTGCAGCGAGCTACCTTTGTTGGAATCGGTGGCTGTAAATATATATTTTTTTTAATATGGGGAAATCTTGTATAAGACCCCCTACCGACCACTGCGGGAGGGCGGCAGGGGAGTGTCAGATTCCTACTGACTAAAACCCTACAGCGACCGACACTGGCGCTAAATGAGGGCTCTGGGACATTATGTATATTACTCCGGAGCCCTTCACGCCTGCCAAGTTGTTACCCACTTGGGGTGCCTAGCATGTGGTAGGGCCGGGGGTCGCATCCGGTGCCGGCTTCTATGTATGTAAGTACTTGGGCCGCATACAAATCTGGAGCCCCCACTCAGAGATGGGTTATGGGACGGGTATGTACAAGTTTCAATAAAACGGGGTACCTTAATCACCCTGCATAAGTTTAATAACTCCTTCACCAATATTAGACGCCATTTTGTATTTAAATATAATTTATTCAGTAGCTTACCAAAACCTCATAGTCCGTCCGTCTCGTAATGAACCCTACGCCCCTTAGTGACTAGGGCCTAGTCCGTAGTTGCGCTACAACATAGATACGTCACTGCAAAACTCGCGCATGCGCAGGAAAACCCGTCCCATATCCCATCTCCGCCCCCACTCCCGACGCCTGGGGCCCTGACGGCCCCACCGGGTTTGAGGGTGAATCCGTTATATCTAATGTTGAGAGAGCACTTGTGAAAGGGGTTGAATCAACCAGTGACTATAGATAGTAGTCACTATTATCTATAGTTACTGCCATGATAATAATGCTCTAGCACCAGTTAACCTATATATTTAGTTGTAAAATTAAAGCGATATGAATAAATTTAATGAAAGAGCTGAAAAGAATCTTAATGCAAGGAAACAATTTACACGTAATCAAGAATTAGAAAACCCTTGTTGGAAGGTCTAATTTAATAATTAATCTTTTAAGGTTATATTATTCTGTATTTTAATGTATTTATTTACATATAATAAAAACACTGTTTCAGGAACATAATATAAGTTTAAAATGTCTAGATAAAAACAATTACGACTACGAGAAATGTACACTGCAATTTGAAAATTACAAAACCTGCAAAAGCTTTTGGGTAATTTATGTATTTAATTACATGTATCTGTTACAATTTTTACATCATCAAAAGCATATGAATTTTATGAATATTTTAGAAACATGTAGTGACTGATAGGACAATACGGAACATTCAACCAGCGCTTCCATTACCTGAAGACAGAGAAAAAGTGAAAGCACAATATTTCTCATGAAAGACGATACATTGTTATTTATATCTGTATCTGATCTATGTACCAAGTTTATATGAATTTCATTGTGTCTTTGGAAACATTTATTTTTTATTTAATTATGTATGTATGTACATAGAATAGTAATCGCAAATATAGAAATGAAAGTACATTAAAAATAAGTAAAGTATATATAGTCTTTAAAGTAAACAAACTACACTTTACATAAAATCTTTTTAATATCTTTGGCAGGAACAAAGTTTCAAGAATATTTGATTACATTCTACGCGAAGAATTCATGATGAAAATTATAAATAATACACAATAATAAACAATAAACTGGTATATAGTTACACTGAAACAAAAAAAAAACATTAAATACTTAAAACGTACAGTTACATTTAAAGATAATATAAATAGAATAGATTACATAGATCTCTTATAATCATTTTGGTTATTACAAAATTTACCATTTCAGGATTATCCATAATGTAGCTATACTCCTGCTGAAACTACGTATGTACATACATTAAGTTTTACAAAAATGTGATTAGTTCTACTAATATTTAATTCTACTTAATATTTAAAATGAACATTTTTTTTTTGTTACAAGTATAATATGTTACACTTTCATATCTAATTGTAAGATTACATACGTTCTGATGATATAAAATAGACTAGTAACGTATTAAATGCACATGTATGGAAATGACTTAATTGGTATCATTATCTGAAACATATTAATGCAGATAATTTAAACATACCCAATCAACACAAATCCATGAACATTTAAATTAGCCAAATATAATATATATTCAATCCATTATTATCTCACTGAATTCTGAAAAAACATTTTTATTTTTATAATATAAAAAATTTTCAATTCACCTAATGTACACGAACTGAAAAATAATTTAATTAATATTTTCTTGGGCCATTTGTTACGTGATACAAATACAAAGTCTACAGTTCTTTCTGGAATGAAGAATTGACTTTTTAGTATGATTATCTTCAACAGCATTATCACTGTCACTAATGACAATGTACATTAATTGGAGAAACTTTCAGCTTAAGGATATCAATTAACGAACGAGTACAATAACACACACATGCATTCTCACGCGAAATGAACGTCTCGGTCAGAAATGTCCACCAACATTACGTCCCGTCAGTTCTACCCTTTTAAATTATTTCTTCAGCTTACTCAGAATTTTTATGCAATGCGAAATACTTCTCCATTAGACAAGGAAAAGACTGTCACATGATAAAACTGAGCAGGCTCGATTTTTCACTAAACAGACAATACATGTTAAAAACGAAATCCATGAACGACAAGATGTTATACGTCATATTAAAAAAAAAGCTAAGTAAAGAGTTACGAACAGAACACAAAAAGGCAACGTAAAAACCAATGAATCCATAAATATTAACAAAACTATCCAAGTGTTACACTCTCTTATTAATGAAACTTTGCCATCTTGTAAAGCTCGTCGAGCTGAACACGCCTATACCCCTTGTTGGGGGCAAACAACTAATTGTTTAAAAGATATTAACAATTACAGTTAGTTACTCCTTACATTCTGAAGTATGACAAACTCACACATACAACTCGCAATCTAGAGATCCACGGTTCAAATCCTTGGTTCCCAACATTTATTATTTTTTTTTTAATTATAATTTGTCTCTTTGAATAACTATTGCATAAAAATTATCATTAAAAAAAAAAAAATTGTTGGGGACCAAGGATTTGAACCGAGGACCTTTAGATTGCGAGTCATGCGTTTTACCCCGGAGCTAACGGTTTCTATGCAAGTTTAATTGTTAATATCTTTTAAATAGTTATCCGTTTGCCCACAAAACGGGGTATAGGCATGTTCAGTTCGACGAGCTCTACAAGTTGGCAAAATTTCATTAATAAGTGAGCGTAACACTTGGGTAGTTCCCCGTAAGATATCCATAGATATATGCAAAGGGTTGTAAGAAAGAAACTAACAGATGATTCTGTAACTATATCACAGCAGTGAATTTAAAGGATTTTACCTATGCAAATAAATAAATAAGATTACTTAACAGGTACTATTTTTGAGATATGCGATCAGCGATGACAACACGTTTGATTAGTATCCCATTATTCAGATTTGATGCATTTATAGCTGATGCTTGAAATAGTTTTTCTTATACCGTCTTAGTTTCTGATATTTTTATTATACTGTTTGCCTTACGTTTGTCTGCTCTGTATTCGGTAGTTCGTAGCTTGCTATAATTTAATCTTCGTTTTTAACATGTATCGTCGGCAAGTAGTCAATCGGCACGATCTTTAATGCGGAATGTATGAATGCGGAAGTGACGACACATCTGACGCACCTGAAATAAAACCATGTATTAATACAATTCTGCTTGAAGAAAACTGGATTAACCAATGTTAGGAATCTTACCACACAAGTTCCATAATGTATATGTGCTAATAAAGCTAGGATGGCAACAATATATGCCACTACCAGATCTGTGCTTGGCAAGATAAACGAGAAAGCTGCTGCAAATGCTATAGGGAACAATATCCACGACAGCATCTCGCACGCGGTGTTGCTCATTTGTGAAACGATCAAACGGCACTGAAAATTTCAAATTTCATCAATTCTCAATAGTAAATAATTTAATATTTTAATTTAATTAATTTAAATTGATTAATAATCAATTCTTTGTTTATCTTACACATATATTTGAGAAAATCGTTCCTATAATTAAGAAAACGATTCGAGGATCTTTCTCTATAATATTACTAGGCGAATGAATCACCCAGATTGTTGAGATTACAAAAAATACTGCTAAAGGTATCAGAGGTCTTATAGCATCTAGGAATGTTCGCATTTTACCAGTCTTGTCCCTGTACGATCTGAAAATAAAAATAAACGTGTTAGGTTAAATTGAAATCATCTTATGATTAAATGGAAATCGCTTTGATACTAACTTGTATATGTTCCAGAGGACAACAGGTAAACTAGATACAATTGCAGTAACATAAAGTACCAACTCAAACATCACTCCAACTGATATACCACCTGGTAGTACAAATTTCCAAGCTCTATGCCCTCCTATACTCGTTATAATAAACACTATAGTGGTACCCTGAAAGTTTTAAATGATTGTAAATAATATTGACTGCGATGAAATATACCTACAAACATTCTACTTTATTCTACGCAAAATACTTACCACCATAGATAGATCATATCCCCAGGGAAGATACAATACCCCAGTGTTATATTTTTCCCAGTGAGTCAAATAGAAATTGATAAACACATTCCATAGAATGAAATACATTCTCAATGGGGACACGCTGTGATCTGTCCTGCCGAATACAGAAAACATGCAAACAGTGATAAGCATAGTTGTCCAGCTATCTAACCCATGATCAAACAACTCTCCTAAAGGACCAGAAGTCTGTGTACGTCGCGCCTGTTTTCCATCTATACCATCTATAAAAGAAATTTTATAAAGAACACAAAATTATTATACACCGATGGGCAAGTTGAATACCACTTACCAAGTGTATATGCCATAAAGACGTTAAATGCACCCAGAGCAAAGACCCATCGTGGTATAGGAAGATACTGTGGCTTATCGTCACTGGATGCATAAAAATAATAATCGTAACTTGCGAACATTGTGAAGTTGAAGACAGTGAAAAGGAATCCAGAAAAGGTTAGTACATTCGGAGCAACCCATTTTGGACAATACTGAAAAAAAGGCAGATTGTCAAACAGAAAGTTCGTTAATGTACAGTTAATAGAAACATACCTGAACAACTTTGTTCCAAAATGGGTGCATAATATAAACGCTCAGAGGACTCGTATCCACAGAGTTGTACTGCAAACATAATTATTACAAATTTACTATAATATTTATGGGATTATCGGAGGCTAGAAGTTATTAACCGGTATTAATACCAGTCATTTTTTTAAATAACATAGTAAGCATGATTTGCTTAGATTATCAATGCATACAATTATAAATGTTATATAATATAAAACAAATACAAACTATAATTATATAGCATAAATGTATATCAATCTAAACGAGTTTCAGAGTACAAAATCCAATACATAAATTAGTAACTATGCTTTTAATTTTTTCTTCTTACAAAACATTGCTGAAAACCTATTAAAGGATATTCTTGGTGCATTCATAAAACTGCAGGTATTTAATTACCAAACAGAATACATTAGTAAAGGTAATTTCAGAATGTTCTTCAATAAATTTCACGAATCATTCTGAAAGAAACTTAACAAATTACAATCTTTGTACCAATTAATTAATAATTTATAAAAACGCATAGGAGCGAAATCTGCAGGGGAAAAAAATACGAATACTTATCTAATCAGAAAACTTACTTTATAATTTTCGAAGCCGGTAAGATGCTGCTCCGTTAGGTACTGGACCTCCAGTTTCAGTTTTTGATACATTGTTAATAAAAGGATCTTATCTAACCGCTGGTTGGAGACGAGTTTCGATGACTTTTCCGATCGACTTTATATTTTATTGCATCGGAACACCCGACGCGTTACCCAGTGATACGAGTTAGGTTAGAAGTAGCGAAGGACACGAAGAGATTTCAGTTTTCAAAAACACGTGTGCTACGTGTAGTGGCCTGATCGAGCGTCAATTCATGCTGATAATTAAACTTTGCATAAATGACGGCACTTTGAAACAATTCCTCTGGATAAAATCTGAAGGCTGATACTCACGTGTGCAAAACGCTGGAAACGATAGGCGGTTGATTCGCCGCGTTACGATCGAAACGGAACAGAAATACAAATCGCCGCCTATGAGACTGCGTGTGATGGCGTATTATTCTTAAATTAATTCAATCGAACGCCTAACCTTCGATGATAATAAGATCTTGTTAGATAATGGGCGAAGATCAGAATTGAATTGAAATCAATTATGTATGATAAATATTTATGTAAAATAAAAAATGTTAAACTGTAGTTAGTAATAGTTCAATTATGAAAGTATTACCCATGTTTTGTACATAGGTTATGTCAACGAATATGTAATGTATTTCTGTTTCCCCAATTGCACATATTTATGTATGAAATAAATGATTCGGGATTATTGAAATAAAAAGTTACCATCGTGTAGAATAAGTAACATATTTATTGTATAAATGTTTTATTGTTCATGCTATACATGCAGTCTTTTAAACCTTCTCCAATCATTCAGTTTTTAGTTTCATTAAAATTTAAGTTTATAACCTATAATGGAAAATGAAACGACTAGTAATGTATTAACAATCAAAATGATAAATGCTGTGAATAACATTAAATGTAATTTAATATTCATTTATTATAAATGGATACATTACATATTGTTCTTGTAACAATTGTTTAATAACTTACTAGCATTAGTACTCTAATACCTGAAAGGTAATAATTAAGGTGAATAGAAATTTGTACAAGTGGTATCATTAAAATAAGTAAATAAAAGTAAACTAACTTACATGATTTACTTCAACAAATGATGACGAACAACAAAGAAGGGAAGGGCAAATGGAACTCCAAAGAAGGCAATGAAATACGCAAGAAGTTTGTATCTGTGTCCGTGAATGCTGAATGGAAGATTCTGCAAAAAACAATTTTATTATGTTATACATATAATCAACAATTTCATTTCCAAAAATGATATTCAAACAAAGAATCTGAGCTTGATTTGTGACATCCAGATTCCAATAAATAATTTTATTTTAAAAAGTCGCAATGCGAACGCAGTTATGCAATAATATATTATTTGTTTTCCTTTTTACTTACAGAACCGGGAAAACCTTCAGGTTCGTCATGACCACTTCTACGTATTGCAGAAGTTCTGAAACTTCTCAGACACTGTTGGAAAGCTGCTCTTGGTGCAGACATTTTGCTATGTGTTGTACCGTACGATACTCCAAATCGTCTGAAGTAAAATGGCGAGAGTTGAGAGTTCGTTTATTCTGTGGATCTTTAAGGCGAGTTCACTTTGCATCGGTAACTTAGCTGTTTTAGGGAAAGGGACGTAGATCGGAGCGAAAGGATACGCCCCTGACAGTAGGGGAAAGAGAAGTGGGGGGGGGAAACAGGGCTGGCCCTGGGCCTAGGCAGACTAGGCACCCGCCTAGGGACCCTGTAAGACGATTTTGCGTTTAAGAATGTAAGAAGAGTAATGTTTACTTGAATTAGTTATGCAAGCTTTAATGTTAATTTTACAAATTTTATTTGAGGTACTTTTTTTGTGTCATATATGTGAAGGGGCCCTTTTTCGGAGCTCGCCTCAGACCCCTAAAATCTCAGTGCCGGCCCTGGTGAAAAACGATAATATGCGTGTTGGAATCATTGGAATGGATGGAAAAAAGGAATTCGGTCGATAATGCAAGGATGTAATATTTTTAATCAAAAAATTGTATTAGAAGCGGTTGTAAAAATTATATTATATTAATAAATTTTATTTATGATACTTTGTTTTATGTCATATACATAAGGGTCCTTTTTCAGAGCTTGCCTCAGGCCCCCGAAATCTCAGGGCCGGCCCTGATGCCAGCTGTCGTTGCATGAAAACAGTCACTAATACTACACCTAATAAAAGATGCGCTGCATTTATTTGTAATTTTTTTCTAGAAAAACCCCTTACCTTTTCATTCACTGATCTCTAAAAGAAATATAACAGAAAACATGTTTATTTAAGAATGACGATAATATAATCTCCAGCACTGAGTTTCATATGATAAAAGAATTGTATACACGCGTGTAACAATTTTTAGGATGTTGAAGCGGCAGAACAGACGAAAATAAACGACCTGAGCACGTCTAGAAAAGTCTTATTTATTTTATTACATTGGTTACTGTTTGCATTTGATACATAATCATACCAATTATTTATATTTATATTCATTCAGTCATGTATGCATACATCCAATCACTCTTTAATCTTTTAACTGCAGCGGGTTTTTCTTTTAATACGCGCGTACACTGTACGGAAATTGAAATATATGTATATATATATATGTATATGTATATATGTGTATATATATACATATAGTATCATTAAATTACATTTTAATTATCTTTCAATTGCATATAAAAACACTTGACAAACAAAAACGGAACAACTTAGTCTTTTTATGGAGCTGTGTCATGGGGGAGACACGGGGCAAGATGACTATTTATATAATACATATATATATGCGCTATTATATGTTTCTTTTAAATTGTAGCGTACTTCTGGGTAGCACAATGAGCACTTTGATTTCTTGAACACTCGATGTTCTTTAACATCGTTCACTGATAAATTTCTTTTCTGTAGAACCCGAATGAACGAAGACTAGGATAAAACGTTTAGGCTGTAAAGGCGAGGCCATATTTCAAATTTAAAAAACGTTACTTTGCGACTCACTCTGTTTAAAACTTTCCAATATTTGGTAACTTTTTTTTTCCCCCGCAGATTTGTTAGTCGAAAGGAACCATTTAATTTTTTTTTTTTGTTTCATGTTTCATGGAAATTACGTGCGTGTCGCGGCCACACAGCTCCTGGAATACAGTCTGTGTTCGTGTCAATCACGATACATTATTTACAATTCATCGTGCTCCTGAAATAAATGAAGAAAAATCCAAATTTTAGCATCTGTAATTGGGAAAATGTTACAATCATTATTTAGAACTCACTTCAGCATCTGGGACAGTATTGTCCTCTTCATCTCCATCCTCATCCTCCTCATCGTCTTTGTTATCCTCGTTCTCTTTACTCTCTTTTTCTCTTTGCTTTCTTTCCTCCTCATCCAGAGCCTCCTTCATTTTCTTCTCACCCTCCTAAAAAACAAATTTTAAATTAGATCAATACTTTCAATCAACATTTCAATGATTTCAGTGATGAAACTTCAGCAACGAGGAATTCCAGCTTTTTATCGCTCATTATAATCAGCAAAGCCTTTAACATCATGCGATATTATTCAATGCTTGTAATTAAATTTTTTATATTATTTTACACGTACATAAGTGGCTTTCCACACTTCTTCACCGAATTTTCGGGCGACTTCAGGGTCGTCAGCGATCAGGACATTGTCGAAGATTGTTCCGGATTTCACCTGCCAGAGGTCGAACCCGATGGCACAGATTTCATCCCTTTTATACAATTCTGGATCAGGAGTGTACTCGGGGTTGTCGATTTCTGGATGGATCCAGGGTCCTTTGTAGTTGGGATTGTCGATTTGTTTCGGTTTCCATTCACCCTGAAGAGATAGATTAAATTAAATAACATAAGAGAGGAGATGGGGATTCGTTTTAACTTTGTCTACTGACTTTGTATTCAGGATTATCTATCATAGGAGCTTCCCATTCTCCGTCCATTTCATCGTCCCAGTCCTCTGGTTTAGTGGCTTCAGGATCAGGAATATGTTCTGGTTTATCCCAGTCTTCTGGCTTCTTGTCATCCGGATCAGGGATCGTGGGCTTGTCATCCCAGTCGTCGGGTTTACTCTGAGATGGATCTTTGATTTTCTTTGGTGGGAGGAAGTCCCAGTCTGCTTCCAGTTCACCAGATTCTACCTCCTCGTTGTCGATGAGAACCTGAAAGCAGATGCAACAGTTAGAAGATATATAAATATATTTATAATATAATCTTAGGATTGTTAGATAAAATTATCTTAGATAATCTAAGGATAATTAATATTCCTAAAGGCTGTATACCTTATATACAAAAAATAAACAATAATAATATTATAAGAAATCAATATAATACATTACACCTAATATTAGAATAAACAATAATGATATTATATTAATATAGATAAAAATAATAATAATATTGTTAAATGTGTATTGTCAATATAAAACATTGCATCTAATATAAATAATAATAAAATTATCTCTTAGATAATTAATGATTATAAATATATATAAATTATTCTAACAATCCTAATGATACACTGTCGTTCTTTGTTAACTTTGCAAATAAGCACTGTATTACTTATGTACATTTATTTTCAAACAAGATAATCATTGCTCTTCGAGATTCTTTAGCACCTATTCCCCACAGTTATCAATGAGAATATGTGACTCTAGTCTCGAAATACTTTTACAACATTCAGCACGTGCAGCTGCACCTGTTCCTTACCTTATAGGTATTATCAGGGCTAACGATTAATGTATACAGGTGAGTATAAATGTCGTCTTTGCATCGAATATCTTTGTTGATCAGAAGGTTCTTGCCCTTGTAACTAAAGATCACGTGAACTTTCTTGGTTCCAGGTCCACAGATATCGGGTCCTAGAGAAAAATATCCATATTAAAGCATTGCATTTAAGAGTATATTATAAATAATATAATGTATCTTTACTGGTGCCTGAAATATGTATAATACCATATTCAGGGCATAAGAAAGAATTTTCTCTCCGAGTTCCATTAGCACCAATCCACCATTGGGTGTAACCGGTGACTCTGGGCTCGGCTTACTATGAATTTCTTTTTAAATTCTTACCAAACATGATCTCATACGGGGTTTCTCCGTGCATATCCTTTTGGTCCAGCGAACAATCAAATACTTTCACATATCCACCGCCACAATCGATGTTCTGCTCGTGTTTAACAGAAAACTGGATAACGAGTGGTTTATCTTTGTTACTAAAGGGCTTGAACTTCCTGCTTAGAGCGTAAAATCTGGCATCCTGGGAAGTCTGGATACCTGTTACCAAGAAAAATTGTGTAATACAGGATTTTCAACACAACACGAGAAGCATATGTATCTTCCTGTTTACCTTTATCATTTTCACGGTCGTTCCAGAATTTCCCATGACTTAAAACAAACTTTCCAAATTCTTTTCCAGGGTGTTCAGAATACACCCAATTTTTCTCCCAGGAATCTGTAAAGAAAATCATTTCATATAAAATGTTACTGTTGTTGAAATTGCTCATCTAAATAATAACAATCCATGTCTCATAAAATTTTAATTTACGTTTCTCATGTTTTATTTATTTTCTTAAATTAAAACGTTTCGCAAGAAGATAGGTTGCAACAAAGTATCGTTTAAAATAGATATGACCGCGCTATACAGTTACATCGAATCGACAGATTTTCTTTGAAGCATGGGCGAGTTTATTCCATGAAGCCGAGAGCGTTCAACACGGATCAACCAATCGATTGCGCGTCATGTCGGAGGAAGCGCAAACCGTGTGCTCATGGCCTTTGCCACGAGAGCAGTTTTCAATTTTTCCTACCTCCATATGGCATCGTAAACAATATCGTGATAGTCAATTGTATAATTGAGCATTAATCATGTATTTATTCATACATATACAAACGCGTTACAGAAATCATAGAGAAGGGCGTGTGGTTACTAAGGAGAAATACAGCGTACTGATTTGGCATAAAAATATCAGATTTTCCAAGTATGCTCGAATAAATAACCCTTTCAAACCAGCCGCTATTTAAATATTGTGGGCGTGGTACGAAAACCGCAGGGAGAAACATCTGTATTAATTTTTTTTTTTAGACTTCCTCGTACGAGCATGGAGTTCTCCAAACGTGAAACGGAGAGACTGAGAATGAAATTACAAAATTAAATGAACAGTTCTGAATGCGTTTACTCACCATCGAGAAACTTCTCCTCGAAGTAGGTTTCTGCAGTGACGACGGTAACCGCCAGCAGAAGCAAGAACGAGCAGAAGGACCGCATTTTTACGCCGGGACAACGAAAGTCCGGTCGACGGAGAGACGTTCACTCTACAACGAACTGGCCGATAATGACTGAATCGCGGACGTGGTTGGTGATTTACCCGCTGCCGGGGCAGACAGATGGAGGGCGCCGATTGGTCACCGTCCCGCGACCAATCAGAACTGACCACGCTCGACCAACGAGGCGCCGCGCCGTGGCAAGTTTACAGCCATGCCGCGCGCACATAACCTCGCGTCAACTATCGCCTTATATTATCTATCGTCGATAAAGAAGATAGAAGATGATGATTATTCTTCAGAGCGATATTTCAATACATGCCAATTTGAATGTTGAAACAGTCTTGCGACAAAAATAATGTTAATTATTTTATAAATATATTTTAATTGAAATAACCTTATCTGTACTGTTTTATGTAATATCCCTCCTTTTCATATCAAAATTTATGTAATTTTATTGCAACAAAAACAATGTAAAAAGGTGTTAATTATTTTATAAATATATTTTAATTGAAAGAACTTTATCTGTACTGTTTTATGTAATATCCCTCCTTTTCATATCTAAATTTATGTAATTGCCAGATAACAGTACTAATTATTATCATATCATTTCAAACAAGGATAGAACATTTCTAATACTTTAAAAATGATACAGAACCTATTCTACACAATTATTTTGCGATAAGAATGAAATTATAACAGTTTCCCTGTTATGACATAGAAGAAATCTTTATATATATATATGTTTTTCCTTATGGCATACACTTTGTCCACAGAAGAAATTGAACTTTGCACTTTTACCTTATCTTTTATTTATGTGTGATATTATTAATCGTTCAAATAAAATCCGAAATTCTTGACGATAACATCACTTATCAATTCCAATAAACGAATCACGTTTAAAGACCTCCCTTGTGCATCAACTTTCAAAGTAGATTGTATACGAATCGTTTCTATAGCAACGATTTCCAGCAAGCGCATTTCGCCTCGGTGAAGCGCCGAAAAATTTACAAGTGACGCCAGTGAAGCTCAGTCAAGTCAGAGGAACCATCTTCTGTTGATAGAAACAAAGAAAGAATTGAAAGGAAGGAAATAATGATACATTCAAAGGCGACAGCCGTGTTGATGCGGCTTAAAGAGATGGACAGGAAGTACAAAATTAAGCATAAAGAGGAGAAACGAACACACAGCCTCGTGAGCACTGAAAGTTCGTTAGAAAACACGCCTAAAAGCAACAACAGTAAGCTAGTTCACGAGGGAAATGAGATTGCGTCAAAGGTAGTGATGGGTTTAAGAGCCGCACTGAACAAGCAAATTTTGTTTGAAACTAGGAGCAGTATACGACTTACACTACTGAACTTAAACTTCATTCTGGACTACTTCTGCAAGCACGGTATTAATTCAAGGTTTTTCAACAGGTATCGTCTGAATCCAAAATGGAGATGCAAGGTTCAGGTACAAACAATGTCAATTCTTCTGATGAAGATGTACATTCAAAAAAATCTCCCAAAATATCTCCTAGAACAAGGACAGAAGTTTCATTGTCAGTTGAAATTGAAGGGAATATAAGGAGTGCTTCAAGAACAGAGGAGTCTCTGAGGACTGTTTCAAACCTGGAGTCTGATCTGAAGACTAATTCTCAGATCAGGGATGATGTATTACTCTCTGAAGACTCTAGGAGACACGGTGAAGAATCTTCCGCAGCAACGATCTTCTCCAAACGCTCGGCTGCTCCTGAAACAATTTCAGAGGTAGTTAAATCCAGGAACGAAGGGAAGTCGAATACAACGAATCCTGAGGACGACACTACCATAGACGAGGTGATCAGGATAAGCGACGAGAGGAGCGAAATCATCTCAGAATTGTCCAACCCGATAGACAAGGATGAAGATGCATCCAATGTTTCTTCCATGGACGAGCAGAAGCTGCAGTATGAGAACGACACCTTTGAAGAAGCTTCCAATTCCTCTGGCTCGTCGAGTTCCACGGAGCTGCAGCTGAAGAAGAGTTCAGAAGAGTTAGCAGGAGAGACAGTGATATCTGGAGTGAAGGAAATCAAGATCACGTCTCACAAACAGGCGGAGATCATCCAGGAGAAGGTGATCAACGACGAGAAGTAATTAAACACTGTGGCTTATTCGAAAGTTTTAGCTTCAAGGATTTTTAATTTCATAAAGTAATGATGATTCAGTCGCGCCTTGTTTTCAGAGACAAAGAGATAATCGAACTGATCGCGCCGAAGATAATAAAAAGCAACAGCGAGTGCGACGTTGGCCTCGACGAGGAGCTTTCGAATTACGTGAGGACAACTGAGAACGTGGACGAGGTGTTGCCGATCAATCTTCTTAAGCCATCAAAACAAACAACGACCGGGAAGAAGCACGTCCGAAAAAGCAGGAAGCAGAGAAAATCGTCCAACGAAAATACCGAAGAGAAAACTGAAGATCTTTCTGTGGTTTCTGATGATCATGAGAGATCAACCAAAGTGAACAATAACGAGGATGCACTCTTGAAAGAAAACAGCTCCTCCATGATCGTGTAAGACTCGGAAAGATAAAATTTGTTATTTCATAATTTATGATTAGTTTAACAAAACTACTGAAGTGTAACGCTCACTTATTAATGAAACTTTGCCAGCTTGTAGAATTCGTCCAGCTGAACACGCCTACACCCCATTTTGGAGGCAGACGATTAATTGTTTAAAAGATATTAATAATCAAAGTTAGCTACTCCTTACATTGAAAAGTATGACAATCAATATGACAGGATTATCGCAATTTAAAGGTCCATGGTTCAAATCCTTCGTACCCAAAATTTTTTTTTTTTATAATAATTTGTATGCAATAGTTATTCAAAAAAAGACAGATTATCATTAAAAAAAAAAAAAAAAAAAAAAAAAAAACAGATCCCAGGATTTGAACCCTGGACCTTTACATTGCAAGTCATGCGTTTTACCCCGGAGCTAACCGTTTCTATATAACTTTAATTGTTAATATCTTTTAAATAGTTATCCATTTGCCCCCAAAATGGAGTATGGGTGTGTTCAACTGGACGAGCTCTACAAGGTGGCAAAATTTCATTAATGAGTGAGCGTTATACTTGGATAGTTGCCATAATTACCTGGGTATTGTCTTCAGGAAAAGTGCATCGAATGAAGGAAAGATTGTGAAGGAAACGCTGAAAGTGAAGAAGGAGTCTTTATCTAACGAACAGACACCAGTAGAGATAGAAGAAGAGGCGAACAGGGAACCGGAGACCATCTCAAGCGAGAAGCTTCTGACAGAGACACCGAAAAAGACGGACGCAACGAGTACATTGAGGGAGTTGAACAAGGATGCGATCAACGCTATCGTCAGGAGACACAGGATCCAAACGATCAACAAAATCACGGATAAACCACGGTATAAGAACTATAAGACCGTAGTGAAGCTGCCGTCAGCAGAGTCGGAGGTGCCTGAAAACATGGAGAAGAATGAGAGTAAATCTCTAGAAAATATTAGAACGGTAAATAATTGTGAGATAATTAAAAAGGTTCGTTTACGTAATTAATAAATAAATTTCTTCAGGATTCCAGCCATAACCAAAGGGTCAGAGGGAGAAGAGCAAAGGTGAAGAGAGTCTCAAAAGCTTCCAAAGCTCGGAAAGGGTCGTATCAAGGGAAAGTTGAAGAAAAACAATCGAAGTTCGAGTGCAGACAATCGCGTCATCTGCGAAAGCAGGCTGCTGCCCTGAGGATGCAACAGGAACGCGAGGACATCCGTAATTACTTGCTGGAGCTGGAATGCACTCGATTAGAATTCGGTCCTGGCGAAATGACTTCTGCTACCATCCCACCATTTAAACCTCTTGAATTTCCTAAAATCTCAGCATTCAAGAAACCTGGTAAAAGCATTCCTTCTTTAATTCATATCCCTGAAGCAGAGAAATTGATTGATTAATATTTTAGAACTGGAAGACTCGAACCTGCCTACAGATGGAATTGTTGCACTGCAAGAGAAGATCTTGACTATAAGACAGTGGCTGAAGGATCAATACTTCCTTTATAGGGATTACAGCAAGCTGGCACAAACAGTGAATGCAAAATACATTCCTGCCAGTCTGGAAGATGCAAAAAAGGTATTGTTTAGATTTCCAATTAACCGTACTTTGTATACTCAATAAATCTGAAAAATCAATATCTCTTAAAATTTTTAATTTAAGATAAAATTTATAAATATTAATAAATATTAATATTTATTTAATAGGAAGTAATAATAAATATTTAATAGGATATCAATTATTTAATATTATTTATATACATACAACTCGCAATCTAGAGATCCACGGTTCAAATCCTGGGTTCTCAACATTTTTTTTTATTTTTTTTTTTATTGATAATTTGTCTCTTTTTGAATAACTATTACACAAAAATTATCATAAAAAAAAAAAAATGTTGGGAACCAAAGATTTGAACCGTGGACCTTCCAATTAACTATACTTTGTATACTCAATAAATCTGAAAAATCAATATCTCTTAAAATTTTAAATTTAAGATAAAATTTGAAAATAAAGTATCGTTAGATTTATTGATTATTAATTTATTAATAGGTAATTAATAAATATTTAATAGAATATCAATTATTTAATATTATTTATATACATACAACTCGCAATCTAGAGATCCACGGTTCAAATCCTTGGTTTCCAACATTTTTTTTTTTTTTTTTTTTTTTTAATTATAATTTGTCTCTTTTTGAATAACTATTACATAAAAATTATCATAAAAAAAAAATGTTGGGAACCAAGGATTTGAACCGTGGACATTCCAATTAACTATACTTTTCATACTCAATAAATTTGAAAAATCAATATCTCTTAAAATTTATAATTAAAAATAAAGTATAAAATGTGGTGGATGGATACAGCACAATGAAAGAAACAATGAAATTCTTTAGAAATCCACCACATAAAAAGTTCTTCTTTTGAAAGTTTTAACGAGATAACCCTGTTCTCTTTCCAGACGATTCGTCAGTTACAGAGCGCGACTATCGAATCGAAGTGACCAGTCGTTTCCGTGAAACTTCAAACAAGAATTGCCCACCTCGTGCAATGTGATTTTCCCAAAGTGTAAGTCTCAAAGTGATGTACTTTCCTTTTAGAGGAACAATTGTTTCCCTTAAAATATAAACCTACAAAAAATACCTTGAGCTTATTATTTCCATTGTCTTCAAAGTGAATGATATCTTTAGCATCAATTGTCAGGGAATAGGGGCACTTAGCCAGCCTAAAACCCTCGTGTGGCTACCCATTGACACAGAAAATTTGTTGCATCAAGTTTCAAAGAATGAAAATGCCGCAAGGAAATGCAGAAACGGGTACAGCTTTCCCACACGGGGGTAAAACGAATCGATACTTCCATATCGTCCCCCCCGAAAAAAAAGAATAACCGGGGAGAGGGTAGCTCGCACGCACCCGTCACATTCGTGTAGACGCGTGCGTGTCGCACGCGCACGTGCAGGCGATGCTCGAATGAGCGGCGGCGATGCCCCGGCGTTCTTTCATTGACGTGCCTGCTCATCGTGCTCCCCAGTTCCGAGCGAGCCTCTGCACGATCGTGACCGAAGAATTTGTGTCCGTGAAGTTCTAGATCCATATTCACTCACAGTGTTTGAAGAAGGTTTTTCTTACTTTGAGGAATTACCAGCTCTCAGACTGAATGCAACTTTTGGTGAGTCCAATGGAAACTTACTTCTTATTTCTTATTTTGAAAAACAGAAGAAATTAGGAATTTCATTCTGCAATGAATTTTTATTACAATAATCTGTTACCTTTTTTTATTTTGAATTCATTCTGCTATGAATTTTTATTACAATAATCTGTTACCTTTTTTTATTTTGAATTTATTCTGCAATGAATTTTTATTACAATAATCTGTTACCTTTTTTTATTTTGAATTCATTCTGCCATGAATTTTTATTACAATAATCTGTTACTTTACTTTATTCTGGATTCATTCTGTAATGAATTTTTATTACAATAATCTGTTACCTTTTTCTATTTTAAATTAATTCTGCAATGAAGTTTTATAGCAATAATGAAGTCTGTTACCTTTATTTATTCTGAATTCATTTTCCATTTAATTTTTATAATGATGTCTGTTACCTTTCTTTATTTTGAATTCATCCTCTACTGAATTTGTATAATAATGAAGTCTGTTACCTTTTTTTATTTTGAATTCATCCTCCACTGAATTTTTATAATAATGAAGTCTGTTACCTTTGTTTTATTTTGAAATATTTGTGAAATTAATTGAATTTCCTTATAATTTTTCAAAATTATAATTACACAGATATTGTAGATAATTATGTATATGTGAAGTTTTTACCCAAGTCTGCTACATTATCAACACTACTGGCATGTGGGTATTTGAATAGATGACATCAGAAGCATCTGAAAGAACCGGCACGATTCCCTCCTTATAAAATATACAGACTTGCTATAGTTTGAAAGCAAAACCACATATACTGTGTCAAGGTTCAATGGATCAATTGAAATTGTGTAACATTAGACTGGTTTCTATAAGTGGCTGACCAACAATTAATTAACCTGGGACCAAAGTTCAAGAATATTAGATCCAACTGGGATCTTCCTCTTCTTTAACCCATCATTTGCATGCTGCATTAATTTCTTCTTAGAAAATAACCCATGGCATCTTATGACTTCAAGGTATCCTTCATTCTATAAAAAAGAAATAAGCAGAGATATCTGAAAGAAGTTTTGAGGATCGCGAGAAATCGTGTTTCCTTCAGCAGACGATTCCCACGAATTTCTCTTCGGCGTCGATCGCGTCGAACGAGGGAAGAAGAGCATAGTCTTCTTAGAAATTCGAGCACGTTTAGAATGGCGAAAGTAATCGAGAGCTCTCCCGGGATCTAAGACCTTATCCTTGAAGGAATCGAGGCCGTTCTGATGTATTATTGACGTTGATTCGTCAGCTCGAGGACAGCAGGATCGCCGGCTTGAAAGATCAGTCCTCGAAGCCGAGGTTTTCTAATATCCGTTTCCGTAGCGCGCCTTTCTTGATACAACTCGCCTCGCTCGTGTGAAATAGAACAGGGATTCTGGTGACAGGGAGAAGAAAACACGGTGGGCTTAGCGTCCCTAACGACCGGTCGAAAAAAACGCGAGAAACTTCTTTGTTCCTTTCCACGTTCTAAGAGTTTATGAGGATGATAATTAGTAAGAAGAACCAACGGGATCTTGCGACGCTTCGTGTACCTTTCATCTCTGCGGTTTTAGGACCAATCGGCCATTTTCTTTCACTGAATCGTCGTAGCTGGTGAACCTGAAAATTTCAATAGAATCTGAACCAATTTTGAAATTAATTATCCTGATTAGTATTTTAAAATACAGTGACCAAATCATGGCTCCAAAGTAAAGGGTTTAATGTTTTAAAATGGCCACCTCAGTCACCAGACCTAACCCCAATAGAATTTGAACTAATTTTGAAATTACAAATTATTCTGATATCGGTATGATTAGTATTTTCAAATACAGTGACCAAATCATGGCTCCAAAGTAAAGGGTTTAATGTTTTAAAATGGCCACCTCAGTCACCAGACCTAACCCCAATAGAATCTGAACTAATTTTGAAATTACAAATTATTCTGATATCGGTATGATTAGTATTTTCAAATACAGTGACCAAATCATGGCTCCAAAGTAAAGGGTTGAATGTTTTAAAATGGCCACCTCAGTCACCAGACCTAACCCCAATAGAATCTGAACTAATTTTGAAATTACAAATTATTCTGATATCGGTATGATTAGTATTTTCGAATACAGTGACCAAATCATGGCTCCAAAGTAAACGGTTTAATGTTTTAAAATGGCCACCTCAGTCACCAGACCTAACCCCAATAGAATCTGAACTAATTTTGAAATTACAAATTATTCTGATATCGGTATGATTAGTATTTTCAAATACAGTGACCAAATCATGGCTCCAAAGTAAAGGGTTAAATGTTTTAAAATGGCCACCTCAGTCACCAGACCTAAGCCCAATCGAGAATCTTTGGAGCCAATTAAAAAAAGACAAGTCCTAACTAAGTCCTATGTAAAAAACTGGTGAATTAAATCTGTTATTAATGCTAAGTCACGTTATTGACCAAATTCTAATTACTGTCTAATAAATAATATTTCCCATTTGTTTTGTATTTCTTTTATTAAAAATCTATTTTATCAAAGATCTATAATTAATCACTACATTTTGATTAAATAAAAAGTATTTGATTAATTTCAAGAGTCTCTGTATTACTTCAAGTTATAAGGCACAAGATCTTACAGTTCAGTAATTGACACGTTTTAATGAGTGCCACGTGTATACCCTTCTTTTCTTCTCTCTTCCTCGACCTGAAGTTCAACCAACCATAAACTTTGACCTGGAAGAGTAGACACACGGTTGGTCGATTTTATCCTGGCCCATTGTTGTGGGCTAATTTACTTGGAGGAAGTCGGAAATAAAAGATCCCCTTTCAGAATGAACTTTGTCCAATCTGGAAGAAAAGAAAGCAGCTGAAGAAATGCCTCAAAGAACAATTTTATTCGTTGCAACTGATTGCAATTGACCTATTACCTTGAAAATCATCAATAAATATATTTTTATCACCGGGTTTACACCTGAGCGATGATCTAACGACCCTATGTTAATCTCATCCTACTCATTGAATGTCACTGCACTAGGGGTCACAGATAACCCGGAGATCTAACGCAAGCACCCAAGGAGGGAGTTCAATTGACAAGCGTCACCTTTGTTCACTGTAATCGATACTGGCAGTCATTAAGTGCCTCCTACTGTTTACTGACCCGTTGTTGCTCGCTTGCCATTAACAACTTCCCTCTACGACCCTTCTTCACAGCTATGTTTGTTCTCATTGATAATCAATGTCATGTGACCATCTCCGGTACTCAATGGGGCAGGTAGAACTTGTAAGGGTCTTTGGATCTCCTTTGACTCTAAAAGTTAGATTGATCTTAAAATTAAAAAAACCAATATTTAAAAAAAAAATAAAGTACTTGAGTTGCTCCCAGAAGGGTTAAACAGAAGTTAAACAGTTAATACTATATGGCTTGTATTATTTGATTAAATTTTTATCTGAAGTACTTGAGTTGCTCCCCCAAGTGTTAAACAGAAGTTACAATTAATACTATATGGCTTGTATTATTTGATTAAATTTTTATCTGAAGTACTTGAGGTGTTCCCAGAAGGGTTAAACAAAAGTTGAACAATTAATACTATATGGCTTATATTTTACTGGTCAGTATTTTAATATGTCATTATTTAAATATGAAGGGTCAGTATTTAAATATGAAGTGCCATTATTTAAATGTGGAGGGTCAGTATTAAAATCCTTTGGTCAGTATCCTTCCATGCTGACCATTTTTTATTTATATTGACCATTTACCATTTATGTACTGACCATTTTTTATTTATACTGACCATTTGCTATTTATGTACTGACCATTTTGGTAATAAAATACTGACCATTTAATTTGTTGCCATACTATATTGATCAACCATTGAAGAATCCTTACAGCTCGGTCCAAGTAGAATTAATTGAATGAATGGGGCACATTCGCCGCATTTTGCGGAATCCTCTTTGTTTACGGTGATGCATTGAAATACGTTGCGTTAATTGGTTGAAAGCATCTCATGGATAGAAGAGAAATCGTCACGAGTGGAACGAAATCGTTGCAGCACCGCGGTATCAATTCCCTGTTCATTGAGCAATCGTGATTGTTCCGCGTTCGATCAATTAAGAAAAAAAGAAAATCTTCCATGGAAGATCACCTTGATCATCCTCGAGTCATATGGCTCGTCCGCTGGCTTTCTGTTCCACTAAGAAAATTGAGGCAAGAATTCATGGAAACTTGATTCCTGCATCTGGATTAGGATGTCTGTACCGTTGCTTTACATCCGAATTTATTCCATCCATGACACACTGTTGAATAAATATTAAAGCTGGCGATTTCATACCTCAGATATAACTAACAGTTTCATCATTTGGTGAAGTAACAGAAGCATAAAATTTAATTTCTGAATTCACAATTTAATTAGTATATTAATTCTATGCACTGTTTACTTCTAATTAACATTTCTTAAATTAACAGAGTTGTAACCTTGGGTTTGGATTTTTATCAACTAACAATTGTTTATTTTTGTTACCATCAAATGGTAACTATAAAACGTTAGATAGAATTACATAAAATTCGACGGAAAGAATAATTTATCATCTAACGGATTAAATGGATCAGCGATTCTGTAGAGGGAGAAAAATAAAGAGAACCGTGTAATTACGGTGCAATGCGAGAACGTATGTATACAGATGCGGATAGCCGGTTATCCAGGAGGCAGCCAGTGGAACAAAGAGAAACTACCGGACACGGTGTATCTTGGGCAACCCGCTAGCTATTTCGTAATTCCCCGCCGCCGCAAACTGTATCACGTGAGAGAAGTTTGATCCTTGTTATGCCATTTGCTGCAAATACAGTCCGTAATTGGTAACAGGAATAGAAGAGAGAGAAAAGGGTTGGATTGCAGTTTCCCTATTTTGTCGGAGAAGACGATAGGAAGTGTCCCGAGGTCGATATCACGTGGTGTTACAAAGTTATGCCATTTTAAAAAATCACAATTTTTCAAAAATTTTCCAATAATTTCGAATCCAAAAAATAACCTAACCTAACCTAGCCTAACCCAATTAGCTTAGCTTAGCTTTTGGGTGGGAGGGTGGGCATAGACAGGGTAAGGGTAGGGTTTAAGGTTAGGTTAGGTTAAACTGCAATCTAACCGCCAGAGGCGGGGGTGGTATATAAACAACATGTTAATTTTTGCTAATATCAAATAGTGGCTGTCTCTTAATATAAAATAAAAAAATCTTTTAAAATAGAATATCACTTCAGTAATTAAATTAAAAATTATAATGTAGTCAGATGTCCTAAAAGTAGCCGGAGTTAAAGGGTTAAAAGAATGAATGAAATGTTACATACACAGAGAAATATTCAATTAAATAAACTGAAACACAGCAAGAGGTTTCAGTGGAGCTCTTCTGTCAAGAGGCAGCATAACATTTACAAATTACAACTTTAGTTCAGCGAACGGACAGGCAACGATTTTCCCTTGTTTGCATGGGCGAATTATTTTTAGATCCCGTTAAGTGGGAAAGAAAGAAAGGGCAGTACAGCGAGCGTGGATCTCCAAACAAAACGTGATTTGACTCCGCGTTTATTTCGATTTTTCGCCCCATGCTGGTCGTTTTATCCGCGTTCTCGTTTCCAGGCCAGCCTTTCATCCGACCGAGCCGCCTTTATCCTCTTCTTTCTCTTGCTCAACTATTTTCGTGGTCGAAACGAACGCAGCGTTACGGCGCCAGCAACAAGGGTAAATCGCCATTAGCCTGTTGGCAGGGAACCCCGACTTGACCCTGGAAAACGCGTTCACGTTAAAAATACAAAACGGTATCTTTGTTCAGCAGGGACGGCCCTGAGATTTCGAGGGTCCGAGGCGACCCCCTTCACATATATGACATAAAAAAAAGTAGGTCTAATAAAATTTAGAAAATTAACATTAAAGCTTGTATAACTAATTTAGATTGATATTCAAGTAAACATTACTCTTCTTGCATTCTTAGACGCAAAATCGTCTTATGGGGGCCCTGGAACTTGGGGGACCGTAGGCGGCTGTCTAGTCTGCCTAGGCTCAGACACTTTGGTATGACTGGTAATTTTAATTTTAATGTTTTCTGTAATTGGGGGGCCCTGGACGTTGGAGGGCCCTGGACCTTGGGGGGCCCTAGGCGGCCGCGTAGTCTGCCTAGGCTCAGGGCCGGCCCTGCATTGATCCCTTCAAGTAGAAGTTTCATTTAATGCTCAGACACTTTGGTATGACTGGTAATTTTAATTTTAATGTTTTCTGTAATTGGGGGGCCCTGGACTTTGGAGAGCCCTAGACGATGGAGGGCCCTAGACGTTGGAGAGCCCTAGACATTGGAGGGCCCTAGGCGGCCGCCTAGTCTGCCTAGGTCCAGGGCCGGCCCTGTAATTCAGTTGTTTAAACATGGCATAGAAATTCTATGTATATTCCACTATAATGGCCGCAGCTGACGGTGAGTAACCAATATCCGATGGGAAGAATTTTGACTGCCGACCTCAGGCTTCCCCAGGATCAATGAAACGAGGCGGAAATTGACGGAAAGTCATCGGTGACTCACTGTCCCTGTTTCAAGGGATCGAAGCACGAGGGTGCAGAAAACGTCATCGGTCGAATTAATTTACAGCCCATGGGGGGTGAACAGCCGCGATTCGGCCAGGCGTGAAGGCTGTCCGCTGACAAAAAATGCTCGTTAAAGCATCTGGAAACGATGACGTACTCAAGAGTGCTTCACCAACGAGTTTCTATGTTTTGCTTACTAATTACAACCTCCTAATTAAGCCTGACGCCATCTACAGCAGTTTTTCACTTCCATTTTGAATTCTGCCTGAAATATACATTGATATCAGAAGCTCGAAGGGTTCTTCAACACTGTATAATGACAGAAACGTGTTCCTGACCTGATCTTAAGGGGTAACACCACTTAGACAGCTTCAAAATTTCGAAATCTTTTTCTCGCCTAAAGTATTTCATTAGCGTTTGGACTGAAAAATCTAAAGTCACATTTATCACCTGCCGTCACCGAAATTCATAACTGCGAAAAGACCAGTTTTCCTTCTTTCGTGCGCATCTTCGCTCTGATTGGCGATACTCCCAAACGAAGTGGAAAGCGATTAGCGGAGAGCTCGCCGCGTTCCCCCACCATCTTCCAACCTGCGCGGCTTAGTTATGGACTCTATAGATTGAGTTATCGTGCCCGATATATCAACAAAAACAAAAAAAAAAACGATTTCTACTTTAATATATGCATAATAAATTAATATAATTGGATTTTCATAAGCATTTTGCATTTCTTAAAAAAAAATTCCCGAAAAAACCTTAAATGTTGAAGCGGTCAAACCCTTAACCATTGTTCTTGTTCTGTTTACACTGGTTCCTAGCTGGCCCCCTTAGCTCACCTATTCCAAGCTCCTTTTTCTCTCTTTCAGAATTTATACGTCGGTCTTTCTCCCGCGGAGGGCCTCTCGCTTTCGCACCGGATCACCTTGGTCCGCGAGAAGCCCTCCCCTCTGTGACTTCATCTTAACTACTGCCTACGCGTCGCTTGGCTCTCTTCTAAAGGACGATAAATGCATCCTGCGGATACCCGGCGCGCGTGGACACCTGATCCTCCGCCGTCTGACCTAAATATCCCATCAAACCATCAGTCTCGCTGCCTCGGTACCCGTTCGCCGTTTCACAAACCGCAAAAATGAAGTTGTCGGTTGTGAAAAAAAAGATATCGAAGAACAGAATCCTCGATTCCTTACAGTTAATAATAACGCTGTTCTCGGTGGAACGCCGAGGGGAATATGTTACATCCGGAAGCTTTAAATCCAATCATAAATCGCGTCGCAGCCTTCCATTCTCTTCCACGAGGAAAAGGGTTCCGGTGAAAAGAAACGTGGCGAGTAACAGATGAAAAGAGAGGACCGACAGGAGTCGGCTATAAATAACCTGGACGAGGAAGGAAAGGTGGTGAATAAGAAACGCTTGGAAATAGAAGAAATGAAAAGATACAGATATAAGCATACAGCAGGAAATGAGGAAAACAAAGAATAAGGTGACAATGGGACAGTGCCAATGCATAAATGACGTTGCATTAACGTACTAGCATCCCCGTCGCAGCTTTGCCCGCTCTCATAAATAAAAACTTGGAGAATTTGAAGTAATAATTTGAAATGGGTCGGTTTTAGCAATATTGGCGCCCTGGGCAAGATTATCGTGACGTCCATTCACGGGCTCCAAATTTTTAAGAGAAAAAGACAAGGTAATAATATGAAACGATGAATCTGTAGTTAGATTGTAAAAATTGTTAAACTGCATAGCAGATTTACTAATCTAAACGGATATAAATGAATAAACGCATACGACACTGGTCTGCAGTGCCCCCTTTACACTCTTAGGGGTCGAATTTCTAAAAATCCCTTCTTATTGGGTGCTTACGTCATGAGAGGAATACACTACCCGAATTTCATGTTTCTAGGTTCAGGGGTTTGGGCTGGGCGTTGATGAGTCAGTCAGAACATATGTCCCTATACACATATATGATTAGAACAAAATTTTGAATTATATTTTTAATCATTTGTATGGGTGACCTTCGTAAGCAAAAACCAAGTCGATATCTTATCGGGCCTGAGAGATATTGACGAATCCGTGTATACACATTTTAACCCTTTTTACACTCTTAAGGTTCGAATTTCTAAAAATCCCTTCTTAGTGGGTGCTTACGTCATGAGAGGAATACACTACCCGAATTTCATGTTTCTAGGTTCAGGGGGTTTGGGCTGGGCGTTGATGAGTCAGTCAGGACATTTGTCTTTATATACACATTTTAACCCTTTTTACACTCGTAAGGGTCGAATTTCTAAAAATCCCTATTTAGTGGATGCTTACGTCATGAGAGGAATACACTACCCGAATTTCATGTTTCTAGGTTCAGGGGTTTGGGCTGGGCGTTGATGAGTCCAGTCAGGACATTTGTCTTTATATACACTTTTTAACCCTTTTTACGCACTTAAGGGTCGAATTTCTAAAAATCCCTATTCAGTGGATGCTTACGTCATGAGAGGAATACACTACCCGAATTTCATGTTTCTAGGTTCAGGGGGTTTGGGCTGGGCGTTGATGAGTCCAGTCAGGACATTTGTCTTTATATACACTTTTTAACCCTTTTTACGCACTTAAGGGTCGAATTTCTAAAAATCCCTATTCAGTAGATGCTTACGTCATGAGAGGAATACACTACCCGAATTTCATGTTTCTAGGTTCAGGGGGTTTGGGCTGGGCGTTGATGAGTTTGTCAGGACATTTGTCTTTATATACACTTTTTAACCCTTTTTACACACTTAAGGGTCGAATTTCTAAAAATCCCTTCTTAGTGGGTGCTTACGTCATGAGAGGAATACACTGCCCGAATTTCATGTTTCTAGGTTCAGGGGTTTGGGCTGGGCGTTGATGAGTCCAGTCAGGACATTTGTCTTTATATACACATTTTAACTCTTTTTACACTCTTAAGAGTCGAATTTCTAAAAATCCCTTCTTAGTGGGTGCTTACGTCATGAGAGGAATACACTACCCGAATTTTATGTTTCTAGGTTCAGGGGGTTTGGGCTGGGCGTTGATGAGTTTGTCAGGACATTTGTCTTTATATACACTTTTTAACCCTTTTTACGCACTTAAGGGTCGAATTTCTAAAAATCCCTATTCAGTGGATGCTTACGTCATGAGAGGAATACACTACCCGAATTTCATGTTTCTAGGTTCAGGGGGTTTGGGCTGGGCGTTGATGAGTTTGTCAGGACATTTGTCTTTATATACACTTTTTAACCCTTTTTACACACTTAAGGGTCGAATTTCTAAAAATCCCTTCTTAGTGGGTGCTTACCTCATGAGAGGAATACACTACCCGAATTTCATGTTTCTAGGTTCAGGGGATTTGGGCTGGGCGTTGATGAGTCAGTCAGGACATTTGTCTTTATATACACATTTTAACCCTTTTTACACTCTTAAGGGTCGAATTTCTAAAAATCCCTTCTTAGTGGATGCTTACGTCATAAGAGGAATACACTACCCGAATTTCATGTTTCTAGGTTCAGGGGGTTTGGGCTGGGCGTTGATGAGTTTGTCAGGACATTTGTCTTTATATACACATTTTAACTCTTTTTACACTCTTAAGAGTCGAATTTCTAAAAATCCCTTCTTAGTGGGTGCTTACGTCATGAGAGGTATACACTACCCGAATTTCATGTTTCTAGGTTCAGGAGGTTAGGGCTGGGCGTTGATGAGTCCAGTCAGGACATTTGTCTTTATATACATATACATATAAAGATAAGAAGCAAAGGAGTAAGAAAAATATGGGCAGAACCAAGTGTTCCTTGGAAGGAGGTTCAATTCCCAGTTCTCATGTTTGTGGAAAAGCAGCCCGTTTGCTTCATTGTCGCAGCTTATAATTTCCTATTAGCTGTACGTTGGACGACAGAATGACACGGGGACAGGGCAACGGGAATCCGGGCGAGCAAAGACCGCTTGTATGCTGTAGGTTGTATAACGGTTTCGCGCAGCATCCAGTGTACAGTACCCAGTGCCTGGAAAGAAGAAACAACGTACAGACACGCGCGAACGCTTGACCCCTTACCAATGAATCAAATAGATACCTCTGAAAACAATTTGGTGCAAACGCTTCCTTCTGACGAGGTGTCGATGACCTGTTCGAATTCATCGGACCGAACGCCTTTCTTCAGAGGCTGGTTACAGCATCGAGTTCAGAAAGTGAGGCATAACGAGAGGGTATCGTTTCGCTAGCTGTTTTTGAGAGCATAGAACCGGAAGTACCGGATTGATACTTGCAAAATGATAGATTGGTCCACTCTGGACGTTATATTCAATCCTTGGGAAACAGAAATCTGTACAAGACTGACAGTTTTATTACTGACTCAGTTTTATTTTAATTTTCTTCTAAGCCACTCCAGAGCATATGTTGGGAATTTTTTTTTTAAATGATGGAATAAACTAATAACTAATAAATTTTAAAAATTAATTTTTGTATAATGATTCAAATGAAAATATGGACTCTGCAACATTTCTTAGATGCGTTTAAAGTCTTTAGTAATATTCGAATTCGAAATTGGAGTACTTAGAGATTTTTCCCATCCATAATTTCTTGTCATATCATTTAAGCAAAAAAAGAAATTTCTATTTCTTCAAAATTCTAGAATGGCCTTAACCCTTTGAATGAAAATCAAGGAATCTTGAGGATAAGATGAAATTTGGTGAATGAATTTCTGGTCAAACCAGAAGCAAGATCATTAAGACGAGTTCCTTGAAGTGAGATCTTGTTACTTGCTTGGTGGTCGAACGGTATTTCTACAAAGGAAACTTCCCAACGACGTACGGACTCTTTTTAAGCTGTTCCCAACACCGTCTGCTTGGGAAGACTCTCTTTCCAAGGTCCGATTCATTCGACCACAAACAACTTCCTTCACCAGAGGCTAGGTCTTCTTTTTCTTCTTCTTCTTCTTGGGGATCAAATTAACGCCCATGAGGATTCATTCACTTTCTGTTCACCACTGTGCTTTCTATTCTTCTTCTTTGTATTTCTAATCTGTAAATGTGATTTTAATTAGCCGATAATTAACTGGAATTTCTTATTGTTATCACAGTTACCTGAAGCACTTTGAGGCTGATGAAACTCCATGACAACATATTTTATAATTCTTCTGAAGATTTTTATTATTTAAAAATATTCACTGAAAAAAGAAATATATGGTAATGTTAATGAAATTCTCAAAACTGAAAAAATTAGAGAACAGACCCTGAGAAAAAAGAGCAATGGAGAAATTCCATTACAGAGGCATTAAATTTTCATTACACACAATTAAATTATATATCAGGCTATCCTAAAGAGAAAGGACGCTGAGATAGACTAATAAAACGTGATGATGTGTAAAAGTGCGAGGAATACTTGCTGTGGAAAACGTGTCAACGAATTCCTCCTACTAAATTAAATTCTTACTGTTACTTCTTTTAAATTTCATTTAGTTTTCAACATAAAAATACAATACCGTTTCAACTGGTATAAAGTGCATTAACAAATCTCTGAAAACAACTTCAGAAATAAATTTCAAACAGGAGATAAGTAAGAAAAGATTGTCTGGTACGGAAGGACAAGGCTAAAAAAAAAGCAGAACCGGGATGACTCGCAATCCTGATGATACTCGTTTGTCCTTGAATCAGCTAAAGTCACTTAACAATCTACACAGATTTTTCTTTAACCACAAGGATACGGCAGTGAATTGTACAAAAACAGAATATTGTTTTTTTTCCTTGAGAATGTACCTGCAAAAAGTAATTTATTAATTTTTGTAAATGAAAATATTAAGAAATAATAATCATAATAATAATAATAATTTTTGTAAATGAAAACATTAATAATAATAATAATTTTTGTAAATGGAAACATTAACAAAATAATAATAATAATTTTTGTAAATGAAAACATTAAGAAATAATAATAATAATTTTTGTAAATGAAAACATTAACAAAATAATAATAATAATTTTTGTAAATGGAAACATTAAGAAATAATAATAATAATAATAATTTTTGTAAATGTAAACGTTAAGAAATCTTGTTTTAAAATACCTCCTCTTCAAAGTATAATATATTATCAATAACTATTTTATAAATAAAGACAAATAGTCCTGTATTATTCCATTAACTAACAAATAGATTGCTTTAAACATAGATCATCATTCTGCCTCCTCAACGAATCGCATATTCTCTCCTAAGAAAATTGCAAACGCACATTTTTCTTCACAGTATTGTTCTTTCTCGTTAAATCGAGGACGCCAGCATTAAATCGTCGGCCTCAGAAAAGAGTTTCTCCTCGAGTCTTATTACAGGGACTGTGTTTCATAAATAATGCGTTACTTTCCTTGTTAATTATCATAAACGAAGTGCGTCGTTGCACCTGTATTAGGATCAACTAAAATCAATCACAATTTACTTCGACATCAGAAAAGAAGAATAATTAGAAATTCATAATTTATAGTTAACTAATTAGTTCCACTTTGATATGCATCAAACTTACAACATTGATGTAGTTCATCCAGCGTTAGCTAAAGGCTTGATTTGTAATGGAAAGTTGTTGCAATAACAACAACAACAAAAAAATATAATAATGCACACGCTCCCACACATATTTTGCTGTTATCTTCGCGATGATCGTTTCGTAATGACGTTACGTCAGAAAAAAAAATTTCCTCGGTTGATGTTCAGACGACACGAACAGTGGTTCTTCAACCTTATTTCCGATCCTTGAGCAATATCGCGATGAAGAGGAAATCGTAGCACTTCCTAAAGAAGTGGCGTCGCTCATTTAACACTGGAACTTAATAAATTCTATAATTTAAAATTGTCATTTTCCATTTGGTAGTTCCAGTGTTAAAATATACAGTGAGAGGCAAAAGTAAGCAGACACTGTTCAAAATAGAATACCTCGGTTAAAATTGGACCAAATAACTTGAGGTTTTTTGAGGAGCTATAAAAATTAATTCCATCGTTTTAAAAAATTATAATTTGTTAAAATAGTGAATGGTAATTTTTCAACCTATTTAAATTAATTCACTAAAATATGTATTTTCATCGTTTTATAAAATTACAATTTGTTGAAATGGTGAAAAAAATAGCGAATGATAATTAAGATTTTTTTTCACGATTTCAATAAATAGTAATTTTTTAAAACGATGGAATTAATTTTTATGGCTTCTCAAAAAACCTCAAGTTATTTAGTCAAATTTTAACCGAGGTATTTTGAACAGTGTCTAGTTACTTTTGCCTCTCACTAAGTTACGATTACAGAAGAAGTCATGACCGGTGGAAAATAATTAATGCGACTTATGTAATAACGAATGGCAATTAGTAACGACGGGCAGAGGTTGACACGGTAAATCGCGAGACGATAAGAAGATAATCGATAAGCGTTGCACCGGTGCTGTGACGAACTGGTTTCGAAGCCCAACTTCCGGGTTTTGGCTGGCATCGATGCGTGAATACAACTTCGGAAAGGCTGCAGTTCAACTTGTTAGACCTGCAAAACATTTCTTGATGAGAAAGTAATTAACAGAGAGAGATTTATGTGTTCATTACATTTATTACCTTCACTTTCAGTTATTAAAAGAAAAATCAGTCTTAAAATTATGTGTGCATCATTTTGAGGTCTCCAGGATGATCTAGTATCTTATAGAAATCCCCAGTTTTTTCTATATTTTTCATTTCTGAAAAACAAAATATCTCTTGATGTGAAAGCAATTAAAAGAGAGAGATTTATGTGTTCATTACATTTATTACCTTCACTTTCAGTTATTAAAAGAAAAATCAGTCTTAAAATTATGTGTGCATCATTTTGAGGTCTCCAGGATGATCTAGTATCTTTTGGAAATCCCCAGTTGTTTCTACATTGTTCATTTTTAAACAAGACTTCAGGAGGACGTTGAAGAACGCCTTGGTCGGATCGTTGAAAAGTTGGAGCTCGTTTAGGAGGTCACAAAAGAGGATAACTCGGTCGAACACGTGAAGAGACAATGCCTCCTCCGTTTTGCTTGGAAGTAGCGAGGCGGCTTGTATGCATGCTACACTGAGCAGAAACTTTAGTCTCTATTACATAAGAGAAAAGTCGACCCTCCTCTTCTTCTCTTCCTCCTCTGCCCCTAGTGCAAAGTTGATCACTTCATCGTGGGTGTCTAGACGAATTTAATTAAGCCTCCAGGTATTCCAGTCCCTCAGTATTTTGGTAGATCTGCCATTCATTTGATATCTATCCAAATTTTCTCAAATTACAATGGGGGCGTCTAACATGGCAAACTCGAGGTCATCTGCAATCTGAATTTTAAAGTGTTAAGTTACGAGTTGGTCTCAAATATCTATATACTATATTTATTCTAACCATCAATATATTAAGAAGTTAAATTTAATTTTAAGTTTATTAATTAATAAAATTAATTAATTTTAAAAAATTTGTAAAACCGAAAGCAAAAAAAAAAAAAAAAAAAAAAAAAAAACAACCCTGCTTCTTCGAAGCCCAACAGCAGACTGACTGGCCTGCGCGCGCCGCAAGTGGCTTTATCAGATGCATCTGGCCCATTTACCCAGGGGCTGAAGTGACGCGCCCTGTGATTGGCGGAGCAGGACTGATTAGACAAGCGCGGCTATCTGATTGGTCCTAAGGTAAAGCTTTCAAAGTAGGTACATCAAAAGTATTTTCCTTGCTCAAAGTCAATGAGAACTGGTTCGTGAAGAGAATATGATGTCACTTTAGTCGCGGTAACTCGCGTCGAGGGCAGCAGAAAATAATGAACAGGTATATACGCGTAGGGAATAATGATTGAGATTAGATACGATTCCAGTAAACCGATGTTTTCCTTTGTCTCGAACCACTCATTTCACTTCCCTTGGCCTTATTTAGTCTGCCCACGAAACTTGCTCTTTCGAATGTAAGGACAATTGCTGGATACAGTTTAGTATTCTTCAAACTCCTCCACCAAACTTACTGTTGTTGGGCCAATCTTCAAGGCTAATCTTCAGAGCTTGTTCAAAGCTTTATATTTTGTAAATATATTCTATGGTAATTTGCATATTTCTATGAAATTGTAAAAGAATCTTTCTTTAATGATACATTCATTTATTATAAATCCAAGCAGACGTGAACTCTCCTAGTGAATCACCTTCTTTCAAGGATTCATTCTCGATGATCGAGGCAAAACGAAGCGGTGCCTCGATGTTGTAATAGCTCCTGACAAGTACATATAACCACGGATCCTCCTGCTGGCTCGGTCGCGTGTAGAAAGGAGAGGGTTCACCTTTCACCCCGGAGTAACTGTAGAACGAGGAAAGTCAGGGAATGGATTATACCTGCGGAGGTGAACAGCTGGGACTCGATATAATCTGCCACGATTACGTTTCTTGGAAGGGGAAGGCACAGGTGTGGAAATCGCTTTTCGAATGGCACTAGGTGGGCCTTGGATTTTGATATTTTAATGTAAAGTTTCTCACGTATCTAGTATGTCCGATAGGTAAGGCTTGGTCCCAAAACGGTTTTTTGGCTGAAGTGGTAGAGCGCTAGCCTGCTACCAAGACGGCTAGGGTTCGAATCCCAATTTGTGGATAATATTTTTTTTTATTTTTTTTTACTAATCTTTGTTAATTACCCCCTTGCCTTTCGAGTATTAATTTTCATATATCGCCTCTGCAAAAAGAAACAATACTCGCAGATCAAAACAGCTTTTTAACAGAGTAATTAATTATCGTTAAGTAGCATTTACCAAGGTCCCTCTTTATAAGGAATTTTTTTTTCGCTTATTACAAATGAAAAGCGAAGTTTCTAATATCTGATCATCGGCCAGGCGAATCGCAGCAAGCTGGTGGAAGGCACATGCTCTCTTCCGTGCTGAATCAGAATCGAGCCAGTGCATATTTGAAAAACAAACGAAAGCGTTTACGTAAGCGATTCCTTTTCGTCCTCCTTCGCTGTTCCTCGTTCAATGAACTACGATAACAAACTCTGAGCAATTTCAGGCGTTGCTAACGCGCCAGTTCATTCACTTTCATGTTCCCTAAATCATATTCAACTGCAGAACATTTCTCTTCTTCCATATATTCTTCCTTGTAATAAAAAGTATTACCTGAAACTGAAAAGAAATATTTTTAGATTATTTTTCTTTCCTGCTGCTTTTATGCTACTCACATATTGTGAACTTTAAACTTCAAGAGAAGGTGCTCTCTTTGGTCCTGAACGTATCCTGTCCACTCGACGAACGGTATTATTCGCGTAAGAACAATTCGATCGTGATTCAGAGTGGAGAGCGTGGGCGTGCTGCGGATAATCGGCTCGAGAAGGGACCGAGGGCCGGCTGGATCTCAAAGTGAAAGTCCTGGATCAACATTTAGTCGCGCCGCGACCACGGACTCGAACGGATTCTATTCGCGTTCAACGTTTTATTCAGGAGCTTCCTTTTACTTATTCATTATCCTAACAGTTTCACTTGGTTTCAATAGCATACTCCTGTGAAAATGAATAGACAGTGTAGTGGTGTACACGTGACCATTTTGGATTAAAGATCTACGGTGATCTATGCATCTGGGCGCTCCAGGTTCGCATTTTCCTTTTGTCTTAATCTTTGATCAATAGTGTTCATTAAAATTGATTAAAATACTGGAGTTGATTCAGAAATATGTGATTCTAAATGGGGAACAAAGTCCTAAATTCAGTAAATCTGATTCTATAGTGCCATCAAATTCCCATGAATTGATCATAGAGTTGTCTATCATTATCATTTTTATAAAAATTATACAAATTTGATCAAAGATTCAAGACATTCTATTTCCTATCCAATTACAAGTTTCTTCAAGATAACATATGTACTTGAATAGTACTGGGTAATCATTACATCAGTGACAAGTATTATAAAACTTATCACTGTCTGAACTATGCTTATGTAAAATACTGTTTGAGGTACTGTTTGACCAATAGAATATAAATTGTTCATTAAAATTGATCAAATTACTGGAGTTGATTGAGAAATATGTGGAACAAAGATCTCCTTAAAAGGGAGTCCTAAATTCAGTAAATCTGATTCTATAGTACTAAATTTCTCTATGATATCAAATTCCCATGAATGATGCATGAACTGATCATAGAGTTGTCTATCATTATTTTTATAAAAATTCTATTTCCTATCCAATTACAAGTTTCTCCAAGATAACATATGTACTTGAAGAGTACTAGGTAATCATTACATCAGTGACAAGTATTATAAAACTTATGTTTGAGGCTTTCCTTAGCACACAGCTGTTCCAATAAAAGAAATCACTGATGTTCAATATGAATACAGTTTAAAACTATCATATAAAATTGCCTGAAACATATTGTATACAGCAGGCATAGCGTTAATTAGACGATGATTGATTGGAAGATACAACGATTATTTAGCTGTGTGAAAGGCATAACCTCGGTGGCCGTGCGCGCAATAACGGAAATATTAATGCACAGGGCTCGTTCGAACTTTCGACCAGACGCCGTAACGAGCCACGAATCGATCGTGCCTGTTCTCCGTGTCCTGTTCGCTTCGATCCACGATGCGTGAAGGCTCTCCGACGGCTTACGGTACATCGCCGCGTTATTTCCTACGCTAATAGGCTAGTTTTGCTTCTCCTATTTGGAAATAAGCAAACCTTGATTCACTATTCATTGACGAGCTTCTCCATTAGTACACATACCCAGTGAGCGCTGAAAAAAGAATTCATACTAATTATGTTCAAATTAAGTACTCACTTTGATTTACATCACACTGCCTTACCTATTATTTTCCCAGTCATTAGTTTTTATGGAAATGGTAATTAAATTGTAATCCCTGTTACAGTAATTACGAATACTGTTTTACCATTAAAGTGCAAGTACTTTGGGTTGGATTTAAGAAAATGGGGTACCCCTATCAAGCTGATTTTTTTACCATAGATAACCCTTGACCTGGCGATTCTAATGGTGGCCATTCTATCCCTTAACTCCCCCCAAGGGGTCAAAAACTGAAATGGAAAAAAAACTAACCTAATCTAAAATGACCCTACGACTAATTCAACCTCAGTAATTCATCGGTTAGGTTAGGGTTTTTTTTAATTTTTATGTATAATTTTTATTATCATGTGTAATTTAAAAAAAAAAAAAACCTAATCGATGAATTACTGACTTTGAATTAGTCATAGGGCCATTTCAGGTTAGGTTAGGGTTAGGTTAGTTTTTTTTTGTTTTCAAATGACGTACTCACTTTTTGGACCATTTCAATTTCTGACCCCTAAGGGGGGGTTAAGGGATAAAATGGCCACCATTGGAATCACCAGGTCAAGGGCTATCTATGGCAAAAAAAATCCCATTATCTTAATTCCAGTCATTCGTTGATTATGAGATTCATTTTGAGATCTGATTTGATTCCACCCTATGTCCATTCACGGTTTTCCAGAAATCTAAGAATAGTATGGCTCGAGGTTTCGCGAATCTTCTTCGCGGCTACACCGTGCCGTTTAACGAGACACGAGACAAGGGATAAGGGTCGTTGAACCTTGATACGTTGAAGTTTTTCATCGAGTCCGCATTTTCGCGTCGATTCATCCGAGATCGACGAGCGAATCGTAATTAAAGGGCAGGGACGGCGTTGCTGACGACAAAATTACGGCGGATTCAGGCTCGTTCAAAGGAAAGATTTTTCACCGCGATTACCAACACCGGCCAACGGCCGTCCATTAAATCAGTGGCGCGCAACTCGTATCGTGCCACGCGATTATTTACGATCACGCTTATTAATCTCGTAATAGCGGCACCTGTGTTCGAAACCGGAATCGACGCTTATTTTCTAACACAGAATTTCGCGGTGAGATCTTACACTAAGAGGGCACCATTTTTCTTTCATTCTTGCCCTTTTTCTTTAAGATTAAATGCTACTTAATTTTGTTTGGAATAAAATTCAATTTTTAAATCAAGGAACTCTTTTAACCCTTTATTTACTGATGGGACTTATAAGCAGGGGCGGCCCTGAGATTTCAAGGGTCCGAGGCGGGCCCATTCACATATATGACATAAAAAAGTGTAGCTCAAATGAAATTTATAAAATTAAGATTAAAGCTTGTGTAACTAATTTTGATTAATATTCAAGTAAATTAATTCAAGTAGATTAATATTCAAGTCTTATAGGGGCCCTGGACCTTGGGGGCCCCTAGGCAGTCGCCTAGTCTACCTAGGCCCAAGGCCGACCCTGGAATGGCAGCACAAAAATATTGCTTCCGGGACTTCGAAGTCCCAAATTATTTTCCATATAATTAATGACCTCGGTGGTGACTTATAATGAAAATTGTGCTATAGGGTGTTTACTTCCACCTAAATTAAGTATTTAAAAAAGTTGGCACAAATTTTAAAAACTTTTAAGAAATTCAGTGAATACAGGGTTAAAGGTTAGTCCTGGGCCCCAAGAATCTTCATCCATTCCTGGTACGGCGTGCAATCACCGCTTCATGTATTTTACAAACTCATCAGACCCATTAAAAAAAAATCGTGCATGTAACGTAAGGGAGAAATTTTCTATCCCTGCACAGCGCTTCGTTTCATAATCGTTGCTCAATGTATACAATAAATATCCGACGCCTCACGCAACTTCGCGTTTCCCTCGGTTTCTAAAAAACAAAAAGAGGGCATTAGAAATTCAATTTTTCTGCTATATGAATTATTAGGTAACGCGGAGTTACACGTGATGCAAGTAAAATGTTAATCTGTATTTAGTGGAAATGGACTGAAGATGACTAAATCGATAATGCATTTAGGAGACTTGCATAGCTGACACCTGGACACATTCTGTTTAACACGTTGAACGCCACAGTGAAATTGGGCATTTTTTAAGAATAGTAATAATTAATTTTCAGATTTCAAATTTCAAGCTTTCGATTTGCCATTTCACATTAATTACTAGAAATAGTAATAATTAATTTTTAAATTTCAAATTTCAAGCTTTCGATTTGCCATTTCACATTAATTACTAGAAATAGTAATTAATTTTCAAATTTCAAATTTCAAGCTTTCCACTTGCCATTTCACATTAATTAGTAAGAATAGTAATAATTAATTTTCAAATTTCAAATTTCAAGCTTTCCACTTGCCATTTCACATTAATTAGTAAGAATAGTAATAATTAATTTTCAAATTTCAAATTTCAAACTTTCGATTTGCAATTTCACATTAATTACTAGAAATAGTAATAATTAATTTTCAAATTTCAAGCTTTCCACTTGCCATTTCACATTAATTACTAGAAATAGTAATAATTAATTTTCAAATTTCAAATTACAAGCTATCCACTTGCCATTTCACATTAATTACTAAGAATAGTAATAATTGATTTTCAAATTTCAAGCTTTCTACTTGCCATTTCACGTTATTTGTACCATAGTAATATTTTTTAAAATAAAGTTTTTCTATAGTTTTTTTTATTATTCGGGCATATGTAAATTGCGGAGCCGGTCACCGGTGACCCCCATGGCGTCCATCGTATTAACAACCATTGCTGCTGTATCCGAAACTAGTTTCGGCCCTATTGCGAGAGTTTGCGCACCGCTGATCCCAGCCGAGCGATATCAAACGTCGATAGACTGGTAATATAGCGTTTGTATCGGCAACGGGGCACAGGCGAGCGAAAGAGGAAACGAGAGGAGCGGTTTACCTGGACGAAACCCGCTGCCTGGCAACCAGCTCCGCCACCAGGCGGCTGGGATATATTGTTGGTTCATTGCAAAAGCTATGGAAATCACTCCCTCCAGCTTGGCCTCGATTTTCACTTTAGAATACCTTTATCAGGGAAGCTTTTTTTTGCTAAGCTTTTCAAACCTTTCAACCCTCTAGCATATTTATGTGTCAGCGTTTTTCGCCAACAGCTCTCTCCTTCATGCTTCAACAGTTTTCTACCTGAATAAATTAATCCTTGAATCACAAACTCAATAATCTGCAATTCAGTAACCTATTTCTTCCCAACCTAACCTAATCCAAAAAATTGTAAAAAAATATGGTATTTTGTCATTAATTTCACTTTAAAATAATTGAAATAACATTGTAAATATTAAAAACGAGTAGTATGGAAGTTTCCTAGTAAAAAAATAAAAAATTTTTTTATTTACTCAAAATTTGCAACACTGTTGATTATATGAAAAAACTGACCAAGGTTGATGGCGTCACTCATGAAATTTTGAAAAACACTCTGTGACATTTCTTTCATGTTTTCAGTAATTTATTTTTTTTCACCAAGTGTTAGACTAATTGTGAAATATAAACACATAGACAGAGAACTTGTGAATAAGTTCATTTTGACTGCATTTTGTCCCAGCAACACTGGGAAGAAATGGGTTAAACAAATAGTTACTTTTTTCAGCGGAGGTGATACGAGATTAATCGTTTCCTTACCTTCTCCGCTCTCTATTCTATTATCATTATTTTTGAATACAAAGTGCATTCTTCATTGTTTATAGTAAATATCATCCTACGTAATATGTGGGACGTGTTAATACTGATTGCAGGCCGTGTAACAGTTCACGGCACTCGGACCGGTATCTCGAAGAACCACGTGCGTGTACATATCATGAATACTTAAAGTTCATGCGAACAACTCCTTGATTCGTATTCTACAAATGGTTATTGTCGAACGATCGTTCAAACACGTACAATGGTTTTATTACAACTTACGGTTTCGCGATTGTTGGTTCTGTAGAAGATTCTTGGATGTGGGGGGGGGGGATAACGCCCACGCTTGCATATTAGAACGTACCGGCGAGCGAGCACCACTTGTGGGCTACGATGGAAAAAGAATTTTCTGGGTATAAATAAAGTGGTTTCTCGTAACGCTGATGGAAAGTGCCCGGGGAGAGAAACGTGGACGAGATTTCGCGTTATCGATCCAAGGATCGAGCCACGAGGCCCACGCTGGATCGCGTAACTGTCGTGACTTTATTGGAGAACAATAACTGGCTTTTTATTGATGCTCCAATAACGACTGTCCAGTCTAGTTGCTGCTAGATCTTCATTCTATTATGCATAACCGCAATGTGGTTTATTGTGCTCTTTACTTTGTTCTTCATCACTTTGCAATGAGTTTCAAGTGTATCCTGGTAGCAAATTAATCCTTGTATCACGAACTCAACAATCTGCAATTCATTAACCCATTTCTTTCCAAAAATAAAAATTGTGAAAATATATGGTATTTTTTAAATTTATATGGCGCCACCTAGGAGCATTGTTCAAGAATCAACTTCTCTTATTTGAAAATTGATTTAATTAAATGGTGTTCGCGTCAGGAAGCTTTAGAATATCAGACATGAATACCTTTCATAAAAACAATGCCCCTATAGTCTCTTCCAACAACCAGTTGCTTCATAGGAAATGTAGAACCATTTGTGTTCTGTATTTATCATTCTTTGTTTCCGTGGAGCGAAGGTAGACGTCCATGCATGGCAACGAGATCCTAAAAGCATTACTGTCAAGTAGGAAGAAAGAAAAAAGTACAAAAAAGATTAACATGCTTACTGGAGCAAACTGTAGTCGACTGGACATTATGTATAAACTAACGGGGTTTACTCATCGTCGATAAAACAGTTTTGCTTTCTTCTTATTTTTTCGTATGATCCGATCCGGTTACTCGGATTCTTTCCTGTCGTTTTATCACCATTTCTGAAAAAGAAAACGTACACGCTGAATGTATTATATAAAATCTGTAGTTACGATAACGGGAAAATGTCACGCGGTTGGAGCTTCGTTAATCAGCTGGCTCTTTGATAAAGTGTGTAATTTAAACGGCGCATGGGAAACCGCTTACGATAAGCGTATACCACTTAATTATTAGTAGCAACAGGTTACGTGCAGTTACTCCATCCATTTTTACTTTTATCCGAACTAATTATTTCTTCCCTCGGCACTTCGCAAACGAATTCGTAATGGCGGCCATTACTACTCGAGTCAAGTGTCGAAATATTTTAAGAAATATAAAATAAGTTTCAAAATTGAAATTTATAATATAATAATATTATAAAAATCTTGAAAATACATCCCAATATTGAATTAACATATAACTGCTTTTATCTAGGATTTTAACAAAAAAGCTCGGAACTATTGGCGGTAAATTTTGATTTTTCGAATGCACCGCTGCGCGCCCATTTTGTCGCGGGAAATTTAAATGCTGTAATATTCCACAATGCTATCTCACACAATTTCTTAACCTAATATTAAATATTTTTTTTATTATTTTTCCAGCTCAATTAACTACACTGGTATAAGGGCATCTTAAAGTAATTAACCGCTGAAACAATGGCAAGGCAACAGACAGCCGACAGGAATATTCCCCATTTGCGAGATATTTTTGGATTTGGCAGTAAATGGGAAAACACACGGATTCCAGCCGAGGAAAAGGCAGCTGGACACGACAGTGCCGTATCTGTAGGCTCAACTTCTGGCGAGGAAGAAAGTCCTAAGAACAGCAAAAAGAAAAAGTCCCGTCGTCGCGACAACAGTAAAACTTTGACGGAGAGTGACGTGAAACACTTGGAAAGACATCTTTCTATGAAGAAGACAATACGTAAGAAGATCATGCGCGACTTGCAGCAGGCGTTCGTCGAGGATCCAAATGAGTTTCGAGTGGACGACATTCCTCCGGAACAGCTCAAGGCAGAGATCAATATTCAGAGCCTGAGCTTTGGGACACCCTCACAAAAACAGGGACGCACGCGTGGCAATGCTGAGAACACATTCTTGGATATGCTACGTGCCGGAGGTAATTGAATTTTTATGCTGACAAACATTTTCCAATAACATCAGGAACACATCTAAAAGATATAGAAAATGATTTACAATCAGTGCCGGTTTTAGCAATATTGGCGCCCTGGGCAAGATTATCGTGGCGCCCATTCAGGGGCTCAAAATTTTTCAGAAAAAATGAATCTGTAGTTAGATTGTAAAAATTGTTAAATTACACAGCAGCTTTACTAATCTAAACGGATATAAAGTCGCATACTAGAGACACAGGGCTGGCGCCCTGGACGATTGCCCAATAGTGCCCCCCTCCTAACGCCGGCACTGTTTACAATATTCTATTACTGATTAATATTTCTAATTACAATTCTACTGGATTAATATAAATAAAATACATTTTTTATAGGACTTGAAAAGAATTCAACAGACGGTGACAGAGATTCTGGACACGGTGGTTCCCCGACGAGGGAGACTTCCAACGTCCAGGATACCGACGACGAATCCAGCTATCCCTACGATACACCGGTTGCAACACCGTCGAAGAAGAGCGGCAACTTCTGGAGACGTTTCACCATGAAGAGCCGTAACAAGCGGTAAACCATTGGGTCGATTTCCTCGGCGACTCTTCATCTACCCGATACACTTATTTCCATTTCTGTAATTGTACCAACTTAGTTATTCGAGCAGAGCTTGCAACTGTGATATATATGTGAAAGAAAAAAAAAAAAAAGAAAAACCGTACTGTACCGTGTGAAGAGCAGACATCCTAACTTTGTTTTTTGATACCGATTTTAAGAAGTTTCCAGACTCAATTGCAGGAACAAATGGACCAATAATATAACGCTACAAGCTTTTATACAAAATAAGAATGTTCAAGTAATGAAATAAAAATACAATCACCGCACATATCATGACAATACTTTTAGAATCTTTTTTTTAAGAAAACATTTCACAGGAAGATCTCTGTAAATAAATGTTTTATAACACTGCAAACGATAAGGAAACTTCTTGGAGGTTTTTATAGTCCCGCAATGTTATAAGAAAACCTTTTGTGTGTGTACTTAAATAATTAAGGAACGCAGCGAACACGTGAGAAACGCATAGTGTATAAGAGTAGTTAGTTTGAATTCTTTTTCTAGCTTTTAAGATAAGGACGAGGCAAACCAGGTGAATTACGGTAATTAAACGAGATAATAAGTATGCACAGCTCTTTCATCATACCTGTACATTGTTAGTGTTAGCTAGTCAACCGAGCAGATTTTAAAAGAGGATCGATCAGACGTTGGTTCTGAATTTGATACTGCTATTTCTCTGTAAATTATTTGATACATTGCGCATTTTATGGCACTTTAAATATTTAGGACCATATATTTTGTATAAAAGTTGCATTGCCAAAAAGAAGAAAAAGAGAGAAAAAAAAGATGCATACAACTATTTTCTTGGTACTCTTGAAAGCTAAACAATCATGTTGAAAACAGGGAACATTTTTTTGATACTGTATGTAAGTCTTCGATTCTCGGGAAATCTGAAAAACACGAATATTATAGAGATTTTGAAACATTGCGTGCATTGTAAAGTATAATATTTATTGTATAAGATGTTGGTATGAAATTCCATTGTTCCTACCGTTCTTGGATACCTTCTCTCCAGATGCCAATAGCATCGATGCTTATGCAGAACACGATCACCATAATTATTATGAACAATAATCATTAACTTTGGTGTCAACCACAATGGCTACGTTAACTGTAAATGTATCATACTCAAGGATCATATAGATGTAAAGGTAGCAGATAAATAAAAGTTCTTTTTGAACGTTACCTCCCCTTTCGCTTTTCTTGAAAAACATATTTTATTAAAACATGTCTCATCTCGATAACAGATATAGAAAATATAAAAAATAAGTATTATTTTGTAATATCCTAAGTTAACAATTGATCATCTCTTTTTTTATTCGTTTGTGAATTTCGGGGGACGTTTCTCAACGAATGCAGTCATTCCCTCTTTTCTATCAGTCTGAAATTTTAATTTTACATTATACATTTGCAAAATTGTATTTTTAAAGAATCTCTTACCGTTGCAAATGTACCATGGAACATTCTCTTCTCAAAGTGAAGTCCTTCTTTCAAAGTGGTTTCATAAGCTACAACAAAATCATGTTAATGCAAATTCAAAACAATATTAATAATTAATGATGTGGACAACAAAATATTACCTGTATTAACACATTCTTTAGCCATGGCGACAGTTATCTGCGAATGAGAAGCAATTTTCTCGGCTAATTTAATAGCTTCAGCAACAAGTTGACCGGCTGGTAAGACTTTACTAACCAGACCTATGGTTTGAAATATTTATACAAGGATAAAAATATTTTTCTGTTGTGTATAACTTTGTGAATTTATTTTAACCCTGTCACTGCCACAGTGGTCCCACGGGACCGGCACTTGTCTTTTCATTTGGGCCATTCTTTGCCATTATAAAATTTTTAATATGAAAGTTGTTGCCCACTGGTGCAAATTAAAAAATTCGAGTGACAGCGAAAGGATTAATGAACAAACCATTTTTCTCAGCTTCTTCAGCAGTGATTTGATTTCCTGTAAGTACCATTTCCATCGCCTTGCTTTTGCCGATGGCTCTTGTCAATCTTTGAGTACCACCCGCACCAGGTATCGTACCGATAGCAATTTCCGGTTGCCCAAATTTCGCTTTGTCTCCGGCGTAAATGATATCGCACATCATTGCCAATTCGCAACCACCTCCTAACTGAATACAAAAATCTGTGATTATTACATACATCTCGAAGAATCTTTCTAATTCTTCAACTTACAGCATAGCCGTTTACTGCGGCGATTACAGGTTTGATTGCCTTAGAAACTCCATCCCAACTGGTCAAGAAATTTCCCCTAATCGTTTGCGAGTAAGTCTGGTTCTGCATTTCTTTAATATCAGCGCCTGGATGGACATAATTGAATTTAATTTCAGGAAGAGGCTTACCCAATACTTACGAATAATTGCAAATCGATACAAGCACTTGTGTAATAACAAATAAACCCGTGTAAATTTCGAACGCGGTAAGGATGGTACTCTTCCCACTGGATAGAAAACATAACTTAAATTCTATAAAAATTTTATAAAAAATTTTTAAAAATTGCAATCATAAAAAAAAAAGAAAAAAAAAGAAAAAAAAAAAAAACAACACAGTTGGGAGGAATGAATTTGAACCCTGTATCTTTCGATTACGGGTCAAGCATTTTACCACGGAGCTAACCGTTTGTATGTTCAGTTAGTCATATTTTTCAATATAAGTAGTAACTAACTTTAATTGTTAATATCTTTTAAACAATTAGCCGTTTGCCCACAAAACGGAATATAGGCGTGTTCAGTTCGACGAGCTCTACAAGCTGGCAAAGTTTCTTTAATAAGTGAGCGTAACACTTGGGTGATTCCCCTTAATTTATAAATACATTAAGTGTATCTTACCAGCAGCAAATGCTTTTTCGCTGCCGGTAAGGACGATAGCGCCAATGCCATCATTATTATCAAATTTTGATACAGCATCAGTTACTTCAGTCATCAATTTATCACAAAGAGCGTTTAACGCTTTTGGTCTGTTCAAGGTGACAAGACCCACGTTCTTCTTCTCACCGACAGTCTCGACCTTGATGTACTCATAGTTTGAAACCTGACCTGTAAAATTCAAATTTTATAATCAACATTGTTTTTTATAATTAGGAAGGCGCGATGACTTGCACAAATAATACGCAAGTTACATAATAATTCCAAAAAGAAATTATCCAGGGCCGGCCCTGGGCCTAGGCAGACTAGGCGGCCATAGGACCCCATAAGTTGATTTTGCGTCTAAGAATGAAAGAAGAGTAATGTTTACTTGAATATTAAACTAAATTAGTTATACTAGCTGTAATGTTAATTTTATAAATTTTATTTGAGGTACTTTTTTTATATCATATATGTGAAGGGCCCCGCCTAGGACCCCCGAAATCTCAGGGCCGGCCCTGCAAGTTTCTGATATTAATTATTAATTATTTTAAAAAAAAAGAAAATTCATATCTTCTTACTAATAAGCTGAATGTAATGAATACTGTTTCCTGTATTTAAAAAAAGTTTCTAAAACAAGTTTTTCTACTGGTAATACATTATTACAATATTTTTCATATACATATATTCCAATGTCAAAGATAAAAGAATATCTAACAAAACCATAACAAAATCATAGATTACTTGTTGTAAAGTCACCGACAGTATAAACATTATTCTTTCAATTCTTCCTTACATTATTATCAGTCAATTTCTTTCCATGATACTTACAACAATAAAATTTCACATTCGATGCAAAGTATTGCGGTTTTCTACCAATTTGCAAGCTTTTGGTGAAAAGAATCTGGCCAACGCGTGTGGTTGCCATGATGCCAAATTAGTTTGTGGGATTGATACCAATAAAAATGTTCCCCTAAATGGATCTTGGTCGAAGAACGATCAACGAGTTCACGAAGGACCGATAAGACCAGCCGCTTACCAATCACTGTGTGAAGCAGAAAAACATGAACCTTTCCACGCGTTCACTGGAAGCAGTGGCGTACCCAGGCATCCTTGAACCCTGTTCCTTTTAACAATTGCATCAAATTTCATAGAACCTGGAAACTGTATCATTTTGTTTGAAAGACGTTCAATCAAATAAGCATACTTCTCATCCAACTCCTCCTGGGTGTGAAAATGATTTCGCAAGCATGCGGAGTTCCATAAAATGGTTACGCGTGACGTAACCACGAGGAGGAAATCATGTTTACTTTCCAAGCAACTCCACTATTTTAACATTTTTGCGCCATCGAACGGAAGACGCTGAAACGTGGATGATATAACCTGTGGATCGATAGATAAATGAAAGATTAAAAATAAAAATAAAGTATGAACAGATTACTAAATAATCAGAAATGTACAAGTTCAAAAATTTCCATTACAGAAATTGAACAACAAGTGAGCACAAAGTGATAACTAACATTTTGATTGGCTCCCTGCAGTGTATGAGAATTTTGGGAATCAATGACATCCATAATCCTGAATGTATGCAACCAGAAGAGGACCTCACTATCAATATAAGATAATCCTAAAAAAAAGCCAAATTTAAAAAAGATCTTTATTTATATTAGTGAGCATTAGAAATTTTAAATATTTTGAGTTAAAGAAACAAAATCAAATAGAGTAGAATTTTTAAGAATACTGGATGTCCCAGAACCGGAAGACCCGGAAATGGGGGGTTGCTGAGGTGATTCTGAACAACTTTTCCCTTTACCAAAATGTTGCTTGAAGCTCCGTTTTTGAGTTATTAACGAAAAACACTGGCCAATCAGAGCGCGCGCTCAGCCACGGAGCGTTGGCTTTGAATCGCGCTCGGTCGTGAACAAACGCATTGGCGCAGCGTGGGTTTCGAGGGAAACGTGCGACAAATGTTACATCGTCTTAAATTAATAACAATGTAGAATTATTCGTTATTCATGAATAACGAATGAGTTTGTTCACGACCGAGCGCGGTTTAGAGCCAACACTCTCGTCGTTGAGCGATGGCTCTGAACCGCGCTCGGTCGTGAACAAACGCATTGGCACAGCGTGGGAATCGAGGAAAACCTGCGATAAATGTTAAATTAAATGCGGAGTTTAATTTATCCACATCGTCTTAAATTAATAACAATCTAGAATTATTCGTTATTCATGAATAATAGTTGCCGATTTCTTGAATTTAATTTCTATTTTATTTCATATTACGAGATTATTATTTTGTTATTTCGCGAGCAAGTCCGCCGTAGCGAAAAGGTTAATTTCAAACATTTGTTCACGACCGAGCGCGGTTCAGAGCCAACACTCCCAAAATTCAACGCGCGCTCTGATTGGTCAGTGCTTTTCGATAATAACTCAAAAACGAAGCTTCAACCGACATTTTGGTAAAGGAAAAAGTTGTTCAGAATCACCCCAGCAACCCCCCATTTCCCGGTGTTACACGAGTTCTGGGACACCCTGTAATAATGTTAATAATAAATGAAATACAATTAAAAATAAAAAAAGACCAAATATATTTCCCTTACTTGACATTTATGAATAAAATATAGGTCCAAAAAGAATTGGTGCTATGAGAATGTTTTAGGACCGATGTCAAAGTGGGGACCAGTCTGGAACAGGTAACTGGAGGGACTCGATTCATGAACTTGAATTCACCGTCAGTTCACGGACGTTCGTCTGGCAATGTTCTACGTCATGCGATTACCGCTACACGCTTTACTGTTCTTCATTTTTGCGCTGGAACAGCGTTTGGCGGGTAAAAAATGATTAATATTACAATACAACATACGTTTAAAAGATCCTACATTTTCTCAATATTTCCAAAAATGGATCCCTGTATTATTCAATTATTCTAAACATTTTCTATCATCTTAGAAGAAATTTGGCTGCAGGATTTGTCCATGGATATGGAAATAGGAGCGTCCACTGAAGGATATGATCAAGTTTCATTACATTGCGGGGCAGAGAAGATGACAGTGAATTTGAAAACTTCAGAAAATTTCACAGGAGTAATCTACACTCAAGGTAGTTTCTATTCAAGACAGGCTCCTTGTTTCTTGGATCCTGCTCACGGTGGGAATTTCACTCTGAACATTCCCTTTGATCAATGCGACACTGAAAATGTAAATAGTTCAGTTATTAAAAAAGACAATAAGTAAATAAGGTAGAAATAATGTACTACAAATAGCTTACTATTACAGTCTGATGATAAGTACAAAAACACCCTAGTCATCCAGCACGATGATGAGTTAATTACACCAGGTGACGCAGCTTTTGTCTTGGAATGTGATTTCTCCAAGTCTACATATGTAACAGTATCAGCAGAACTGAACGAACCAGATAAGAGGTAACTAGTTAATTTCAACTTTTAATCAACATCATCTTACGCAATTACACGAGTATTTTATGCCTGCTTTGTATTTAATTCCATGTTCCTGACTATGTTATCTGACGATTCTTCGTGTTGGTAGTGGCAGACTAGTGAGATCCAGTATATCCTTGGTGGATGCCGACCCGGCCAGGGACAAGACAAAGAGAACAGCCTGTGTGAAGAGTGACACTAACGAAGTTGTTTTCGTTCCTAATTCAATCCTGAAGTTAAACGATGAGCTGTAAATCATTGCCCAATATAATGTTATATGGGAATTACAATAAGGAACTATATACACACTCCTTAACCTTTTCACTGCCACTGTGGTCCCATGGGACTTCTTCGTTTGGGCCATGGTGATCACTGGTGACCATTAAGAAAAATATGCTATTGGCAAGATTGTAGTTCTTTGCCATTATAAAATTTTTAATATGAAATTTCTGGCCCACAAAAATTCACCTGGCAGGGAAAGGGTTAATTTCCAAGAAGCAGTTCATTGGATTTTAGCTAATTTTCTATCTGTTGCATTCGTGATAAAACAAGGTCAATGAAATGCCATCCGAGGCTCATTATCAGTAATGGAATTCCACCATCATCTGTTGTTGACTCAAACTGCACTGGCGACGATTCGTTTGAATGATACGCGATACGATGCCCTGATAACCTTCTATTGTAAGAACACATTAGAAACGGTACTCTGTACAATATCGACCCCTTTGCATAATACTTTATGAGACTGCATTGCTTATCCTTTTTGTACATTAATTTAATAATAAATTTCTTAACAAATGGAATGACTATTTTAATAATTTTCTGAAAATTTTTTAGACCTTAGCTCTAAGTTAATTAATTAATAAATAGATTAATTAATCTAAGTTAATAAATGTGGTTTACATAAATAATTTATACAGATATTGAGACACACTTTCTATATAAATAATCTCTAGAAAAACGATAGAAAGCAAAGTTTTATCGATGGAAGTTTTAATTCGCAAGTGATAAGGGGATTAACCGAATAAAACCAGTTTTGTACAAATTATTCGGGTGATTTCTGATCCGGTCAGAGGACTACGAGGTCAGACGATATCTAAACTAAGAAGAAAATAGATTATTGGTTGTTATTTGCAATTCGGTCACGGCGATTTAGCATCTTTTCTTTACCCCAAAGTTTCCTTAGTTTCAATGTTTATCGTTTGAAAAAACAAAAATCTTTCACGAGTTATAATTTACGTCATCTTTAATCTCTCAAAGTCTCTCCCCCACCTCGACGACTGATCACGTTTATTTGTATAAGAACCCTATTAGCCGGACAGTGTCTCGCAGGGCACCAAGTTTGGTGAATCACATTGCATACCGGCTTCTTGTGAATTATTTGAAGAGAACTTGAGAACCATGGCAACAGCGAAGTTCAAAGAGGCATCGCCGTACACGAAACCGCAACCCACGCCACCTCCACAGGACTATCTCTATCAAAAGTGAGTGTTTTCCACCAGTTTCCATCTTCATTGATGAACGTTTCTTCGTTTCTTTTATTCCTCTGCTTCCCCTGAAAATAATTGAAATGTTATTACAGGTACGTGGAGGATATTGCATTGAAAAATGAAGCACGCCATAAGACAATAAAGCTAGCCTTGTTCGGTGTGGGCAGAGCTGGAACCATTCATCTTTCCAACGTCGTTGCAAATCCACGTGTAAAGTTGCTTTACGTAGTAGACGACGTCGAGTCCAAATGGGAGGCTATTAGACAGCATTGGCACCTGGACGACGTCACCTTCTTGAACAGTAAACAGTCGGACAAAGTATACAATGATCCTAAGTAAGCAGATCAATTTTTGTTTCATGAAGTAGTCAGAAAATTTGGAAATAGTGGTATAATAGTTACAAACCAGGGGGATCTTTCTTCGTTTTATAGTACCAAATTTTTTGAAAACGTTTTATAACAATTCTGTTAGTACTGAATTTATGGTCAACCTGTGCCCAATATATTTGAGTATAATAAATTCAATTAACACTATATATATATAGAAAAACTTCCACTCTTCAGTTCCAAAAATCCATATATGCTATACCTATTTTGACGGATGTGAGTCCGGCAATCTATTGTTAACAACTGACTATTATCCTTGGTTGCACAGTGTAGATGCAGTTATTGTCGCCTCGCCTACGTACACTCATGAGACGATTGTAAGGAAAGCTTTAGAAGCGAAGAAAGCCGTCTTCTGTGAGAAACCAGTGGCCGAGGATCGCGTTAATACAATGAAATGTTACGAGACTGCCAAGAAGGTCGGTAAACCGTTGTTCTGCGCCTTCAACAGACGTTTCGATCCCAGCTACTCCTCCGTCAAGGAGAGGGTCAGGAAAGGAGAAGTTGGACATGTGCACACCATTAAAACTGTCTCCCGGGACTCTCCTCTTCCCACCTTGGATTACTTGAAATTGTCTGGTGGTATATTTCATGACTGCATGGTCCATGATCTGGATATGATCACCTGGGTTCTTGGAGAATATCCGGTCAAGGTAAATTCATTTTGCAGAGCCTCAACTAAAAAAAACAAGATAAATGTAGATAGGTTGTTAATTAGTATTATAAATTAGTGTTAGTATTAACTCTACTGTGTTCCTTGGGAACTCTAGATAAACTTACACTAATTTATTTATAATTCTTAAAATTAGTTCAAATTAGATTAAAGTGTACACAGGGTGTCTTATAACTCCTGTCACACCCGGAAATGGGAGGTTCTAAACAACTTTTTCCTTCACCAAAATGTTGATTAAAGCTTCATTTTTGAATTATTAACGAAAAACACATGTAACATTTATCGCACGCTTCCGTTGATACCCGCGCTGTACCAATGCATTTGTTCACGACCGAGCGCGGTTCAGAGCCAACGCTCCCTAGTGTTGGCTCTGAACCGCGCTCGGTCGTGAACAAATGCAATGGCACAGAGTGCGACAAATGTTACATTGTCTTAAATTAAAAACAAAGCTTCAACCGAGTTATAAAACACCCTCTATACTTTCTTTACCAATTAAACCACAAGTTCTCAATACTTTGCGTTAATTACTGTTTCATAAAAATACTTGGTTACAGGTTGCCGTCCAGGCCAGTGCAAATATTCCTGAAATCAAACAGATAGGTGACTTCGACACAGTGACGGTTTCTTTATATTTCCCCTCTGGTACCTTAGGGATGATCGACTTATCCAGAAACAGTAATTATGGTTACGATCAGCGTCTTGAAGTGTTCGGTCCCAAGGGTATGATCAAAGCGGACAACGAACAACCGATGCACTGCGTCAACACCCAATACGGTCTTCAAGGATCCAATAGCCCTCCAATTTGGTACTCGTTCCCCAGTCGATTCATGAACGGTTATCGCAGGGAACTGGAACACTTCGTCGACATTGTACTCGGCATGGACGAATCGTCTGTCTTAGCTAAAGAGACTCTAGCTGTTTCCAAACTTGCCTCCGCCTGCGAGGAATCTGCTCGTAGCGGAAAAATGGTTGAAATTAAGTGGGCTGTAAACGAATTGCCCGAAGTTCTATGAAGAAATAGCGAATTTATAATATTGAAAATTCAATCATTCTATTTTTCTTTTTTTTAGCAAAAATTAATTTTTGCTTAGGAAAAAGAATAGAAATCTGCAGTCTGCAGTTTGAAATTCCAATTGCGAGAAGGAAGAACTTTTGAGAAACTTAGGTGACATGTTGTTACACTTTTTTTTATCGATATTATAAAGGAAATACAGAAAAATACCATATACCTTAAATAAATAGTAATGATACAAAATTCACAATGATTCATCTGTTTGTAAACCTGATTGAACTGTATAAAGAAAATAATAGAAGTTTCTATAAGTTGTTTGTATCTTATTTTGTAAAGAAACAGAGATTTTGGATTCTTTAAGTCATGATTGCAGCATTATTACATGGTTTTATTCATTAAAATGCTGGAGGAACTAATGTTCAGAAGTATCGCAAGTTAGTCTGGTCGCGAAAGAAACATTTTACTTTTACATTATTCATTTTTTCAAGAATTTTTTCATTTTTAAAAGAACCTTCGCTCCCATTTACCTTCACGAAAATAATAAGCTGCTCTGTTAAATTAAAACATTCTTTTAATTCACCATTTACTGCCCTTAAAATTATGTACTGCGATAATTATGGTTTAAATATCATAGATTTTTTTTTTTACTTTATAAATTCTTCATACGTAGCAAAAAAAGGAAATATATGCACAGCAATTGTATAGCTCTTTTATAGTAGTCCTTGTTTAAAATGAAGGTTGCGTTTATAGCTGCTCGATGAAATTAAATCTGAAATTTCATGCTGCTATCGAGCAACGAGCATGCTTGCCTGAGCGTCGTTTGGTCGTTTTAGTGCATCAAATGTACAATTATTATCGTTGATATTAAAAATTGCTACCAAAAATCAAGTACAAATCTTTCTCCTTCTCCCCCCAAAATTTACTGCACAGACACAGAAACATTCACAATTTCTTTTTCATTCTTCTATTACTTTAAAGTCTTATGGATTTTGTGAACAACGAGTCGGTCGCCTTCGCCTTATCCCCGTTAAATTTCCGTAATTCTGCGATAACTTGTACTCTGTTGAAACCCAGGGATTCGATTTCCTTCACCGTCTCCTCTGTAAATGGATCGTGGGCAAAAACTGTCGTTTCTATTGCGCCTATTCTACTAGATGTTCCGCTCGCATTATTGCTTGCTTGATCCTCTAAAAGGTACATAAAGAAGGACATTCTTTCTGCTTTTAATAAAATACAAGATGTACGTTGACAGTCCAGGCAAATCAGAGGATTTGTTTTAACCAATGGCGGCTCGTAGCTAAATTAATCAGAAAAGGGTATAGCCGGATAAGATGGTCAAAAGTGCCCCCAAACCAAATTCGACTTGCAATGGCTCATTCGATAGCTTATCAAAAAAAACCAGTCTGTGCCAAGTTTCAACCCTGTATGTTATCTGGAAGGGTAGTTACGGGTAAAAATGTAATTGCGAGGTTTTTGGCCAATTTCTCCTATTTAATGACATTCGAAAATTCTGGAAAAAATCAGAGACATTTCTGTTTGCGAGGTACATATTACAGAATTTTTTCAGATTTTTAAATTGAAAACTGAAGCCGTGAAAAATCAAAAACGTCAAAAAATCCTGAAAAATGGCGATTTTGTTATGAAGGAGATGAGGTCCTACGATCATATTTTTTTTATAAGTGTATATTATTGATACTATCATCCTCAATTTTTTTCAGATTTTTTGGAGAGGTGCGCCATAGTTAAAAAAATTAAAAACCGATTTTTTCGCTGTTTTTTGCGTATTAGAGTTACTTATTCGACGAATTTTCGTCTGTTATTTATCACATACATGGTATATACACTGTTCAATGTTTTTACATGCAGTGGAATAGAATAGGAATTAAACTAAATAAACATAATTGGTAAAAGTACGTTACGTCCGTTATATTTCAAAAGATTAAAGGTATTTTCAACGGTGTCGGTGGTCCAGTGGTAAAGCGTCTGACTGCTAAACCGCTGGAAACTTCTTTTCGTAGGTTCGAGTCCACTCAAACTCAATTTTTTTTTTTTTTTGGAAATACATTATTTCAAACTTATCCAGTTTTTTTAAACTACATATTCAGAATTGTTAAAGATAATGAAAAATATTAAATAATACTGTAACTGACAAAATACAGTAATGCTTCGAAATAAGCAAGTGGCTCGGGACCGAACAGTTGCTTATTTCGAAGCAGGTACCTATTCGGCTTGACTTTGTTCTTGAAACGGGACGATAGAAAACGCGAGAAACGAGTGAGAGATCCGAGGTAGCGGCAAATCATAAAGTGATCGGCCGAGCAGCGATGTTATTTTTTGGACAAGGATAGAATATAACATGCCCTCTCATTCTCGCACTATGCTTTATTTCGAAGCAAATATACCAGACTGAGAAAGCATTATATATATTCCATCCTTCTTCTACTAACCGATGTCAATGCTCAGTCGAGCGTGAAATTTATTACCCTAAACATCGGCTTCGCGCTTTGATGGACCTCTCACTCGTTTCTCGTACCTCTCACTTTGCGGGTGACTTCAAACAAAGAAGAGGGGATAGCGACTTGCTTATTTCGAAGCAGAGACCACTTGCTTATTTCGAAGCATTACTGTACATGACAAGAGAAACGGTAGAATAGAAAGTACTTCAAAATGGTATTCATGTATATTACAGATAAAAATATTTAAAAAATATTATTGAAACATTTGTACACAAGTATATTAATGATTATCATATAGGTAGAAGTTTGAAAAAATGTATTTCCAAAAAAAAAAGATTGAGTCTGAGTGGACTCGAACCTACGAAAAGAAGTTTCCAGCGGTTTAGCAGTCAGACGCTTTACCACTGGACCACCGATACCGTTGAAAATACCTTTAATCTTTTGAAATATAACGGACGTAACGTACTTTTACCAATTATGTTTATTTAGTTTAATTCCTATTCTATTCCACTGCATGTAAAAACATTGAACAGTGTATTGTAACGTGGTGACACCCGTGCCCCCCCGTTACAATCGCTGCGCTTTCCCTCACGTTACACCTCCACCTCAAAACCACCCGTAACCCTTCCCTCACCTAACCCTTTCCCCCTCGTTCACCGGGTCGGGCCGATGGAGGCAAAAGAAGACGAACAAGGGACACCCACAGCAGGAGCTACGAGGCCGGCGGCAGACTCCTAACCGTCCTCCGAGGAAAGAGCCAAAGTTGCCCGGACTATGCAAACGTCCACCCGGAGCCATCTGTCGCCGAGCCTGAAGACCTCAACCCACCCGTCATCGCGGGATATCCGCCAGCCCCATCGACCCCGAGCACCGGTGTATCGAAGATCGATAATCGATCTATCCCGTGGCCGGAAGAGGCCCCCCTTCCTAGTCCCATCCCCTCCCCAAAACCATCCCGCGACGGTTTCGTCGTCGCAGCAGCGACGGCGAACCGTCATTGAGCCCAAGGCTATCGCTGTGTACAGATTTTGAGAGAGCATTGAGAGAGAGAGATATCGGAAGTGATTTAAGGATTCGTGCGAGAGAGGGAGAGAAGTTTTGGGTGAGTCCCTTACCGTATCTATTGTAATTGCGAGATCGAGGCAACGGCTATTTTCTCCGCCCGCGCATTGTTCGACGTAGAGACGAGTCCCCCTTTTGATTTTCCAACCACAGCTATTTCCTCATTCGCGTAACGTAGACGAACTTTCCTGCGAACCCCCCTTCCGACCCTAGAGGTTTCCCTTCCCACAATAATCCTCCTTGCGTACTCCCCCGCGAAGTATTGTACGGACGTAAGTGCCCCGAGACCCATCCCCTGTAAGACACCCTCAATCACCCCCCTTTTTCCTTTTTTGATCTTGATCGCCACAAGACGTGGCTGGCGCCCAGCGAATCATTGTAACACCGACTCATTGTATAGAGAGTGAACCCCCGAAAAGGGTCACAGTATATACCATGTATGTGATAAATAACAGACGAAAATTCGTCGAATAAGTAACTCTAACACGCAAAAAACAGCGAAAAAATCGGTTTTTAATTTTTTTAACTATGGCGCACCTCTCCAAAAAATCTGAAAAAAATTGAGGATGATAGTATCAATAATATACACTTATAAAAAAAATATGATTGTAGGACCTCATCTCCTTCAATACAAAATCGCCATTTTTCAGGATTTTTTGACGTTTTTGATTTTTCACGGCTTCAGTTTTCAATTTAAAAATCTGAAAAAATTCTGTAATATGTACCTCGCAAACAGAAATGTCTCTGATTTTTTCCAGAATTTTCGAATGTCATTAAATAGGAGAAATTGGCCAAAAACCTCGCAATTACATTTTTACCCGTAACTACCCTTCCAGATAACATACAGGGTTGAAACTTGGCACAGACTGGTTTTTCTTGATCACCTATCGAATGGTTCATAGCAAGTCGAATTTGGTTTGGGGGCACTTTTGACCATCTTATCCGGCTATACCCTTTTTAACCTTCGTTTGAAAAAACCGCCACTGCAGGAACGGCTGCGCTCTCTCCTGCGCAGCCTCGCGCGCAGCTTCCTATCTGCGCACGCGCACACGGTGAAGCGCACAGTTCCAAACAAAGATTTTTCTATCTTTTTCATAAACTAGGGAATAGCTAGTGACATTGAACTTAAGGATTATATATTGTACAAGTATAAAGAAAAAATTAAGGGAAAAAGGACTCATTATATTAAATAGGGGGTACGCGAGCCGCCTCTGGTTTTAACTGGACTTCTTTGGAGCGAGGAAAAATATAAATAATTAAAATTACGGGACCTTTTGAGTAACAGGTATTTGATAGGAATTAAGAAGGCAGGATAGCCTGGACAGATACTTACTTACCGTTCTGCCGACGCTGTTTCTTTACATCTCTAGACGAGTCTTCCTCTGATCTTTGAGGACCCTTTTTGTCCCCCTTTTTATCATCTTCTATGTCATACATACTCATGTCGCTGTAACCACTTAACCTGAGCCATTCTGGCAACTCACCTACAGTAAAAAATACATTGTAAATCTCCCAAATTAAATATTTGATGACAATGAGTTTAAAAATGAAATTGACCTTCTGCTAAAAATGGTGTTTCAGCACCAGTGGTACCAATTGTGAGCACATTCGTTTTTAGGTCTATGCAGCATTGATGCCTTTTCAACATATCTAAGCCAAGCAACATGTCCATGCTTTGTTCAGCCAGGACAGTGAACGAAGTTGTTAAATGATCGTTTCCAATTTGAATTTGTACCATGTGTATGCGTCCAATAATTCTTTGGGTTCCAACGCCATGGGCTATTCCAGCCCACCTTGAATCAACTAATCGCATCAGGTGGCATCTCTCTGCACACGCATCGGACATTATGGTCGACTGTGCACCTAATTAATAACAAATCATTTTATTACACTGCATATTCGTGAAAGTATTAGGGATTATTTTAAAATATAAAATCATTGCACATGCGAGCGCACAGGTTTTAATATCTAAATTTAAACTGCTCCCTCCATGAAGAATCATAACACAAAGGATGACTTTGAAAATGCAGGAATTTAAAAATAGACGTTCACCAACCAAAGGCAGCCAAACAGAATATTTAAAAATAAACCTGTCTCTGTTTCAACATATTCGCGATTTAAAGTATTTGCAACGCGCATTTGGGCGCTGATCGCATTTTTCCAACTATTTATAAATATAAATAAGGACAACCGTTGTGTACCTGTATCGATGAAGGCTTTAACTGGAAATCCGTTGACTTTACAATTAATATATAACATAACAACCGATCCGAATGTTTCAGGATTGTATTCCATTGCAGCTTCCATATTGGCTTCAATGTTTTTCTGTCTAATATCTTCAGCAATGAATCTTTGTGTCTCTGTGTCAAAAGGATCAGCGTTCATCATTCTCAGTCTCTGAGCCTCTCGTTCTTCTCTGAACTTAATCTGTTCTTTGAGCACGGTGGAAAATGTCTCTGCGAATCAGAAATTATTATCTCGTAGGAAATGTTCATAGTTCTGAAATGAAGCTAAGAGAACTCACCCAGGTTTCCAGAAATTAAGGCACTAGCCAGCTCGGGGTTATTTTGACTAAGCAATGCTAATTGATCGGGGTTAGCTAAAACCATCTGTCTTATTATCTCCGGATCGTCCTCGCTGCTAGGATTCTGTATTCTCGCTATAGCACTGGCCGAAGGACCTGGCTGCCGGCTACTACTCGGCGCTCCTGGGACTCTGATGGTACTGAAGTCCAACATGGGAATAGCTAAAGTAATGTATCTTGGAATTTAATACATTCTCATTTATTTTCTTACTGTGCGAAATTCATGGTTTAAATAAATCATCAACTAAGCACATCGTGGTGGACTATCGTTAAACTAAACATAATCACATTACAAATCTGTGCTAAGCTATTACACATTTCTTTGAAACAAATATGCGTTGATTGTAGAAAGGAACGTAACAGAGACAAAACCTATTCGAACAAAAGAAAAATAATTTGGGGTAAACTAAAGATAGCGAAACACAGAGAACATGCTCGGTTCTAGTCAGTTAAAATTACTTCATTGGAAGTGTGGATGATGGAATTGTTGAGCTTGTACACCAACAACTGATCGAGAAACGTAACAATACAGAAGAAAAACGTAAATCGAAGCCGAAAAGCTAACCTCACGACCCGCCTCGATTGCCACTTTAAATAATGGTGCTGTATTGAAGCTGACCTCCGTTAAAGGGGTGAAGGTTCAAGTCGGCCCCGCTCTGATGCATGTGCTGCAAAATAACCACGTCGCCATCCTGGATGCCGTGATCCTTCAGCGACTTCTTGTCGTCCATCAGCGGTAGACCGTTAAACGCGATCATCATCTCGTGGGTTGGAACGTTGCATTCGATTTCGCAGAGAGCTTTGAAACTGGACAGTTCCATGTCCTCGATCACGTCCAGGACGAAGATGTCGTCGCTGAGCGTGGTTACAGTTACCTTCATTTTGTTTACCGTCGGTCCCTGGAGCACGGATAATCGAATGAGAACAGCAGAAACGGTTTCGTAGCACTATGGGTCTCTGAGTATTGCTAAATTTCACGGAAGAATTTTTGCCGCTCCCCTCGCGCACGGCCTGACCGTACGAAGAGCGGCTCCTGGATGTAAACAACAACCCAGCTCAGCGAAAATACTGGCTAGCCTCAAGGTTCCACCTGAAGGCCACTTATATCGCTTCGAGAGATCGAGGGATCTGCCGCAGTCGACTGACGATTTCTTCTGATCTGAGGCGCCAGATTTCAACTTTGATTCGAACACGTCATCGTGTATTCTGCTACTGCGCAGGAACAGTAATCTGTTTTTCGTTTTTCATTCTGAAATATAAAAATATTCATTGTAGATTTTATTACCTGCTAAGTAACTCATTAAATATTTGTTTCCGAACGTGGAGATGAAAAAATACATTTCAGTTTTTAAGAAATTAATTGAATTAAAAAGAAAGTAAGTATTAAAATGAAAATAGAAAAAAACATTTTGAATCTCTGTTTTAGCTCCGAGGATAATGCAGAATTTTAATAGATATTCTTACCGACAGAGTGCGCTACTAGGAACTTTCTCGTAGCGACCGGCGTTGAGGTCGATAAAGAAGAAATCGTCGACCCCAACTTAGTCATTTTCGCTCATCATTTATTTTTATAAACAAAATTCAAATAACTTTCCTGAACATTCATTCTTTTACTCTAACATTTATAAATTTCAATTCAAATAAACAATTATAATTAATTCTACAAAAGCATTAAAACTTTAATATGGTATTAGACTCTATATTCTTCTCCAATTTAATTTCCATATTTCAAACAATATGTAAATATTTCTAAACTCTGAATACTTCACAGATGTTGAAATACTTGTACAACAATAGAAGTTAAACAACATGAGCAATCTTATTAAATTATAATAGCACTGAGGAGGGAGGAAAATTGACATATTTCAATATCAGTAATCACTAGTACCCCATACACACAAAATCTGGGAATTAAACGCTCTATTCAAAATGTTCAAATCAATGAAAAGATATCTTTCATCTCCATTATTGGTCAATGGAACGTACTTTGACCATTCAATGCATTCAATGCAAAAAAAAAGCAGCTTGTGCCACCGATATTTTTCTACTACCTAAGGAAATTATGCACCTTTGTACTCTCACCTTCATCAGGCATAAAGAGCTGATCTTTATCCTGAAAATTCGTCGACATTGGGACGTTTTGCGATAACGAATCGATCCCGTTGGCTCGTGGAACATAGGGCGAAGGTGGTGCACCGAAGCATGGAACGTTTAGGGGATCGTGCCCTCCTGGTAGAGGTCTCAGCCACGAGGACACCGCAGGGGGTAACATCCCCCACGAACCGGAAACGGATGCAGAAGTGTATATTAGACAGGTGGCTAAAAATTTGCTTGGACAGGCTGATGGTTAAATTAGCTCACGATTTTGATGGTTCGCTCGATTAAACCCACGGTCGTCCAACGGTGACCGGATGTTTCAGGATAAATACACACAAGGTGTATGTACACTTCCATTTTGCGTAACCGACAAACACGTCACACCTGAAAATAACAAGAATGCTATAAATATTTAAATTATAAAATGTACATTAAAATTATAATTAACATGCAGTATACCTTAAATTGTAGTCATCCAAAAATTCCATTATATGGCACAATCTTTGGTAGGGTTACAGACACATTAAAACTGGAAAATGAATTCGGCCCGAGTCTAAATCGATTTCACACTCCCGCTGAGTATAAATTAATAGACGCTTAGGGGCTTAGCAGTATTTCGAGTGGGTACCAGGATGCTCTCGGGTCCGTCCCGGGTACCAGGTGTTGGACATGGGTCCCTAGGTGCGAGGATGCACCATGAAAAATCGGTTACACGCAGGGAGGGTGTTCATTTGGAAAGCGATGAATTTCTATAGAAACATTTTCTGGAAATTACAGAAAGCATTGAAATTAAAATCTATGATATTGATTATTATAAATTAATTAAAAGTTGAAAAATGAAGTACCAGTCGTACCAGTGTCTGAGCATTAAATGAAACTTCTACTTGAAGGGATCAATGCAGGGCCGGCTCTGGGCCCTCCAACGTCTAGGGCCCCCCAATTACAGAAAACATTAAAATTAAAATTCATTGCAGTAGAGAATCAATGAAATTGATTATTATAAATTAATTAAAAGTTGAAAAATGAAGTACCAGTCATACCAAAGTGTCTGAACATTAAATGAAATTTCTACTTGAAGGGATCAATGCAGGGCCGGCCATGAGCCTAGGGCCCCCTCAAGGTCCAGGGCTCTCCAACGTCCAGGGCCCCCTAACGTCTAGGGCCCCCCAATTACAGAAAACATTAAAATTAAAATTCATTGCAGTAGAGAATCAATGAAATTAATTATTATAAAATAATTAAAAGTTGAAAAATGAAGTACCAGTCATACCAAAGTGTCTGAGCATTAAATGAAACTTCTACTTGAAGGGATCAATGCAGGGCCGGCCCTGGGCCTAGGCAGACTAGATGGTCGCCTAGGGCCCCCATAAGACGATTTTGTGACTAACAATAAGAATCTAAATTAATCTAAATTAGTTATACAAGCTTTAATGTTAATTTTATAAATTTTATTTGAGCAATTTTTTTTTATATCATATATGTAAAGGGGCTCGCCCCGGGCCCCCGAAATCTCAGGGCCAGCCCTGGATCGATTTATCGCAAAATGAAATAATAATTAAATGATTTTTTAATTGACAGACACTCCTTGTTGCAGTAGTAAATTTTTCTCCCTTCCTAGTATTTAACTTCTCATAGAGATTGAGTGAAAGCGCGCACACGTGCCCCAGGGATTTGCCATTTAAATCTGATCCCCTTCAGTTATCTCTCGATCTCGAGGATCAAAAATCCTCCGGCACAATGGACCTGTCCCGATCCTGTATTTTTCTTTCGGATTAAATCCAGACAGGCTGCGGTTTACGATCTGCGAATCGATTTTTGCACACTGCACCTGCATTTTAAAAAAGCAACAAATTTATTGCAAAGAAGAAAGAATCTTCATTCATTCATTCTAAAAAAGCAACAAATTTTTTACAAAGAAGAAAGAATCTTCATTCATTCATTCAGAAATTAATTACTGATCGCCTCGACTGTCCATCTCTGCTAGAATTAGTTAACTCTTTCACTCCTTCCAGCCCTACTCATTTCATGCATCCTTTCCATCCACTATACTATATACCAAGGTTTGGGCACTGCGACACCATCGCCAGGGCTTGCTCCACAGTGAACCGTTGCAATTCAGTAGTAAATATCTCCCTTGACTCACTTGAAATCACTAGAAGCAAGCTTTGAGCCCACTTCCACCAAGCACATGCCAATACTTTATTATTGACCTGTTCACCTTTATCAGTATATCTGATAAGATGACTATATAATTCCAGCACTCATTTTATTTTGCATTATAAATTAATTAAAAGTTGAAAAATGAAGTACCAGTCATACCAAAGTGTCTAAGCATTAAATGAAACTTCTACTTGAAGGGATCATTATTATTAATTATTTTTTTTGTACATTGTACCAGCTTTAAACAAATCTGCAATAACGTGTTAAAATTTTTATTAACCATGAATTGACTGCATTATGTATCCATTCATAAAAAGGCCATGCCCGTACATTCCAATAAATAAATAAATAAATCTTGTTACTTATTTAATAGTTATGGTTAATCTACTGCAGTCACGCTGGAAATTGCATTCGTGGGAAACAGATAAATCGTTTCCTTGATTTTCACCTGGAACGGTGCACCAGATGGAGCAAATAATTCATCCTGATGCGAGGAACCCTCTTAATTTCCACTGTGTTAATTGTCCAGGTTCAACGGATAGTTTTGTGGGAAATCGATAACAGGCTGTACTTTATGTTTTGCCGGTGGTTCAAAGAGAACGCTGCCCCTTCTAAAATGAACAATGTTGTTACAATAGAATTTTACAAAGCACTTCAAATTGAAATTTGAAATTATAGAAAAATTAGAAAACATTAGAAATTATAGAATTTTATAGAATATCAATTTTAAAAGTACTTCAAATTGAAATTTGAAATTATAGAAAAGTTAGAAAACATTAGAAATTATAAAATTTTTTTAATAAATTCTAAACTGCCCTGTTTTTCTTGAAGGAAGGATCCATAGGAAGTAAGGGAGCGTTTCAAACGGTCACGGTTCAGCAGTACCTGCAAAAGGAACATCCATGAATCAAAAGTGCAACGAAGAAGGAAATTAGGGGCACGTGTTACACACGTGCACCAGAAACACCGTGCAAGGGTTTGTTTCAGGGTTAACCGGTACTGCGACATTTGGCTCAGCCAGGGCAACGTATAATTATGCGCTCAGTAACAGGTTTGATGTGATTTCTACCTAGTTATTAAATACCGCAAATTAATATAATCTAGTACTGCGGTCAAAATCAACAATATGTTCATTGGAACCGAATGCCACGCATGGAAAAATATCTCTTGTTCTACAATTCTATTTTTAGAAACTTTCATTAATCTTTTCTATAATTTCTAATTTTTTCTAATTTTTCTATAATTTCAAATTTCAATTTTAAATACTTTTAAAATTAATATTCTATAAAATTCTATAATTTCTAATTTCTTCTAATTTTTCTATAATTTCAAATTTCAATTTGAAGTACTTTTAAAATTGATATTGTATAATTTCAATTGATATTCTATAAAATTCTATAATTTCTAATTTTTTCTAATTTTTCTATAATTTCTAATTTCAATTTTAAGTACTTTTAAAATTAATATTCTATAAAATTCTATAATTTCTAATTTCTTCTAATTTCTCTATAATTTCAAATTTTAATTTGAAGTACTTTTAAAATTGATATTCTATAAAATTCTATAATTTCTAATTTTTTCTAATTTTTCTATAATTTCTAATTTCAATTTTAGAAGTACTTCGAATTGAAATTAGAAATTATAGAAAAATTAGAAAAAATTAGAAATTATGGATTTTAAAATGTGAACATTTGAATACTTAACATTGACCTTCTTAACAAATTGAAGTAATCATTATTAAGGCGCAAAGATTAACAAATCCACTCGATTCGCACTATCAACAGAAGATTTTTTCGCCAGTTATCTGCGCCCCGGTGTTCCTTATCAGATCGATGAAGAGGCGGAACGAGCAGCCCGGTAACCAGGGGTAGCCAGGCTCCGCCACTGGCCAGCTCGACGAATGGGGTTGTACGCAGGGTTTTCAACCCCGGGAATGGCTTCCGCCTTCCTCCCGCTCTTCCCTTTCAGTTATGTCAGACCACCTGAGCCAATGTTCATCTTCAGTTCTACTTTACCTCGCTACCGGTTCGAATTTACCATTCTCTTCCTCCTGAAATTCAAACAAAATCATCAGTTACCTCCTCCATCAGTGTACATCCTGTTTTATAGCACCATTTCGTAATTCTACATAATTATCTGTGTGTGCAATGAACGTTGAGTACTCGACTAACCAGAAGACTGATCATAGACTTAAATTGCAGTAAATGAAGAGTGGTGAAGATCAAGGATGAAGGAAGAAGTTCCTGGATCATTCGAATTCAGCACGGTTCCACAGGTGTCCGATGGAAGAATCTTGATCTAGAGTGCGGTATGATCAGAATGGAAGGGTTCGGTGCACGCTGATAAGTGTCTGGACAAACTTGGACACGTGTCCTACGCTCTGCTGCTGGCACGTGCCGGTGTTTAGAAGTATTTCCTAGCCGGCGCTAGGGACACGTGTCGTCGATGGTTATCGGTGAATCCTCGGGACGTGATCAAGGGTGCTTTCACAGGAATCTCCAGGGAATTCCAAGGGAAACGTTCCGCTGATCCCACTGTGATCGAATCAATTCTATGCTGCCTGTAAACGAAAGGAGAAATTAGTTTCTTCAATATTTGAAGGAAAAGCTCAAACATTGGATTTAGCAATACTGTGAAGAGAAATATTTTTTATACCTGGATAGATAACTTCATGAAGATGATCTGAGAGTCCTTTATTAAGTTCTCCAGATAGGGAACGATTCTAGTCAACATATCCAAAGAGCTTATTGTTAAGACACTTTTATCAGAGGAAATTCTTCAAGATGTATTCGATGGACAATCTTGAACTGGACATGATGAACCGTCAGTACATGTACGAGGCTCACAGTTTCCTTGGGAATCCAGCGATTCCAGCTCTGCCGCCCCATTGCGGTGCTCCAACCACTGCTACTCTTCCTTCGATCCCGTCGCAGTTGACCTCTCATCCTGCTGGAAGCACCGGGAGCACCAGTGGCAGTGAGATTTATTTGTACGATGAGAATAGCAGCGACAACGAGAGTGCTTACAGCAGCGATCAAGAAAATCATGCCAGAGAGTGAGTAGTTCTTTACAATTTTTACTATTGATAAAATTTTGACTCTCCTGACTCCAGTGACTAACAGTTTAGATTTTATATAGATAAAGAATGGAAGTTTCAGTAAAATATAAAACTAAATTTTAAAAGTATTCTTTTGTAACAAATTCTTTCTTCTCTTATTTAAAAATATCTCACGCTAATTTTTAGACGAGGTCAAAGTAACAGACGCAATGGAACATCAGGAAAGAGTCCAAGACAAGCGGTGCAACAAAGGCAAGCCGCCAACATGAGGGAGAGGAGGCGTATGCAAAATATAAACGACGCCTTCGAGGGTCTCAGGGCTCATATACCTACTCTCCCTTATGAGAAAAGACTGTCCAAGGTGGACACCTTGAAACTGGCGATCGGTTACATAAAGTTCCTTAATGAACTAGTTAGAGCGGACAAGGGTAACGATCCTCTGACTGGGAACGGTGGCCTCTCGAGGTGTTCCGGTCGGGATGACTCCAAGAAGGTCATAGTTCGTGGTGAGGCCAATACCGATCAGACTCCATTATTTTTCCTTATTCTCACCCAACTTTCATTCCATTGATTCTGGAAATTAAAATACAAAAAATCAGTATTGTAGAAATGATCATTTAAAGTGTTAATTTTTTTTTTTTAATGGTCCAGTTTCAGGCAGACTCCATTATTCTTCCTTATTTCATTCCATTGATTCTGGAAATTAAAATACAATGAAATCAGTATTATACAAGTGATCATTTAAAGTGTTAATTATTATTTTTTAATGGTCCAATTTCAGGCAGACTCCATTATTCTTCCTTATTTCATTGCATTGATTTTGGAAATTAAAATACAAAAAATCAGTATTGTAGAAGTTAATTATTTTTTTTTAATGGTCTAATTTCAGGCAGACTCCATTATTCTTCCTTATTTCATTCCATTGATTTTGGAAATTAAAATACAAAAAATCAGTATTGTAGAAGTTAATTATCTGTTTTTAATGGTCTAATTTCAGGCAGACTCCATTATTCTTCCTTATTTCATTCCACTGATTCTTGAAATTAAAATACAAAGAATCAGTATTGTAGAATTGATCATTGAAAGTGTTGATTATTTTTTTTTAACGGTCTAATTTCAGGCAGACTCCATTATTCTTTCTTATTTCATTCCATTGATTTTGGAAATTAAAATACAAAAAATCAGTATTGTAGAAGTTAATTATCTTTTTTTAATGGTCTAATTTCAGGCAGACTCCATTATTCTTCTTTATTTCATTCCATTGATTCTGGAAATTAAAATACAAAGAATCAGTATTGTAGAAATGATCATTTAAAGTGTTAATTATTATTTTTTAATGGTCTAATTTCAGGCAGACTCCATTATTCTTCCTTATTTCATTCCACTGATTCTTGAAATTAAAATACAAAGAATCAGTATTGTAGAAATGATCATTTGAAGTGTTAATTATTTTTTTTTAATGGTCTAATTTCAGGCAGACTCCATTATTTTTCCTTATTTCATTCCATTGATTTTGGAAATTAAAATACAAGAAATCAGTATTGTAGAAGTTAATTATTTTTTTTTAATGGTCTAATTTCAGGCAGACTCCATTATTCTTTCTTATTTCATTCCACTGATTCTGGAAATTAAAATACAATGAAATCAGTATTATACAAGTGATCATTTAAAGTGTTAATTATTATTTTTTAATGGTCTAATTTCAGGCAGACTCCATTATTCTTCTTTATTCTCATCCAACTTTCATTCCACTAATTCTGGAAATTAAAATACAAAGAATCAGTATTATACAAGTGATCATTTAAAGTGTTAATTATTATTTTTTAATGGTCTAATTTCAGGCAGACTCCATTATTCTTCCTTATTCTCATCCAACTTCCATTCCACTAATTCTGGAAATTAAAATACAAAAATTCAGTATTGTAAAAGTGATCATTTAAAGTGTTAATTATTATTTTTTTAATACTCTAATTTCAGGCAGCGAGGGAAACCCTTTCATTTTCCATTCCCTCTCCTGGTCCAGGAAGTCAGACATCTCCCCGAACGGGACGATGTACGCGAAAGTGTGGACCCCGGAAGACCCACGAACATCGAAGAACGAATCGACGTTCGAATAAAGTGCTCAGGTCTTAATTGTTAAGTCGCAGCGAGCCTGGTGTTATTTAGTATTTAAGAAACGTTTCTCTAGTCGCTCTCTTCATTTTCCACTTTAAATTGTTTAACAAACATTCATTAAAGGAAAGAACATTGCTTTATACTTTAGTCAATATGTATAACGTGGACAGTATTATTATTGTTAATATTATTTATCTTATTTAAGTTCAAAGAACTAGAAATATCATTATACATATTCAGTAGCTCTATGTTGAAAGAATTATTCCAATAGGAAGTAAATTTGAAATTGTAGACTAAATAATACATCATTTCTTCTAATTTATCTTGTAAGAATCCTCTGTATAAATTTCTTTCTTTCTACAATTGTGTTTTTGAGAATCAGAAGTCTCAATCTTGGACAAAATTCAAATAAAAGCACGTTACAATTGTACATATAAGCCGGGAAAATAATGTAAGCAGATATAGTTTGTACATGAAAAGAAGAGAAACAGAATGACTCTCAAGGTGGTTGTCATTGAAGCCAAATAAACTAAATTCTTCAAGTTTATCGTTGCCTCTTTTATTTCCAATCTCCTAATTAAATTTCCTGAAAAATCTGTTTCTATAGTATCCAAGATTTGAAATAGAAACATTTTTCAAGTAGGATAAGAATTACAGCAAATGGCGGAGGGGGTGGAAAAAAGCAGAGGGTAGAAACTGCGCCAAATTCTGTCGTGCAATTCGTCAGAGGGGGTAGACGAAGAGAAGAGAAAGAAAGAGAATCGTGGGCGGTACGTCGATATTGCGGCGTCGCGACGTCCTGCAACTTGGGAATAATGGCGTCGACGGCTGCGGATCTTCCCACGACGCGATCCTCTCTTCCCTCTTCGTCATTCTCCCCGTCTGAATGACCCGAGTTTCCTTCTACCCTCCGCAGAGGCTCAACGATTGTTACGTTAACGAACAGAAGCCTTGGTTATAGTTTGAAAATTACAAAACGATGGTATAATATAGTTTCCATTATAACGATCCTCTTTTTGGAGTTTCCAATCACTTTTCAGTTAAATGTTCAACGTATGACGTTCCGTGATTGACTCTGTTTAGTATTGATTTCAAGATAAAGATAAGTTATTGTAGAAGTTTCTTCAATTCTTGTTATTCATTAAAATTCTTCTGTTCTATAGTCTTCTTTTGTATTTCTTCAATTCTTCTGTTCTATAGTTTTCTTAGGTATTTCTGAAATTCTTCTGTTCTATAGTTTTCTTAGGTATTTCTGAAATTCTTCTGTTCTATAGTCTTCTTAGGTATTTCTTCAATTCTTCTGTTCTGTAGTCTTCTTAGGTATTTGTTAAATTCTTCTGTTCTATAGTCTTCTTCTGTATTTCTTCAATTCTTCTATTCTATAGTCTTCTTCTGTATTTCTTTAATTCTTCTTATTTATTATAATTCTTCTATTCTACAGTCTTCTTCTGTATTACTTCAATTCTTCTTATTCATTAAAATTTTTCTATTCTATAGTCTTCTTGCGTATTTCTTCAATTCTTCTCATTCATTAAAATTATTCTATTCTATAGTCTTCCTCCGTTTGTATTCTTCTGTATTTCTTCAATTCTTTTTATTCATTAAAATTATTCTGTTCTACAGTCTTCTTCTGTATTTCTTCAATTTTTCTTATTCATTAAAATTTTTCTATTCTATAGTCTTCTGTACTTCTTCAATTCTTCTTATTCATTAAAATTTTTCTATTCTACAGTCTTCTGTATTTCTTCAATTCTTCTTATTGATTAAAATTTTTCTATTCTATAGTCTTTTGTATTTCTTCAATTCTTCTTATTCATTAAAATTTTTCTACTCTATAGTCTTCCTCTGTTTCCATTCTTCTGTATTTCTTCAATTCTTTTTATTCATCAAAATTCATCTATTCTGTAGTCTTCTTCTATATTTCTTCAATTCTTCTTATTCATTAAAATTTTTCTATTCTATAGTCTTCCTCTGTTTTCATTCTTCTGTATTTCTTCAATTCTTTTTATTCATCAAAATTCGTATATTCTGTAGTCTTCTTCTGTATTTCTTCAATTCTTCTTATTCATTAAAATTCTTCTATTCTATAGCCTCCTTGTATTTCTTCAATTCTTCTTATTTATTAAAAATCTTCTATTCCATAGTGTTCCTCTGTTTCCATTCTTCTATATTTCATTTTATATCAGCTTCTTATCACCTACTTAATTTTAATAAAAAAAAGTAATAATACAAAGTAGCAGTGAGCAGATTTTCCATGAAAGAAAGCTTCAGTCCATTCCAGTGAAGTGAAATTCGTTTAACTGGGTGAACCAGTGACATCGTCAACCCGCAGCAGGACGTGGGCCGCTATCAGCTGTGAAAACAGCATTGTTTATAGACACCGTGGCACAATGAGATGTAATTGAATCCATATTCTACCCCGTTGTACCGGGACCCCTTCTACAAAACTAGCGGAACGCCCTAGCTGCCTCGGGGGTGGTTGCACTCAACGGTTCGGAAATCGAGGGGGGTGACCGTCGATTTGTGGACAATTAGGGACGATACACGTAAACCTGGGGACGAATTGGACTTTTTCTGAACCACTTCTCCTCCCTTCAATGCCTGCAAAGTTACAAATCATTGGAGTATCTACAAAGTATAATACATTCAAAGGTTTATGAAATGATTAAATTAAGATACTTAAATATACTTGAAGGTATTGTTCACAAATCCGGTGTAGCATGATAATTGAAAGTGGGTGAAGTTTTATCTACAATTGACCCAGGTGTGTCCATACACCTGCTCTTATCACACTCATTCAGCTAGTATCAGTTTTATAACGCTTCTGATATCAATATTAAGTACCTTCAAGTGATTATCGCTGTTAACGTTGAACACTTATGAAATTAAAATTCCAATATTTATACAACAGTCCAACTTATGTTAAAATAGTTAACACCAGAACTACCCGGGTAAAAATGATTTGTTTTAAAATTGCAAGATTTATACAACAGTCCAACTTATGTTAAAATAGTTAACACCAGAACTACCAAAGGGGTAAAAATGGTTTGTTTTAAAATTGCAATATTTATACAACAGTCCAACTTATGTTAAAATAGTTAACACCAGAACTACCAAAGGGGTAAAAATGACTTGTTTTAAAATTGCAAGATTTATACAACAGTCCAACTTATGTTAAAATAGTTAACACCAGAACTACCAGGGTAAAAATGATTTGTTTTAAAATTGCAAGATTTATACAACAGTCCAACTTATGTTAAAATAGTTAACACCAGAACTACTAAGGGGGTAAAACTGATTCTTTCAAGTTTTTTATTTCAATTTATAAATTCTATCCAGGTATTTTTGCTGGAATATATGTTAGCTATTGTCAAGATAAAGAATGGATATGTTTAATTATATTTCAACCCATATTTATTTAATTTTCTGTATTATTTTCAACTTAGAAATTACTGTGCATCAAACGTCGGTAGTTCTAGTGTTAAATTGTTCTTGATTCATAAGGCCAATAGGAAGATCCAGCGGTGTCCTCGCCGCGAAGGGGGAGGCGTGAAAGTTCAATACCCCAGGTTGAACGTAATCGGCTCGAACGTCACGGTACCGTGATCCCGTGAAAATTAGCAAACCATAGAATCGCGGCTGCATCCCCTTTCGCGCGTATCAGAGACGCATTAAGAGCACCCTCTTGTCACGAGGGTCGCACTTGTGTTGATCCTCGCAGCTGGAGTGACACACAGATAAAGTATTAATTCTCGATTCGTGTCGTAACAGTGGCAAGGTCCTGGATGGTACCATTGGTGTTGATGATGTGCGGATGGACTGTGTTCTTAACAAATAACAGCCACTCAATCTTGATGGATCAAAATTTATATTTGATTACAGAATTCTGTCCTTTGTTTTGATTTTTAATGAAGATTTTATCTTCTACATTTCACCTGAAAGAAGGATAGTTGAAAATATAAAATAATGGAAATAGTATAAAATTAATGAATGTATCAAAGTGGAAAGCTGAGAATTGAATTAATCGTGTTACATTCAGAGATAGAAAGTTGGGGTTCCATTACACCGCAGCGGTACACTTTGAGGGGTGCTTTAAGTAAAAGAGAGCATCTATCCACCCTTCAGTCCCCCCCTGGGCTCGCCCCCTACGGGGTGAAAATTGGGGCACGCAAATACCTGGGCAGCTGCATCCCTGGGGTGTTTTCTGAAGTTCCAGCGAAATCATCGACCCCCATGCACCCTGTCGGATCACTTTTATGCTTGTACTTTCCCCCAAATATGCTCTGCATGATTGTCAGGGAGACAATGTAACACTTGATTTGATTGTCGTTAGTGAACGATTACAGACAGTAACAATACAATTTTGTTTTAATTTTCTAAATTTAACAGCATGCCTCAGTATTTATTAACAGTAGAATTTATTGCTATGTATATATATAGAAAAATTTAAATAACTGTTTTTTAAACATATGTTGGTTTTTAATAGAATTATGAAATGTATACAAATATTAATTCCTCCCCCTTCCACTCCTTAGTTTCAAAAATCCATATGTGCTATAAATATTTCTATGAAGGATCTATTTCTCCAGCAATGTAGTGTTAGTAGTGTCTTTAAATTCCATTAATTGTTTCAGTAATTCCAAAAAGAAATATGTAAAGTAGATTTTCAGCAAGAAATCATGTGTAACAGAAAATAATGTCACCTGAAAGAGGAGAATGCATTTAGTATTGGAATAAATAAATAAATAAATAAAAGAGTAGAAAGTGGATTAGTGAGTACCATTCAGAAGGAGAGGAGACAGGACGTATTAGATAAGGATCTAAAATCCATGGTGAAATCCAGCGTGAAAACTCGAGGTGCTTCAATCCTGCTGCAATCCTATTACTTCATATTTTACAGTGGGTATCAGCTGTAATGCGACATTGAAGATTTCTATCCCCAACAATCTAGAAACGGTCAGAGGAAACACGTGTGTCAATTTCTAAAATTACACACTAAAATCAATTTACATAATACTGTTCCTTAACAATTTATACAATTTTTTATTTAACAGAGAAGCATTCATTACTTTTATTAAAGAACTTTGTTAAGAACTATTTAAAAATAAATTGAAGAAACAGAATTTTTTCATTTTACAATCATATCAATTAAAACAAAGAAACGTTGCTATGGAACAGAATTTTTTCATTTTACAATCCTATGAATTGAAACAAAGAAACATTGCTCATCATTGCTCTATTAAAAAATAAATTCAAGGAACGGAATTTATACATTTTACAATCCTATGAATTAAAACAAAGAAACGTTGCTATAGAACAGAATTTCTTCATTTTACAATCCTATGGATTGAAGCAAAGAGACGTGACTCATCATTACTCTATTAAAAAATAAATTTAAGGAATGGAATTTATACATTTTATAATCATATGAATCAAAACAAAGAAACGTTGCTATAGAACAGAATTTCTTCATTTTACAATCCTATGGATTGAAGCAAAGAAACGTGACTCATCATTACTCTATTAAAAAATAAATTGAAGGAACAGAAGATTTTCATTTTACAATCCAATAAGTTGAAACAAAGAAACATTGCTCATCGTTGTTCTATTAAAAAATAAATTGAAGAAACAGAATTTTTTCATTTTATAATCATATGAATCAAAACAAAGAAACGTTGCTATAGAACAGAATTTCTTCATTTTACAATCCTATGGATTGAAACAAAGAAACGTTGCTTATCATTGCTCTATTAAAAAATAAATTGAAGGAACAGAATTTTTCATTTTACAATCCCATGGATTGAAACAAAGAAACGTTGCTCATTGTTCTACACAGAGCATGGAAAAGTCAATTGTATCTTTGCAGTAAGAAAGTGTCTTTCAACGTTATCCATAAAACACAGTATACTCGTATACTCTCGTATAATATTGATTCGTTGGAGACGAGGTCGCAGGTGAGATTTCCCACGATCGTTGCCCACCACACTCAAGCAAACGTCAGGAATTTGTCTGTACGGTTTTAGTGTTACTCGTGCTTCTATGGAGAAGGAAGGATTCTTTCCTTTTTTGTTCCAGGAGAAACTGTAGCTTCTTCAGTATCAGATCCACTTGCATGTAAAGCTGAAAATTGCAAATAAAATGGAAGAAATTTTTTTCAAAATAAAAGAATAAAAATCTTTGAATTATTAAAAAAGAAAAGAAAGAAAATATAAATGATACCTTGTTTAGAAAAGGAATTACTGTAACAGGAAAATCCGGATGCAGGAAGCGTTTAAGGCAAACGTTGATGCCGTCGTTTAGTCTTCTTTTATTACATGCTTCCGTATGCACAATTACATTACAAAATTGTATCGTACAGTGATTTTCATCCCTGGATTAAAAACCGATCACACGACCCTGAGGCAACGTTTCTGAGACTACAGTACACTCATGACTTTTCTTAATTAATTAAACAAAAATTTCAGACAAATTTTCATGTACTATTATTCAGGGTTGATTCGTATCAGAAACGTTGTCTTACACTAGGATAAATTCTCGTTGACAATCATCCTCCCCTTGGACCTGAAGAAGGCCTTTGGTTCCTCGATTCAGTCATGTAAATCCTACCAGATGTAAATATAAAAGTGAAATTGTCTAGGCATCCGATTCGAGGCAAAGATCCTAAATCTAGTAGCTCTGCTCTTCCTTCAATTCAAGTCAGTGGTTCCTCTTTACTCTCTACAATTTTGAAACATTAAGCAAATATTGTTTAACAATAATTTACTGAATTTACATGAATTATTATGAAGTAATGCTTCACAGAGGATTTCAAATATTCCACCTATAACAGGCTAGGAAATCTTTCATTCCAGAATTAAAAATAATTAACAGATTGCCAATCATGAAAATCAAGTGGATCAAGTATACTTTGAGACAAATTATTCATGCAAGTTAAATCTACAATGTGGAAGATTAGTCTAAAAATCACTACAATTTTGAAACATTAAGCAAATATTGTTTAACAATAATTTACTGAATTTACATGAATTATTATGATGTAATCCTAGACACAGGATTTTAAATATTTCACCTATAACTGGCTAGGAAATCTTTCATTCCAGAATTAAAAATAATTAACATATTGCCAATCATGAAAATCATATGGATTAAGTATACTTTGAGACAAATTATTCATGCAAGTTAAATCTACAATGTGGAACATTTGTCTAAAAATCACTGACTTAAATGGAACTCAGTGTATCCTGAAAAGGAGGACGAAGTCTTCGGTGAATGATTTTAGGTTAACGCGTTAAAGAACAATCAGCCTTTTGTCGTTAGAAAATTTTCCCCCTGTGAAAACACATATGGCATTTCGCTTGTTATGCTCTTCCTTTTTCTTACTTCGTTACGGATACATAAACGCACGTTCTAAGAACATTTCAAAGGTGGCTTGCAAAAGGTATCCCCTGGATTTTAGCTGCACGTTTCTAGTTTGAAAATATACAAAAGAACACCAGGGTACATGCTGCAACCTTTGAAGTGTCCTGATATTCAGCGATACACCTTTTCTTCTTTTTCTTTCCATTTTTTTTTGTTCTTTACATGAATAGCTAGCGCCTTACGCGTTGCAGGCTGTCCCAAGAGAAATTTCAATCATTTTTTAAATATTTTATTTAATAAGTATCTTGGGAAAGCTTGCAAGTGTATCGAGTCTTCCCTCGATTCCTCCAGCTCCTTTTTCTATCGCACTAATTATCTTTACAGTGAATTGATTCATTCTATTCGTTTGTCTAGAGACGTGGGTTCCATTGTGGGGGCTCAGCTAATTCTCTCTGTCTCGTAGAAAAATGAAAAAACACGCTTCACAAACGACGCCGGATTTGGTTCACTCGCACACAGATTTCTTTTTTTTCTTTTTTTTTTTTTACTTTCCAACAGTGACACTTAATAGACGATCTCGAGTATCAAAATGCTACTTTAAGGGTATGGTCTGTGCCAATATTTCGGCCAATCAAAGCATTGTTGCCGCCTTGGACGCTGATCTCTTTTCACAGTTTTCATTTCATTCGACTTCTCTTAACGTTAAGTCTAATTTCAAACAAAGTAGATAGATACAATTACAGGGGAATCTAATGTTTTTGTTGAGCAAATCACTTAAAATTAATAGCCTTTTTCTTTTGTTCACTCTATGCAAATTCATTCTGTTATCAGACACTTTCTTAATTTTGAAACAATCAGGTTTCTCTTTGATTAGCAAGTTTTCCTTAAAGTGAACAAATATCTATACACCTAACTCTAAACGCATCATTTTTCGTGTACATAATGTATATGTATGTACGAAACATTTAAGAGTTACAATAAAGCTACTAGTGAATAGAAAATCCTAAGAAATAGAGCCACATTGGGTTTATACAAAACTTATAAAGGAATAGCTTAATTCTATTAGGTGTACAAATTAATTCGGCGCCTTTTCTTTTTTTAATTAATGTTATAGTTACAAGTATTGAATTTATTGTTATCGATATCATTCTCGCGCTATTTTTCAAATTCACAAAAGCGCGGGAATATATTCGAATTTAAAATAGTAACTAAGAATGTGTAATATTAAAGGTAAGTACAATATCAATCATACTGTCCGTTCGTCTAGTGTATTTTGTAATTTCAAATAAATGATTGAATATTCTAAAGCTTTTATCAGATGATTATGTTAATTATTTTAACGCTTTTATTAAATAATTAGATTTACGATATTTGCTGCGGTTAAACTTGGACTCCAAAGTCAGTGCTTTTTCACTAGACGAACGGACACTATGATTGATATTGTACAGACTTAATTTGTCTCGCGCCATTTTTCAAATTCACAAAAGCGCGGGAAAATATTCGAATTTTAAATACTAAGAAAGTATAATATTAAAGGCACCGAATTAATTTGTACACCTAATATACAATTTACAAGAACACTCTTCCTTGATAATAATTTTATGCGAATCGATTTCGCAGTAGATTTTCGAGGTTAAAAACACTTAACATTTCCTTGTTCATTCTGCATAAGCCCAATGTTCCCCAGAATTAGAGACTTTGGTGAAAATAAAAGTCAAATTTCCAAGCGACAATAGCTTCGAGGAACCAATCCACGGTGGATTAGGAACACAATAATTTATTTGTACGATTTGAAATTGAACACAAGACAAACGAGAGCGTGAAAGTGTCGAAATTAAGGGGCAACTTTGGGTTTTCAATTTCTTCCATTTCGTCAAAGTTCTTTCACCAAGTAAGAGAAAACGATTCGCCGTGGCGATTTTGTTATGTCTCAAAATCTTAAACAAATTATCTCTATTGATCGTTTAAGAGATCGAGAAGAGTTCAATGATTCGATTGCAAAAATTTGGCACTGTCTGTTGTGTAAAAATATTATCGTTTACTGCTCTCTGTTAACTTCGCTTATTCTTTTTCTCTCTCTATCGTACACGCTTTGTTCTCGTCTCTCTTATTCTTAAAACGTACAACGACACTACATCGAGAAATAACGCATAAAATACTCTTCATCGGTATAAACGCACTGTTGTCCTTTTTACCCGCGACTTGGTGAAAATCGTTTTTTGCCTGACGGAAAAGTCGGTCAATCGAGACAGCATGGTGTGTTTTATAAAGAAACTTTCAAGTGTCGACAATTTTTCTTTTTGTACAATTAAAAGTGTGATTCAGGCTGTCTCACGAGACATTTTAAGTACCATAAATTAATGACAAATACAGTATGTACAATATAAATTGGACCAGCACTTCGTTCTCGACAGAACCGACGTGTACACGAAGAAAACTCGATAGAATTTTGTTAAAGTTAATCGATTTTTCCCTGAGTGGTGACGAGCTAACCTGAAAAATCTTTCGTGTCCTCGTGATCTACCACTATTTATCGTATTACAAAGTAAGCCTAGAGGTGGTTCTATCCGTTCGCTTTTAAAAACAAAATTTACAATCCTCGAACACAGTACGCACCGATTTCAAATCGTCTTTCCGTAAAATAATACTTTAGAATGGAGAACACAATATGGTAATACATATAATTAACTTTATGTAAAAAAAAAAAAAAATTCCATTCTGTATAATTAAATGCAAACTCTAATTTTAACAGTTGAAAATTAATAAGAAAACGAAATAAATTCATGCTTTTGACATTAAAACGGAAAGACAGATTTTCCGTCACGTTCAATCATTATTTTACTTTCTTATCACTTTCAGTTAAAATGTTCATCGATTGGCGATACGTGAAAAGCAAAGCGTTCCACTCAAAAGTATCCCTCGCATGTTCGAATTTATCTAATTTCGCGTACTTGTATAAAATAATTAACTAAAGTTGAATGACAATGCATGTATGTACAATTAAAAGTGTATCTGTGTATGTGTGCTGCCATCGAGAAAGGTAAGGTACTAGCAACGAAGAAAGATGAATCGCAAATGAACCAGGAAAACACTAACGCATCCCATCATCGAAGATCCGGAACTTAAGGTTGCAATTCAAGCGGTTCCTAAGTAACGTAAAAACAAATCATGTATTCGCTCTAAAGACTATTTATCAACCTGTTTCACAGCGAGTTTATTGGTGGAAGGCAGTGCTCGAGTTATACGTCTAAAGTAGTATGTTTCTATATGTATAAGATTAGAATATACATTGATTCGACTGTGAAATAGGTCAATTGTATATTACAATTCATTACGAAGGTGTTAGCCTTGCGACATAAGTGGCGCGCTAAAGGAAATCCCCAAAACATTGTACCTGATATTACGGGCTCGGGTGGGCTCGGAAAAGATCGGGCGGTGTCGGGCGGTTGAGCGATGCATGCGCGCAGTCGAGTAGCCAGACTACTTCGGCTTCGGTCGGGTACAGTCGGACTGATTCGGACGAGCTCCCGCGGGCCGCGGTCCGCGACCCAACTCTCGTATCCGAACCTGCCCGACTCCATCCGACCTGAGCCGACAGCCGAGCCACCCGACTGCACGTATGCATCGGACACCCGCCCGAGCCCGCCCGATGTTTCCCGAACCGACCCGAATAGTCCGACCGCACATCACTATTGTACACGGCACGGCATTTTTTAAAAATCGATGTCGATGGAATCGTTCAGCAAAAAATGCCTATGTAAAAACAATACGGGCGACTTTGTCGTACCACCAGACTTACACGCAATTGTAACCTCTCGTTAAAATGTACACCTACTCGTAATATTATTGCTATTCGTCGCGATAGATTAACTTACAGTCTAAAATTTGTACATCTGTGGATTTGCCGTTTCATTTTTTTCTTCCTTTTTTTTTTTTCAAATCTTTTCAATGTTTTCTCTCTTTACGATGCCGACGATAAATAGATTGTCTCAGACGTGCTCGACAACGTGCAACCAATGAAAAACGAAAGAACGAGTGATACTGTCTCTCTAAGTCTAGAAGTAACCATTTCTTCGCTTTAAACTACAAGGCCTCTCTATTTTATAATGCTTGTCAATTTTCGTGTTTGTGAAATCAATCTACCAATCTAGATACTATTACCTGTGAAATTTGCTGAGAGATTGGAAATGTGAATATAAAAACGTATGAATTCATAGAATCTCATTCGCTCGCGAATGAAATTATGAATCGACATAACCTTTAAACGATAAATGCAAATGCTTTCTTTCTGACTAACGGTGTTCAGTTTTATCCTACTAATGCAAAATGACCGAGCAGAAACCCCAGTCGGTTATCCGATTCTCGTTGAAGAAGCACGTGAAGCCGATCTTGAGGATGAGACAATTTTCTTTATCCCTCAAGTTTTATTATTATTACGTCGGTCAACGGATGCAGCATGCTCTTCTCTGTTGATTCTTTGCATCTATCTTCAGCTGGGTTTCCCCGGCGGCCCGTGGCTGGGCGGAGATGGTCCGTGCGAGTGAAGGTTATGAACGTTACCCACTTGATTGCTCGTTAGACTGGACACGGTAGGCTGATACATCGAAGGCATGTAATTGCTCGACGACTGTGGCACTGACCTGGAAGCACACGAAACACCAGATAATAATATTCGTAGAATGAAAAAATGAATATTAATCGCTTGGCAGCGATTTGGCACCTTGGTACTCCGCGCACTGGATCTGGCGTGACGGACGAATTCCTAACCACTCCAGAATTACCAGTCGGCGCCGGGGATACTATATTGCTCGGCTGCCCTTGATGGTACCCGCTCCCGGCAGGACTGTGTCTGTTCGCAACGATAGCAACAAAAATTGAACGTTGCAGTATCCGTAACCGGATGCCGCGTGAAAGACAAACACGTTACCTGATCGTTGGACTCGGCTGGGGCGCGACCAACGACGTTCGGTGTTGATACTGAGACAGAGAAGCCGCGGCTGGAGGGGAAGGATCCGGCGGTAAGCCGTTTTCTAACCCCGCCGAGTGATTACTCGCGCTCGAGTGCGGCATGTACGTGTTGTTCACTCGAGGTTCGCGATTCACTCTTGGAACCGGAGCCGCCGCTCCTGGAGGTACTTCGGGGTGTGGAACATTGGGGTGCGACGGGTTAACGTTTGGGTGTATGTTGTTCACTAGAATTTTAGTAAAATTAGATTATCAATTGAAATATATATTTGTATATTTATTGTCATGTCCTGTGACAATTCCATTAGACTAATCATTCTAATATACATAAGCAATGTAGTGGACTCAGTGAGAGAGAGTCCTCCCTACATTACATTATAATTTATTATTTATATTATATATATATATAAAACTTGGAATGTAAAGAAATAAGTATGAAATATAAATTACCAGGATGTGCACTAGGCTGAGTCGTCAGTGGGATAGCAAGTCTAGCATTCACAGCCAATAAGTGATCTCTCCTTTGCAAAAGACTATTTACATGTTCCTCTAGCCTAAGGTTCTCTGCTCTCAACTGATGAAGACACGAAAGTAGGGAAGCAACTGTAAAAATAATTTTAAAATATAATTAGTCTTCTTCCTTTAACACGAGTTAAATTGATTAAATTCAACGAGCCAGGAAGCAACATCTTGTACAACGTCATAGGATTTTATGATACAAATGGATGCAACAAAAAATACACGTTCATGCATGCTTATTTTAAAAGAGAGAAATAATAAATTGATCCCCAATTTTCACCAAACCCATGCGACTGAAAGCATGTTTTTCCTTGCCGTACACTCACTGTCAAAGTGTTGAGCTTGCTCCATCAGAAACTGACTTCCCTGTTCCCACTGCCTCTCCAGAAGCTGATCCAACGTTTGGGGTATCGTTCCACCTCCCAAAGCACCGGTACCGGCGATATTAACGCTAGCACTTGCATTACTATTAATATTCATGTTGGAGTTTGTATTGCTGTTTGTATTAAAAACTGAAGAAAACGATGTGGGTGGTGCACCTGTTTGATTGGATCGTATCTGTTTGCAAAAAAATATATGATTAAAATAAAAAAAAAAAGTTCTATGAATTTCGCTTTCTTTGAAAAAACATTTTTTCAAATACATACAGACGCGATCACTCGACTGTGCAGCTGTGGACCAACTAAATTCGTCGTCGAATTACTAGCTTCTGTAAAAATAGAGTGTGCTTCTAGCTCTTGCGAAAGCGTATCAGACATTTTTTGTGCCATTGTCGAAGTTGGATTCAACTGATTTCCTAACATATGAGGCGCACTAACTCCATTCTGAAATCTATTGCATTATTTGAATTAGAATATGAAGAATAATTAATTGTAAATATTGTCACAACAATTATGATTCTTACAACTTAATATCTTTCTCCTCTTTAGGATGTGTCAGCGTTGGAGTACTGGACGCAGAGGGTGTAGGTGTCGTAGAAGCTGCACTAGCACTTTTCCTCTTTCTTCTTCCCGGTCCATTACTACTCATACTCTCTGAACCAGGACTACTTGGAGGAGACTCTTTGACGGTAGGACCCATTAGATTCGTGGAGCCAGAATTAACACTGCTAAAGTGACCGGTGCCTAATGTTGGCCCTTGAATAATGGATGGTATGGGTGCAACAGTTATGGCGGGTGGGGGAGTCTGATGGTTGCTTCTTCCACCCCGTTTAGATGTTGTTACTACCGCACTGCTGGATACCGATGTTACAACAGAAGAAGCTGATGGTTGAGATTGCTGTTGCTGTTGCTGCTGGTGAGGCTGCGACGGTACTTGCGCTTGAGCCAATGCTGGTTGACTGTTCGATGACCCACGCTTTGGCTTTCGAGATTTGTCTTGTTTATCAGATGACTGAGAACTGGAAAGAAAAAGAATAAAATTGTATATAATGCAGCTTTATCAGCTGGGTCCTTTGCTGTAATTTAAAAGTAAAAAAAAATTTTTGTAATGATATGAAATAAAATTATAATCTAATTAATTAGTTGGTACTTGATTTGTATTATAATGGAGAACTTTTATGTATATTGTTTACAAAATAGAGAAAAACAAATATTATAATCCACCAATAAAACTGAAAAATCAGAAATGTATCCTTGAGTGTAAAAGTTACATAAGCAATAATGCACATACAATAACGTAAGTGTATTACATAAAATTGATTGTTGTACAAAATGCAAAATAAACGAACCGTTATACAGTGCCATTTATAATATCACGTTACTCCTTTCCTTCGTTCGTTGCCCTTGAGGCCCCTTGAGGTAGAAAAAACAAACATAACCTCAAAGTACTGTTAAAATTACGGACGAAACTCAGAATATTAAAATAATCACGGTTCTCTGTAAGAATTTAGGTCCCACTGATGATTCTCTACAATTTATACCGAAGAAATACGAAACAATACAAGTTTTCATTAATTATTGTAACCATGAAGTGCAGAATACCATGGTAAACGTTTTTCAATTAAAACAGTTATTTTTCAAACAGTTTAAAGAAATAAATTGCACTTCGGAGGAACGATGTTTTGCACAGTATTATGAATTCACAGATCACAACATTTTTCTATTTATCTAATGACTTTTATCGTATATAAGAAGAGGTTAAAAACAAAGAGGCTTGTTTATCCAAAGAGTCGGCCATTTTGATATCCCCTCTCTTGGCGCGCGATTTGAATTGAATACAATATTTTCTCAAATTCTTAGCTTCGTTTACTTTTATATTATGAAAATACTTTTCTCTATTGTTATTGCTGGAAATTATAATAAATATAATACGTTTATTTTGTATGGAGAAAAACCCTGAATATTCAAATAATAATTAAAATCAAAACATTTACATATTATTACACTTACCGAGATCTCTTGGCGGGAGCTTCTTCGTTTACAAATCTTTCAGAATTCGACACAGCGTTCGCTCTAGCTTCCATGTTTGCCGCGGTGGTGATGATACTTTGCTGGAGTTGCTGATAAAGCGTCGGCGCGCTTGTAACTACACTCTGCACCGTATTAGACAGAGAAGTCGCGGTCAACGGAACGGACACCACTATGCTGTTTGAAGTAGTCGTGGGTGACTGAGCAATTGTTGATGACTGAGACTGCGTTACCGTCATTATCACAGGTGTGGTAGTCGCTTCTGTAGTGACTGGAGTATTTGACGATTGAATTGGACTCTCAACCTTCAACTGATAGAAAAATAAAGTATAAATTACAGACGTTAAAGTGTGAAGTAAAACATTTCCAAAAATTCAGTTACCTTTTTTGATTTTTCCGGTTCGGTAGTTGTACTCAAGCTTGTAGCTTCCGTAATGGTTGTCTGTATGTTATTGCTTGATACAGCTTGTTGTACAATGGAACTGACAGCGACAACAACCGATCCGCTGGCTTCCGAGCTGACCGATTGGTTCGAATTTTCATTTCCTATTACCGTTGGGGTACGGGCTCCCGTTTTTCTTTTTTTACTGTGACTCGACGTCTTGTTCGACGACGAAGAGTTCGATTTCGTTTGTCCGCCGCTTTTATGCCCCGAGTTCGAGTTCGATCCCGATTTAATCGTTGCGGCTGCTACAGCAGTAGTGGAAGTAGTGCCATCATGTCCGAACACACTCTCCGATTGGGTGACGATTGTCTCTACGAAGTTTGAAGTTGTGAATTTACTGGAATTTGTGGTGTTGTCTTTGGGTGTATTACGGCCGCTGCTGCTTTTGTCGTCAGCAACGCCATTTATTTCTAGACTTGGACTAGTATTGGATTTGTTTTTAGAATTGGTAGTGGATTTGGAACTTGAACTCTTTCTTTTACCACTTGATGAAGATTTTATCGGAGTCTCTGCTTCCTTTTCAGGTGACGAATCTGATGAGCCATTATCAGCTGGTATTGGCTTGTAAGGTGGTATGGTTTTTACATTACCACCCTTTTTCTACAAATTATGATGAAATTTTTTTTATTTTAATCTGTATATGTACTCAGAGAGAGCGATTAGAAAGCGAGAAGACTAACCAATTTTGAATAATGATGCTGGCAGTATCCACAGTATTTTACGTTATCAAGATAGTTGCCAGCTTCTTCGCAGAGCAAGCCAAGAGCCTGAGCACACGTAACATGAAATTGCTGCCTGCAGCCAGTCTTGTTACACTGCATACAGGCTCCTACATTTGCTCTGCTACCCCTTCCTTGTTCTTCGCATATATAACACGACTGAAACAATGAAGATTGTATATAACACAGTCAAGGATTTTCTAAAACCATGCCATTTAAGCAGAATAATTATCTATGCTTTTACCTTACTAAACCTTTCTGATGGTATAAGTTGCAAAATGATCGGTTCCATGGTTGTCACGTTACCAAATCTAACTTCCGGTATGTACAATGCACAAACCACGTGTGCCCAGCCAGCCTGATCTGTTCTCTTAAGAGCTCCATCACGGCTTGGACATAACTCGCAGCGCTGCGAAGTAGTATTATAAAAGGTAGATCGATCATCATTGTTGTCGCTCCAAAAATATTAATCGTACTTACCACACGGGCACTACGCTCTTGTGATTCGCACTTTCTACAGTACCATGGTCCTGTTGGCACTGTGACGATACCATAGCAAGCTGTAAAACGATTAGTAATGACCAAACTAATGACTGAGTGTAAGCTTAATTTAATTCATATTACCTTACATGAAATAATGAAAACAAACCTTGGTGTACAGCAACTGTGCAACCTTGACCATCGCAATACACCAACGGATTTTCAGTCCAACCCCTCTCGTCAGAACACACGCAGCACCCTCCAAGCATCTCCTTCATGCTGTGTTCCAAGCAATTCGGAAGACGAGACTAGCATGAGGAGCTAGGCGAGCCGCAGGTAAAGACGTGGCGCGAGGTAGATTCGCTTTCGCAATTGCATCCTGGCGATGGTGTTCCTCGATTCCTTGCTTCCCTCACCGATCTCCTTGATTCTACCGTACACGCGTGACGCATTCAACGATGAATCGTGGCTGAACTCGCGGTTGCACGTTGTACGTCGCGAATATGACCCACGACGCGAGCACACGAACTGGCGACACCGAGGCGCTTCCAGTATATCGTGCACCATGCGTTCTCGTAGAAAATTTCCTTTTGCAACGTACTCGGACGGTTTGTTATTTACAACGGCGCTCTATTTGTTTCGCTGGTCGGCCATCTTATTTTTCTTGTCGCGCTTCTTATGCGCATGCGCGGCTCTACCAGCTGCCGCGAAAATGGAAAAGCATGTTCGAAAATGCGCCTACAAAGAAAATTCATTAATTATTACATACTAATTATTATTATTATTATTAATAATTACTATAATAATTACTAAATTAATAATTATTAATATTTATTATTATTTAATCTTGCAAGTATCGCAGCGAATTTTCCTAATAAATAATTAAACAATGTTCAACCAATTATCCATGTATTATATACTAATTATTATTATTATTAATAATAACTATAAAAAAATTATAATAATTACTAAATTAATAATTATTAATATTTATTATTATTTAATCTTGCAAATATCGCAGTGAATTTTCCTAATAAATCATTAAATAATGTTTAACCAATTATCCATGATTAATTAAAATTATTCCCTCTGTTCAGAATATAGGTGTTTAAAGATTAGCACCATTAATGTATCCTTTGACAGAGGAAAGCTATTAATTTCAGTATCAATGTAAATTATAATGAATTGTAATGACGAGTTACAATCTTATCAATGAAGATAGTGTGGTTGCGCGTACGCGTGTACGACCCACCAATCACTAACCCCAACTGTTTATAAGAGCATAAGAATGTACACACCAGTAGTATGGGTGTGTTGAATGAATCACAAATGAGACAGCAAAATAATTTAATCACTTGCATGTTAATAGTGAACACTAATATAAAATGAACTAGCAAAGAACAGAAAATGTGTTGTTTTAAATAAAAAAGCGGTTCAATGAAGTAAAAGAAGTGATGGTAAAGTAAATCCCTGAAATTATTTGGATCAAAACAATAGTTCCAAGATGGAGCTAAGCAATGATCTATGTAATTTTGAATGGGCGACGTCCTCCCATTTGCCTGAAATTTTATCATTTTTATATGAAAATTTTGATAAAGAAGAAACTATGCTGACAAGCCTGAGGGATAATAATACTCTAACAGCTGAAGATGAAAAATCAATGAGGATGGATCATGAAAGATTGATCCGAGCGATCTTCGCTTTTTCCCCTTGTTTGATAGCCGTAGAAAAATCATTAAAAAAGATCATTGGCGTGAACCTGATGATTGTCAGCAGGAATTCCAAGTTCGACGACAAAGCTGATGGAGTATCCGCTGCGTTCGCCAACAATCCTCCTACAACAAAATTAATGAAACAGTATTTCAATTATCTGTCGGTAATCAGCGAGAAGGCTGATCTGTTCGACAAGTTTCCTAACGCTAGAGTAGCTGTAGAGTTCTACGCGGTTGCCATTGATAAGAATTACCGTAGACGAGGCCTCTCAAAAGCGCTGATGGCAGCTGGAATATCGTTTGCAAAAGACACCGTCCAGGATGCTGGATTCATATTCGGAGTGTACACCTCCCTGTACTCGAAAAAAGCAGCTGAGACCCTTGGTTTGAAAAGCGTCATGGACGTTGATCTTCTAACTTATAAGGATGCTGATGGTCAGCCTATTTTCCAGGATACTCCTCCACATAATATTGTTTCTATCATGGTGTTACAGCTTGCATAAAACCTTTCAAATAAAATTGTAATTAAAATTCTAATTAAATATTACAGCCTTTTCTCCCTATTCTATGTTACACTACCTTAAGATAATTGAACTATTTTTAGCAATGCAACATATGGTACAAATATTTCTGATCCTTATCTACTATCTAATGAATAGTCATTACCAGTGCTAGAAACTGCATAATTTTCCCGGTTGCAATTTTCCTATCTAGCAGACTGTTTCATTAAGCTGGTGCTGCATCTACCAATGATTCATTCCTCTTCATAGGAACATTTGTTATCTAATATTGTCATAGTGTATGATAATGCAATGTATCGTAGGATCTTCTAGCAATGTTAACCGGGGAAGTACCAGTGGTCTTCGCATTGAAAGCCCCGGGAATTAGAGCGACTTCGTTTCGCGCGGTAGACCATAAAAGAGAGTAACAGCAGTGTTTCGCGTTGCAATTCGCTGGTATTGTTCCTCGAAGGATAATCGTGTTTTTCAAAATCAAAATATCTCCAATTGTATCCTGTAAAACAAAAACGATCATTGTAAGTAACTTCAGCAATTATAAGAGTATGATTTCTATTTTGTTCTGAAGATTTATACCTGCAGCCCGACACTGGTATAATTCCCGTTATCGCTGCATATTCGGGCTCTTATCAGCGATATTTCTACGTAATTAATTTAAAACCAGTTGTATAAAGGCGATTTTATCTTTGTATTCATGTTTACATTTTCTGAAAATTAAAATTGAAATTTAGTATAAGAGTACAATTTTCTGGTTGAAAATCAGAAAAATAAATAATTATTATTAATATCAATATTAGATATAATATAATATATTGATTCCGCAGATCAATATACATTAATAATAATTATTATTATTATTAATATCAATATTAGATATAATGTAATATATTGATTCCACAGATCAATATACATTAATAATTATTATTATTATTATTAATATCAATATTAGATATAATGTAATATATTGATTTCACAGATCAATATACATTAATAATAATAATAATTATTATTATTATTAATATCAATATTAGATTTTCTGGTTGAAAATCAGAAAACCTTGAGCACAATTAACACTTCATTCATGCAAATTGACTAAAAACAAAATCACAAAGTTTCAATTCAGGTATAATTAAAAGAGAAAACACACAGAAAGTATGCTCACTTTCAACAATAGAATATTCCATCTCTTCAGTAAGAAAAATATAATTAATGTAATGTTTAGAAAAGTGTGTGTGTGTGTTTTATTTTTAAATAGAAATTGATTAAGAGTTTATGACCAAGAATCATTAGTGTATGTTAATGAATGAAGCCATATTAACACTACATTAACGCGTACGGAGATAACGGGTTCCTGAACTTCCTCTGGGATAATTAACATTTATCTCTGGTATTTTCACTCCTTTCGTTGTCACGGCCTTGTATACAGAACGTGGTTCAATGATTCGTGCCCGCCGCACGCGTATCGCGTTTCTTATTCATTGTTCATCCAACTTCAATTGTTATCAACTGTAACGTGATTCGTTGACTGAAAGGAATTTCCCGGTGGTATCCTTTTACCCTAAGTTTAATAAATAAAATTTACTTTAGTGAATGCATTGTATCAAACTTATCAATTAAAATAATTGAAAGAAATACACCTACCATGTAATCAATTTCCATGTCTCATTGGAATTCATTTCAAGTCTGGGATAGCATAGAATTATCTGAAAAAGTGAAATATTTTTAAATTGTAGATAATTTAAAGAATTAAAGATCTTGTGGAAAATATTGACAAGGTAACAAAAAACAAATTATTTATCGTTTACCGTACAGAATATTGAACATTTTCTCGATTACACAATAACGTTCACGCTCCTTATATTCTCAACCGGTTTGCCGATAATGGCCAGTATAGCGCGAACCGTCAGCCTTCGCAGATCTCTCTTGAACAATGAGGTAAGAATTAGTGCAATGATTCATTGAACAGACTGCTGTTTTCACTACTCATATTTAACACTAAACCTACCAGAGCTACTGTGACTACTGTTGAGACTTTAAAAATAAATGTTTTCTAATTAATACATGACAATTATTTTGTGTTTTATTGCACCTACTAAATTCTGTATTATTTATAATCAATTGGAAGAAATATAACGTTTATTTGACCGCCATCGGTAGAAACAGGTATATATAAAATGTCGGTAGGTTTAGTGTTAAAATACATTACTCTTATTCAGTGTTACCTAAATTTTCTATAAGGTCCATGAATTAAAAAAAATTCAGTAGCAAGTGTTAATGATAATTATTCTCCTTTCAGGACCAGAAACAGAATGCCACCCTATCGGGTATGGGGCTCTATAGAAGATGGGAGCATCGAGTTCGAATCTCTAACAGATGACACCCTCGAGGGTGCTATAAACGTAATAAGGGAGAGTTTCTTTGTCTACGAGAGTGTTTGCAGGGGTGTTGATCTTCTGTCAGAGCCTGGTGCATCGAAGGAGCTTGAGAAACTTTGCCTGGATGCTGCCAAGGATGGGATCAGTGTTGTGGCCATCGATGTGAACAGTGGTGAAGTTATTGGAGTTGCCTTCAACAAAATGCAGGTAAAATAATATCTTCTAAATATTTTTTAAATATGCTAATAAGATAATTATTGTTACCTGCAGGTGGCCCAGAATTCAGCAGAGAAAAGTGCCTTTGAAATTTTCAGTGAGAACTGCAAGTACCAGTCATCGAAAGCTCTGGTGGACTTCATGATTGACGTAGACTCTAGGATAAATCTTTTTAAACACTATAATACAGACTGCATCTTTGAGATTATGTTTCTGGCCACTCTGCCCAGCAAACAGAAGCGCAGGATAGGAGAGCTGTTGGTTTCCTCATCGATGGAGCTGGCTAAGGAGCTGAAAAAAGAGAAACCAGTGAAAACACCAGTTACCATTGACGGTGATAATACTCTACAAAATAAGGATGCAATACCCAGTTTGATATCTGCAATTATGACTTCAAGCTACTCTCAGAAGATTGCCAGCAAGTGTGGATTCGAGGATCTGATAAAAGTACCTTATGAAAAATTCTCATTTAAGGGGAAGAGTTTTAGTGATAGAATAGGGGACGAACATCCAAGCTGCGTTTTAGTTGCTAAAAGATTACAATAGTGTAAATTAATTTATTACAATGCATTGATATTAATAGTTGTATTATTAGAATGCAACATTTGGAAAATTCTTCTACAATTTCTTGTTTATATAACACGTTATCGAGTCAGCCCGATTGGCTGGATAATCAAGTTCGAAATCAAACATTGAAACACGCGATAAATGAACGTCTGGCACGTTCAACTGTTTACGCAATCATAGAGATAGATTAAAACATATTCGTATTTCCGTAAACACGGAATGAATCGAGTATCGGTACGCATTTGTGTAATGGGGACACTGGAGAAATAAAAAGAAATTTTAAATATCATCCCTATCAATTTTCAATCTTTGGTACGTATTCTATTCAGAATCAAACGGTACCTCTAATAATCTTGATAGATAAAATACAAAATTATAGATAAGGGGACCTAACTGCAGCTACGAGTTTCATACAGATACCAAGAGCATTTTTTCATCCTACATTAATTGGACAATAGAAGCTTATCAAGACACTAGTTGTATCAACAGAGGCTCTAATAACGCGTGGGTTGTATGCAATAACTAGCTCGCCTCTAGCTTTATTCTGTCGGTGTACATCAAGATTGTCGTGTGATTTCAAAGAAGTCATTGAAGTGATAAATTGTTATTCGTTCTCTTCCTGGTGAAGCAAGGGGTCCCTTCGAGTTCTTCAAGTTTTCCATTCAAACTCATCAGCCATGTCGTTGTCCTCCAACGAGCAGCTGGAGTTCAAACTGCTCACCAGGGACAAGGTGCAGGAGGCATTGGACATTCAAACTGAAACTATGAAACAGGAATGTCTGGCTATTGGCTTTGGAATGTTTGAAGAAGTTGGCGCAGCTGAAGAAATGCGAATGGTTTTTACAGAGATCGTTAAAGACGGTTCTACGATTATGGCTGTTGACAGAGAAACGGATCAACTGGCGGCGGTGGCGTTCAATAAAATACATGCAAGTTGTTCAGCTTTTCTGTCAACTTTCCTTCTATTTCTTCTATTTCTATGATACGCTTTTCTGTACTTAAGGCTCGACCAAGAGAAGGTGAAAAGGATCAGCTGGAGATCTTCATGAAAGAGAATCTGAAGCACCGAGCGTGCCAGGAGTTGGTCAACTTCCTTGATAGCGTGAGTATCTCTCTAGTTGTCCGTTTGTTGCCCTGATAGTGTCCCTCGGTTTCGTCCTACGCCTATGTATCTTTCTGTTTATTTGAGACGCGGTTTCTTCGATGACAGATTTTTTAAACATAAACTCTTCTGATTAAAATGAGACCAAACAGGATATAATTTGGAGCATATTTATTTTATTTAACCATCCCCAATGCGAATTTTTTTTTCGTTCATAGAGTCCAAATTATGTCGTGTTTGGTCCCATTGTACCAATATGTTAAAACAATTTGCATCCAGAAAAATTGCTATCCTTCTCTGCCCACATTGTCCTTTTTCGCTTCCCAGCTAACGGACAATTAGAGAGATTTTACTGTATTGGCTGAATTATAAATTGTCCCCTCCCGTTTGCTGTATTGAGTATATTTGAAATTGTCAGGGAACCAGAAAATTTTAAACGTTATCGAAATCTCATTCAATTCGCACAGTACTTTGGAATTCTTCAACGATCGCATCGCGCCAAATGTTTTTGCAACTGCGTTCGCGATAAGAATATTATTGATAAATCCGTACGTTCACCTACGTATCTTACGCGTATCGTGTCAAAAACTTTCCTGAACTGTCCCCTTGCAATTTAAATTATACATTGCCCACGTGACCTTCTTAAAATCGCCCGATCGAGCTGATTTTTTTATACCGTAGATAACCCTTGACCTGCCCCCCCCCCCCCCCCCCCCCCCCCCAATGGGTCAAAAACTGAATTTTCTTTTTTTGAAATAATATACTCACATTTGGACCATTTCAGTTTTTGACCTCGAAGGGGGGGGGGGGGGGGGGGGGGGGCACTATTAGAATCGCCAGGCAGCAAAAAAATCAGCTCGATGGGGGGGGTACCCCATTTTCTTAAATTCAACCTACATTCCTGATTTCTAGATAATAAAATGTAGATTAACTGTATGCAATTCGCATCGACGGTCTGATAGTTCCATTGCATTTTGATCATAGATTCAGATGAACGTGGACATTTTCAAAAATTACAACGCGAACGGGGCGATAGAACTGTTTTATCTCGGCACTGATCCACGATATCAAGGCCGCGGGATCGGCTCCCAAATGGTACAAAAGTGCATCGAGTTTGGCCGAGGGCTCTTGAACGGCACAATGAAAAGGAGTTCGATCGACGGAAGTATCGGGAACGAACAGGTGCTTCCAGAATTTATATACGGGGTATTTGCTTCCAACTACAGTCAAAGGATCGCTGAGACGATTGGTTTCGAGGTTCTGCACGAGGTTCGATACGATGATTACTCTTTTGCTGGTAAAAAATTGTCCGAGATGATAGGGGACGTTCATAGGTCGGCTAGGTTGCAAGGTCTCAAACTCTGAATTGTCTGAAATAGATGTTATAATGTAATGTGAAGTATAAAAACAAAAAGAAAGAATTAATTTTTATTAAATTAGAAAATGAAATAGATGTTATAATGTAAATTGTTAAAAAAAGAGAAAATTAATTTTTAATTTAAAAAATAACTATGCCAAAGAACTATGCCAAATTTGTATTGTTAGAACACGTTAATTATTAATATAAAAGAAAAGAAAATATATAAGTGTGCACCTAAGTTACATCCATCCTGGTTCAATAAAAATGTCATAAGCCACATCCAAAGTCCACCACCTACAATTTACAATCTCTTTTAAATAAAGTAAAATTTTTCTAATCCGTCTTGTTAAAATGAAAAAGAAAATACCTTCTATGAAAATAAAAAGGATAAGATTTTACAGAGTAAAGAGAGCAACAGTAGGGTCCAACGTAAGAAGTAATCTTCACTTCAACAGCAAACAGGCCTGAAGAGATCTTACGCTATCCACTTGCGTAAAGTGTGCTGTACTTGATGCATAATTAACTTCGTTAGCAGCTTCTCGCTTTCTGTAACTTAATTGATCTTGTTATTCTGTGATTAAGTGGATGCAGAGTAGGTAAGAAGATGAGCTCCGTTTCGCGAGTCTCACTTTTTTATATAAGTATATATATATATATATATATGTATGTATGTATTAACACATTTACAATCTGGTACATAATTGTTGAATATAGTGAATATATTGAGCGTAATTATGAATCCAAATATACCGGCGATGGCACTGCGTTTTTCCTTTTATATTATTTCTCCACTGAGGTATTATTCTTTCATTACTGGCTGGCTCATAATTCTTACAGTTACATGGCCATTAATATGTTAGAATTTTATCAAATTGCTATTTTAATGCTACGGAATACTGTGATGACATTTTCCCTTTGATGCTTTAACGAGGAGAGATGTAATATTCAATGAAAATGATACGTCAGTTTGCGCCAAAGGATAAGGTGAACAGAAAGCTTTAAAGAAACATTAAATAATGATAATGCAGTTCTCCTCTTCATAATGGTGATAGAATAGCTACTATTCTTCACCTTTTGTCATCAAAATTCTTCTCTAACTTTCTGAATGCCAAAAAATTCTTTGAAAAACTAGGATACATAATAATAATAATCTTACAATTATGGCATAAATTAAGATAATTGGGCACGTTTAAAAACTAGTTACAATTATTTTGGCATGCAGAAAGTTGATGTGGCTACTTATATAATAACTACACTCGGAGTATATCATAGTTAACGACATATCCATGGGAAAGATACCCAGTATAAATATATACGGCACTGCTGATCGCTGGTAAACTGTTTGTTTTTATAAAGCGTCTATCTGAAAGAGATGCGAAACACGCATTCATGGTTAATTAGCATGTCGCACGCTGATTTCTGATTACTCGGTCGGTGTGAAATCGCACTACAATCCTTTTACAAAAATATTCAATTGCAACCAACCAGATAAATTGGATAACATTATTGCAAGAGAAAATCATTTCTGCTTCTTGTTTGATCATCTGGCCAGTTCTGTTTTAATCAGTCAACCCCTTACAGATCGTGTATCGTTTGTTTTAAAAAAATAAATCACTATCAGAAGCGAGTAAGTGGGAACTGTGTACAAGAATACATTCTGGATATTTTTATGCAACCTTTAGCAATAACAACAAGCACAATTGAACAACATTTTATGGAACAATCAGAAGAAGATCTGAAAGGGTTGACGACATTTGGTTGATGTACAATAAAAACAACGAGTTATTGTGCGAATCCACAACGAAAATGATTCTATTGTTTTTAAGAGTAACGAGCTTCTTCACTGTTTTTTGTTAACACGTTGAACGTTACAGTGGTATGGGGCATTTTTTGTGGGACGTATTAAAATTCTAATTACTAAGAATAGTAATAATTAATTTTCAAATTTCAAGCTTTCGATTTGCAATTTCACATTATTTGTACCATAGCAATATTACTTGAAATCATGGTTTTCTATTGTTTTCTTTTAATTATTCAGGGGTCACTGGTGACACCCATGGCGTTCAACGTGTTAAAAGCATTAGAATTAGGGATGTGCGGGTACCCGATATTACGGGCTTGGGCGGGCGTCCGATTCGGCTTCGGTCGCGTACAGTCGGGCCGATCCGGACGAGCTCCCGCGGGCCGCGACTCAACTCTCGTGTTGTTAATACTTGCAATAAGCATGTGCAAAATCTGTTTTATATGGAATTTTGGAATAAGATAATTTTTAGGTGGAAAAATAATACTTGGAACAAATTTATTTGAAATGAATTTCATTCCATGTCGCGGCCCGCGGGAGCTCGTCCGAATCAGCCCGATTGTACCCGACCGAGCCCGAAATAGTCGGGCTCCCCGACTGCACGCATGCATCGGTCCGAGCCCGCCCGATGTTTCCCGAACCGATCCGACTAGCCGGGCCGCACATTCCTAATTAGAATCATTTTCTTCGTCGTATAACAACGCCTCGAAGTAACTCAATTTACCACTGTGGTCGGTTATAAGAAAGCTACAAATTGAAACTTCTCTTCTCGCCTTGTATAATAATCTCTCGTAACAACATATGCATTGTATATATACGTATACATATATACGATTAAATACTGCGACTATAGTGTAATAATATAGTAGTAGTACGTTCGTTATTGTTTCTCTCGTTTCTTCGTTATTATTGTAGCTGCTATAATAGACTCGAAGGAAGAATGAACTTGACCTTATGAAGAACCGAATAAATTCTTGATAATAATTTCAACGAACAATAAATAAATAATATATGAACACCCGAAACAATTATTAATTACAAATTATAGTTTCAGAATTTTTTTAACACATTGAATACCATGGGGGTCATCAGTGACCGGCGCTGCAAATTACACATATCTAAATAATTAAGAGAAAACAATAGAAAAATATTTTAAATAATATTGCTATTGTACAAATAATGTAAAATAGTAAATAGAAAGCTTGAAATTTGAAAATTAACTATTCCCATTTTTAATAATTAGAGCTTCAATATGTTCCATAATTTTTATGTGGAAAAATAATACTTGTAACCAATTTATTTGAAATGAATTTCATTCCACGTCGCGGCCCGCGAGGGCACTTCCGAATCGGCCCGACTGTACCCGACCGAACCCGAAATAGTCGGGCTACTGCACGCATGTATCGGACGCATAAAAAATGTTCATTTTCACCGATTGATAAATCTTCAACTCAAGTTCATTTTTCCTCAGATCTTGATACAACTATAGTTGGAACGCTTATTACCGGTGTAAAAAAGTCGTGGACGTATATATAGCTTCTGCGATAGAATATGATTGACGTATTTTCTTCCAACAACAAATATTCATCTTTCTTACGTTTCTAGCATCTCGCGACAGCTGCCAATAACAAACTACTTCGTACGCGGAACAACGATACTTAATTACGGTTCACGGATACTCGTACTCGCTAGTTTAATACGGGTTCAAATACGCTTAACACCTACGTAACGAGTCGCATAATAGAGAAGACTCGATGATTTGGCACGAATTTGCATTTCTCAGCCACTTTCGAACAAATTTTTTCCTCTTTTTTGATTTCACGCAGTTTTCATCGTTTTCTTTTTTTTTTCCTTTGGGACATTGCGTAAGTCCGGGGAGAAGGAGGAGCAGGAATAGTCAGAAATGGAAAACAAATATTCATCTACTATTCCTAAAACTCAGTGTCCTAAAGTACAGATAAAAACAAGAGTCACAGGACTTTGTTATAATTAAGTACACGCAGCTTGTTCTTTAAAAGTGTTTCTAAAGTACTTGACTAAGAACAAGTACTTGAGACACTTTAATTAAAGTGCCTCAGAGAAGTCTCTACACCTTGTTGAAAATAATAAAAGTACTTGAATGCAAGGATAAGTTTCTTAACCTTACAATGATAAAAATTGTGCTTGATACAATTGTTTTAGAAACACTCTATACCTTGTTGAAAATAATAAAAGTACTTGAATGCATGGATAAGTTTCTTAACCTTACAATGATAAAAATTGTGCTTGATACTATTGTTTTAGAAACACCTATTGTTATAATACTTGAGTGCAGACAGTATAGTGCTGACAGATGAGCTAATTTTTAACTTACAATAAATACATATGAAATTAAAATTAAATACGTCGATAGGATTGTCTACGAATAGAACTAAACTCGAACGAGTATAAATCACTGTTGTCTCTGTTCTAGTTAAAAAATCCTGTCCTAAGAGGGACTCGTCCGAAACAAGTTTCTTTCTATCCGTTTCAACTACAGTAAAACCTCTAAGTCGCCATTTTCCTCTCCTCGTCATTTTCAAATTTACATGGTTTTTATTCCGTTTAAATCGTCAAAATTTCCCGGTTCTTTGAGCGACGACTTATAGAGGTTTTACTGTAATCTAAATACATGTGCTAAGTTTGTGACATAAAAGTTGTGCTTTCACATACGTACGCATTCGATTTGTCTAATAATACTGAAAATTCTGCCATAGGGCACTTTATCCCTTCACTTCTGGCAAATGCATCTTTGAATCAAACATCACAGAGTCAGGAAACAATGGAAATTTCATAGAATAAAATGAGCGTCTTAGGAATGTTTAAAATTGAAATTTCTCTTTCTCTGTTATCCCTCATCAGTCTGTGAATGCAAACCACAGAGACTGAAGTTTGTATACGATAAGTAAATTATTATTTATGGTTACCCAAATGTTCACACCGTATCAATTCGAGCACACTGATTTTATCATGTAACCATCGTTCGAACAGTGCATACCAGTTGACTTTATAAAATATTTTCTGTAACTCTTTTTTACGCTCATGCATTCATAAACACACACATACCTTCTTGTACAAGTAATAACACGTGTAATTAGAACGTTCTCTCGAAAATATGAAATATTTCGTTATCAAAATAAAATATAAATTGGCAATAACGTTGTGTGGCTAGACGGATGTTCACGCTAGCAATACATAGGAAACATTGATCGCTTTTCTCCTTCCTTCTCCGTTCTTTTTATTCGGGTTTCGTGTCCACGAGATAATCAATATTATCGCTTTTCCCCCAACCCTTGCGCCCCTATCACAACTGTACAGGAAAGTTTTTCCCTCCTGCGTTCGGAGAAGAAACTTTGAAAAAATTCGTTCAATCAATTTAATGGAGCCAAACGACTGTTCTAAATGTCCGAAACATCTGCTACAGGAATTGCTGTGACGGTGTTCCAGATAATGTTTTCATTAGTCATTTTTTAAGTGAAAAATCCTGAGATTGAGAATTAATCATGATATCTATCAGTCTGGTTTTTAAAATCATCTCTGAACGCTTTTTACACAGAAGTTTTACTTGTTCTCTTCTGAAAGTAAACGATATTTTTATGCTCCAGGGATTAATTAATTAAACGAATTCTTCGGAGGAAGTTAGATTTCTTCAGGGAAGGTTGAAGAGGGTTCGAGGGAGGAAGTTCATCTCTGAGAATGTTCGCATTGCACCTCTGGCGGTTGCATCGTCAAGTATGAGGGTTGAGTGTCCCTGAAGTGTGATCTGACGAGTAATCCCAGGCCTAGAAGAACAACGGGAAGTCCAAGAAGCGCGCAGATCAGTTCTCCAGTGACCCCCGGTGACCACGAGATAGAACCTGTTTCAGTTTAATTTTATTTACAAAAGTCTATGCTTAAGACTGATCTCTAGAGGCATTCGAATATTCATTTTCAGTTTTATAGGGTTATTCAAATTGAGTGTCACATTTTCAAAAATTGAACTAAAACGCAAAGTATTTGACTTTTGTATGGTTACTTTATTTTAGTACAAAGTCTATTTGATGACATTAATTATGAAAAACAATATTATTTAACAATCCTTGATACGTATAACCAAAGTAATTTTTCACAAGGAGACACCAATTGCTACCAAGATTGGGTGATTTAACACCATTAGATTTTTTATGGGGTTTATGGAAAAAGACTATTGACGAGTTGAGAAACAAAATCACAGTCGCTATTGATGAAATTGAATTCCACTTGTGTGAAAATATAATGTCATACAGCAAAGTTTGTGTTAAAATAAAGAAGCCATATAAAAATCACATAATTTGCGTTCTATATCAATTTTAAGATGCAACCCTATATAACTCACCACCGTGTACACTGATGTCCATTTTATAAATGCTCCACCAAATGCCGGATAGAGGAAGAGATACGGTAGCGGCGGCGACGGTGAACACAGCACTTTCGCACATGGACAGAAAGTTTAATACAGAAATTGAGAAGACTGTGTACGCTATCAGGAAGGTCCATCCGTGAATAGAAACGTTTGAGCAGGATTCTGTGTTTTTAAAATGACAAGTTAAACCGTGTTCAACAGTACGGTATAGTTCCACTGGTGAATATCCCTGAAAATAAAAAGATGTGCTATAAATTCAATAAAAAGGTGGTAAGAAGTGAACGAATTATAGACTTACCCTGCCTATTCCTGGTAAAGTATCCACCCAGCTCATGGTGAGAATAGCAAAAAATGCTATTAGGTGTATGTAGAAGAGAGTTTCAAGAATCGGAGGCTTTGGAAAGTGTTTGGGTTTAACGGTGGGATCAGGATCCGTCACGTGAAGCAACCTACCGCCTTCTTCCTCGGATCCGCGTCTCCGAATGTCTCTGGACGACACCAAACGCGACACCGTGTACAGGAATGAATTCTGTTGATTCGCCATTACATGGCACATATTTTGTTGCTGAAAGAAAAACAAAGTGCGAGCAATTACGATGCTTGTGGTATTTTGTTTCAGCTCTAAATTATTTTCAAGTGACGCCTTCTTTCCCTACAGTCTTGCCAGCAAAAGCGTTCTGAACTAGTAATTAAACCCTCACCTCTGTGGTGTAATGACCCTCGAGCAGCGTGAAGAACATGGCAAAAGCGGCGAGCGCGCCGACATAGACGAACGTCCAAACAGCCCTTGCACCCCAGGACTCCCTTATAGAAGCGGCGTGTGGTGAAACTTCCCTTCCTCTGCATCGAAACTCGTCGCAAAGACCGTAATCAACGCTTATGAACAAGCCGACTATTATGGTGGTGCTCGAGAAGATTCGTTGCAAGCTCATCACTGAAATAAACATTCTTTTTTATATCGTCACTGTTTTAAATAACGATGGTGAACTTGGAGCTGCTTACTTTTGCGACAGAAGAAGAAATAGTAAACCAGAGAGAAGACCAGGGTGATGCCTTTGATTGGGTCTTGCAAGTGGCAGAGGACTCGGTTTTGATCAAGAGCAAGGGTGGTGACAATGCCAGAGAAAGCATAGATCAGGCTTATCTTCACCAGGGCACAACGAGGTATCTTGATTTTCATGCTGTTTGGAATCAACGCAGGCGGTGGTGATACCCTCTCAATGATAAACCATATGATTCCAAGGAGACAGGTGGAGCTCAGGGCAGTAAAAAGTAGTCCTGAGAAAATTCAATTAAGTATGATTAAATTAACCCTTTAACTGTGGGTATGGTTTATAAATCATATACTAAAATTATAGCCAGAGGCGGGGGTGGTATATAAACAGCATGTTAATTTTTGCTAATATCAAATAGCAACTGTGGCTTATAAACACAATAAAAGAAAATCTTCTAAAATAGAATATCACTTAAATTAAAAATTAGAGCTATCGGCTGTGCTAAAAGTACCGCAGTTAATGGGTTAAATTCAATAATTGAATGAATTATATTACAGCAGAGATATAGAACTCTGGTCAATAACATAAACCAATCACAAACAACAGCAAATATTCTATTGAATCATAATAACAAAAGCATGTATTGAACATTTACAATCGGTATCAGTAATCCTACTGATATAATCTGTAAAAAAGTAGGAATCCCAGGGAATAAAATTACAATTAATATGTTGCATCGATTCCGTTTTAAAATACCTGTATAAGCATTTGAAACGGTGCTGATACTGTTCAGATAAAGAGGATAGGCGATAATCAAAAATGTGACGGAGACGACAACGATTAGAAGGGTGGCGATGAAGCTGAACTTTTGCCAGCCAGCTCGGTCCGTATCGAACAGCTTATCGGTGGCCTGATAAGTGACATATGGCGATTCCTCGGTGTCGGTGTATTCCTCGATCTCGACGTCGCTACCTGTGCACCTCAGCTCCTCCTGTTCCTCGTCGTCGACCATCGTCGAGACGCAACCCGTCAGCGACGCCAGTTTTGTGCTTTTTCCTTTTTCCTTGCTTTAAAAGACAGAAACATTTATTAGAAACTTAACGGTATAATACTACGTGTGCACCATAGGCTTGTCTTAATTAAAAGGAGATGAGGACCTTATTTGGTTCTTCACTCTTATTCTTAATTAAGAAAAGCTTATGTTGCACCCTGCTGGTCAATAAAAATAAAGGAAACATATTACTACGTTAACGAGTCTCACATTCTCCTCAAGACAATGCAAAGTACTAAGTTAAAAATTATTGTTAGTATTCTTTAAAAGTTGAGGTCATGAAAGGTGGAACTGGATACAGTGGTGGATCAAGTCAAGCGGGGGCCCCAAGTGGTATAAATTTTGGGGCTCTCAAATTTAAGTTAGAAAAAAAATTTAAAGAAAACTCATGTTATGTTATATGTATATCATTATGTTGACTATAATATTAGGGTTTGGTGAAACTCATGATATTTGGACAATAAAATATTATTTGATACTAGGTACGACCTCCGGAGGACCCCTTCGACCTCCCGGAAAAATCGTGTTTTTGAAATATAGACCGTCAAAGCCTGAAAAAACTATTGTTGATGAGCTATGAACCCTAATGAAAGAACATTATAAGATCTCAGGGCCGCGTCGGGGACCTTTGGTATTCCAGGGCCTTTTGGTATTCCGGAGCCCTTTGGTACTCCGGGGCCCTTTGGTATTCCAGGGCCTTTTGGTATTCCGGGGCCTTTTGGTGTTTCGGAGCCCTTTGGTATTCCAGGGCCTTTTGGTATTCCGGGGCCTTTTGGTGTTCCGGGGCCCTTTGATACTCCGGGGCCTTTTGGTATTCCGGGGCCCCTTGGTATTCTAGGGCCTTTTGGTGTTCCGGGGCCCTTTGATATTCCGGGGCCCCTTGTATTCTAGGGCCTTTTGATATTCCGGGGCCTTTTGGTGTTCCGGGGCCCTTTGATATTCCGGGGCCCCTTGTATTCTAGGGCCTTTTGGTGTTCCGGGGCCCCTTGGTATTCTAGGGCCTTTTGGTGTTCCGGGGCCCTTTGATATTCCGGGGCCTTTTGGTATTCCGGGGCCCCTTGGTATTCTAGGGCCTTTTGGTGTTCCGGGGCCCCTTGGTATTCTAGGGCCTTTTGGTGTTCCGGGGCCCTTTGATATTCCGGGGCCTTTTGGTATTCCGGGGCCTTTTGATATTCCGGGGTCTTTTGGTATTCCGGGGCCTTTTGGTATTCCGGGGCCTTTTGATATTCCGTAGCCTTTTGGTGTTCCGGGGCCTTTTGATATTCCGGGGCCCTACGCGGCTGCATAATTCGTTTGCCGTTTAATCCGCCACTGACTGCATAGGCACTCAATCACAGAGAGCAATAGAGGTCGAGCTTTAAAGCTCACGCGAAACGCGATTCTGTTCGAAAGGATCGATTTGCCTTTTTTTTTTTTTTTTTCATTTATGTTGCTCGCTCTTTTTGTCCTTGTAGAAGTACGATTAACGAGCAGGTTGCATGCACACTTTTACTCACCTACGTATGTACACTTTTAGCCCTGGACAGATTAGATAACTGGCTCTCTACTATCGATACATGGAAGTCGAGAAATTTCGTTCACCTTCAAACACGGTAATTATCTAATTCTCACCATTTCACGTCTTTTCTCGCGACAGAAATTATAAATGGAAAATAATTCGAGCGTAATGCGCGGCTTAACACGGTGTACGGTGCGTTAAAAATGAACGGTGATTTTTCTTTGCTTTTGTGGTCGACGCTTGCTTTGGAATTTAAGCCGCATTTAACATTTCTTTTTTAACCGTAATCTGGCTTTGCACCGCTTTATTCGCGCATAAAGTTTCATCTCTGATTTTCAGGTTTTGCAAAAACCGAGCAAAAGAGCAATAGTAACTGCTACTACCTTCATCAATCTTAATTAACAACCCTTTCAGGTCAAAGTATTTTGAAGTCTGATATTATGCATGCACGGAATACATTTTTATTCGAACTAAATTAAATATATTGCTCGCTCTCAAAGGAATAATGGATTTATGAATGAATTTTGAAAGGCTGAAACGTAGTACTACGTGCTTACATATGATAATACAAGTACATTCGAAGATGTTTGAGGTAAAGAAACGGAGAACAGAGATGGATATTAAATCTCGAGTATTTAATCCGAAGGCAAAGGTGAATTTAATACACAGGTCGGCCCTGGGCCTAGGCGGTCACCTAGGGCCCTCCAAGGCCCAGGGTCCCCCAAAGAGATTTCTAATTATGGCAGAATAAGGTCTTCGTTAACCCTAGAATTTTAATTCTAGGCGGCCGCCTAGGGCCCCCCCAAGGTCAGGGCCTCTCAAAGTCCAGGGTCTCCCAAGGTCCAGGGCTCTCCAACGTCCAGAGGCCTCCAAGATCCAGGGTCCCCCAAGGGGATGGCAGAATGGGGTCTTCGTTAACCCTAGAATTTTAACTCTAGACAGGGCCGGCCCTGGGTCTAGGCAGACTAGGCAGCCGCCTAGGGCTCCTCAAGGTCCAGGGCCCCCCAAGGTCCAGGGTCCTCCAAGGTCCAGGGTCCCCCAACGTCCAGGGTCCCCCAATGTCCAGAATCCCCCAATGTCCAGGGTCTCCTAATGTCCAGGGTCCCCCAAGGTCCAGGGCTCTCCAAAGTCCAGAGGCCTCCAAGATCCAGGGTCCCCCAAGGGGATTTTTAATTATGGCAGAATGGGGTCTTCGTTAACCCTAGAATTTTAACTCTAGACAGGGCCGGCCCCGGGCTTAGGGAGACGCCTAGGGCCTCTCAAGGTCCAGGCCCCCCCCAATGTCCAGGGTTCCCCAATGTCCAGAGTCTCCCAATGTCCAGGGTCCCCCCATGTCCAGGGTCCCCATAAGACGATTTTGCGTCTTAGAATGCAAGAAGAGTAATGTTTACTTGAATATTAATCTAAATTAGTTATACAAGCTTTAATGTTAATTTTATAAATTTTATTTGAGCTACTTTTTTAATGTCATATATGTGAAGGGACCCTCGGAACACCGAAATCTCAGGGTCAGCCCTGTTAACACAGCAAGCAAATCTTCTTTCCCGGGGAAAAGTAATGAAAACTTTGGAAAATGAATGGACATGAGTCAAGGTTGCAGTTATTCAGAAAATATTTCACTGCAAATATAAAGTAACGACTTCAACGTAACCGAATTAACCAAACAGAGGAAGTTCGTTCTACGCGAAACATCTACTTAATGGATTTTAATTAATTAATAATAATAATTAATGGAAAAGCTTTCGAGTTTGCTAAATAAATTTTGTAGCAGTTTTGCCCACTTTATCATTATGATAACAGTCCTTATGAATGTCAGATAAGAAATTAAGAAGAGACTGAAATAGCAAAATGACAAATTAATATTCTAACTCCTTCACCGAGAAAGGAAGCGCATTACAGTTATGACAAACTATGTCACAGACTATTGATATTGGGTCACAGAAGTTCGAGCTTCCCTTGGAGGCGAAGGAAATCAGATAACGTGGAAAATCGGGAACGGAAACGGATTCTTTTTATCGTTTAACGGGCGGATATCAGAAAGGAACGATGACGTGCGCATTTACCAGAGCGAAACGATATCGATATTGATGATAACAGACCAATTTGTACACGTTGTTTTACTTGAGGCAATAGATAAATCTATATCCACTGGTACAAAAGAAAGACACAGAATTTATACACAATTTCAATGAAAGCTCTTCTGTCCATTAAAAACATAAAAGTTTTGTAGCAAAATTGCCTCTAAACTGGATTAACTATCATTCGCTATGAATCAATAGTACCAGAGCGAGTTAGCTATTGCTCCTTTTTTCGCTCCCGACTTTTTAGCGCGACCTTCCGAGAGCTGTTCAAGACCAATCGCCTTTCATAAGATCGATTAATTCGTAGCTATTATATACTCTGCATACGTGAACTATATATACAGGGTGTCGCACGAATTTTTGTATTTTAAGATCAAAGCCTCCATTAGCGTAACTAGCTAGGGACCAGGGTGCCCCTTCGCCTCCTCTTCTTTAAAAGAAATCAATGCTTCTGTCCTCAAAAGAAAATCTTCTGAATCTTTTCCTAACTAGTCAGGAACAGGGGTGCCCCTTCACCCCCTCTTCTTAAAAAGAAATCAGTGCTTCTATCTTCTGAATCATTTCCTAACTAGGGAGGGGCCAGGGTGCCCCTTCGTCCCCTCTTCTTTAAAAGGAATCAGTGCTTCAAGTCCTCAAAAGAAAATCTTCTGAATCTTTTCCTAACTAGGGAGAAGCCAGGGTGCCCCTTCGCCCCCTCTTCTTTAAAAGAAATCATGCTTCTAGTCTTCAAAAGAAAATCTTCTGAATCTTTTCCTACGTGTTTTCTCGCACCTGTAATAAAAGGTAATTGCAAATAATCAATCAATTTATACAAGGTGTTCAAACGATTCAAAATAGTGATTGAAAGGTTTCCAATACCTGATTGTTTCATAATATTCTGACTCTTTTTCCTTCGTTTAAAGTGAGCGTTATAAACAGAGAGGGAAAAAAAGCGGCGTTAAAGAAGGGAACAAAAGAATCTAATTACTAGCAACTTTACTCGTCACAAGTGGCCCAGAGACAGAAACCGTAACTCGAGCCGGGACAAGAGGATAAAGCGCGAGGCAAAGCACCAGGGCTGAGCTTTCTTCCGGAGTTTAACCCATTTCTGGAAGAATTTTTCATCGCTTCAGTAACCTCGTGAAATGCTGCGCAACAAAAGAAAATCGTTGAATAACCTCTGAACAGCATTTCAACGATACTGTATCCATGCTCCCCCATGGAACGGTTATGTTTATTGGAAAAATATTTAATACCCAGCAACAGGGACGGCCCTGAGATTTCGGGGGTCTGAGGCGAGCTCCAAAAAAGGGCCCCTTCGCATATATGACATAAAAAAAGTACCTCAAATAAAATTTATAAAATTAACATTAACGCTTATATTAAACGCAAAATTGTCTTATGGGGGCCTTGGACGTTGGGGGGCCCTCGACCTTGGGGGACCTTAGACCTTGGAGAGCCCTGGACATTGGGGGGCCTTGAACCTTGGGGGGCCCTGAACCTTGGGGACCCCGGACCTTGGGGGGCCTTAGACCTTGGAGAGCCCAGGACATTGGGGGCCCTGAACCTTGGGGGACCCTGGACATTGGGGGGCCCTGAACCTTGGGGGGCCTTAGACCTTGGAGAGCCCTGGACATTGGGGGGCCTTGAACCTTGGGGGACCCTGGACATTGGGGGTTCTGAACCTTGGGGGACCCTGGACATTGGGGGGTCCTGAACCTTGGGGGGCCTTAGACCTTGGAGAGCCCCGGACATTGGGGGGCCCTGAACCTTGGGGGACCCTGGACATTGGGGACCCTGGACATTGGGGGCCCTGGACCTTGGGGGACCCTGGATATTGGGGGACCCAGGACATTGGGGGGCCCTGGACATTGGGGGCCCTAGACGTTGGGGGGCCCCTAGGCGACCACCTAGACTGCCCAGGCTCAGGGCCGGCCCTGCGTGTATCTAATTGGCGATATCAGATTTTTTTGTTTTTTATTCTTTGATATGCGTAACAATTATAAGAGAATATAAATTATAATATATTAATATATGGTCATTAGTGACAGGGTGAAAATTTGTAACGCAGTCGGTGAAACGAGCATCCTTTCAGTCGGGGAATTAACAAACTTTAGGGCCACGGAAGTGCAAACCCTCGCGTCGAGGAACTCGAGGACGAGACACTTTCCAGGCATCGACTATGTTTGAGGGATTATAACTTTGCGGCGCATCCCCGTCCACTGCCAAGATCGGCGAAGTTTCGCGTAATTTGTAGGAAACTTTTTGCCAGTTTTATCAGAATTTATACAACTTTGAAACCACCGTGCAAACTGGTGTATAAATTTTTTTTATAGTCAACATTGATTTCCCATATAAAACATAAATAACGTTTTAATTAAAAAAGTATTAAGCAAACAAAGTCGTGCACATTTTTTAATTTAATTATTGAACAAATAACTACATTTATTTTTATTTTTAATGAATTTAAATATCTCTGGCTTTTAATTGAATATGGATTATTAAAAAATGGTTGAAATATTTTATTTCAATAAAAGCACCCTAAATAACGTTACGTTTCAATTGCATTTCATTGGCCGCTGATATACATCTATTATCTTTAACGTAAACAGTTATATCCGCACCAACAAAAGAGCCCAATAAGCTTTAGTACATATCTACAAGCTTTGTATCTAATTTCCATGACGATCCATTACTCTGCAGCGCAGTAACTAAATTTCGTGTGGGTATTCATCAGCGATTCGATGCGAAATCGAAAAACCAATAACCAATTTACCAACAGGGTAACTATGCTACTAATGCATAAAGATACCTCATATAAAATGAAACGTACGCTCATGCATGTTTAAATATCATTTACATCAAGTACAGTGTAGGTATGTATCACAGTAATACAGGTCAAGACGCATATAGCAAAAATTCAGTAGGGTTAGTGGGGGAGAAATATGGAAAGATATCGAGATAATGGGTTGTCAACGAACCCTGTGTGTTGGTATTGCGACTTACCCTCGAAACCTAACCTGACACCGCCCAGTATCACAGTGAAACCGCTTCTATCCTTCGAGAAGTTCTCCTCTTCCTATGGACGCCGCATTCGCCGTGGATTCACATCAGTGTAACATTGGAAAATTCGCGATTGTGTTTCACAAAAATCGCGAATCGCACTAATACGCTAGAAAAACCACGACTTCGTCCCATCGTGAGACGAGAACTGCCTTCAATGCGGGCTCTGTAGACTAGTGTACAGTGCCGTACCTTTCCTTCAGGGACCACGATGTTCCACCAATATAAACTGGTCCATGTTTCAAACCTGTAAGAAAATTGTCAGTGTATTTGGATTTCAATATTAAATTCTTTTAAATATCTGTACATTAAACTCTTATACAAGACAACATTGTATATGCATACCATTAAGTACCAAAAGCTTCTGCATATTTATATTTCTAAATAAATAATTATACTATTTAAATTTTATATAAAATAATATAAAGAAATGAAGTATGTAATAAGTAAAAAAGAAAAACATGGATAATGAATTAATTATACAATATCAATCATAGTGTTCGTTCGTCTAGTGTATTTTGTAATTTCAAATAAATTATTGAATATTCTAAAGCTTTTATCAGATGATTACGTTAATTATTTTAACGCTTTTATTAAATAATTAGATTTTTGCTTTTTCACTAGACGAACGGACACTATGATTGATATTGTACATATATGTTTTAGTTTTCAGAAAAGATACCTTAGAGAAAAAATATAAAATTAATATAAATAAAATGAATAAAGAAAAATAAGAAAAGTAAGAGCGTTTTTTCATCTAATAATTTGAAAAATAAGATTCTTTAAAGAAATTTCTTTTCTTCACGCAAAGAACGGCACTGAGTTTCACGCATGCGTATTGGATGCAACAGTAGATCGCGCGCACACAAAGCAAGGAAGCGTTGCATTCTCCATGAAATTAACTCGGAAAATTATGAATTATTAATTACAGGTTGACGAATGTCAGTAGCAGATGTGAAACTACGATAATTTGTTTCTTTTCAACCTCATTTTTTGCTAATTACTTCACCGACTGTGCATACAAAAACAGAAAATCGATGAACGCTTCAGCGACGACAGAAAGATTCAATTACCCGCTGAAAATTTGTATCTGTGTATTTTCAATCGAACTCTGATTGGTCTGGTTGACGGCAATTTTTGGTCATTTCAATTGCACGGAAATTCATTGCAGACGGGAAAGAACATTGTCAATTTACGTTCGGAATAGCATTTTCTTCCTGTCCCTTGTAATATAGTTTCTTTTTTTTTCACATAATTGGAAGGCGGGAAAAACCATTGCGTTCAAAAAGAGCGACAGTCTGCTGAATTTTTATCGAACAGATATAACTTTTACTGCTATCGTTGTATTCAATAAACTTAGTTTCTAAAATGCAATTTAAAGTAGAAATACAACTTTCTACTTTGCATTAATTTCAATCTAATGATAAGACTTTAATAAGGCTACGAACTTGTCTTTAAATTTCCATGCAGAATCGAATGTAAAATTACTAGGAGAAGTTGAAACAGTATTCTCCGGAGATCAAAGGAATGCAAGATAATGCCAATTGTAAACTCGCTAACTTTACCAATTAGGAAGCTACTCGAACTTTCGAAGCACAGCCAGGTGAGAAAGGAAAATGCCTGCTTCCTGATGTCCCAGTCCCAATGAAACTATCTCAATGATGAGCAGCTTTCACATGCACCATACAAAGGGTATAGCAGGATAAGATGGTTAAAAGTGCCCTTGAAACTGATTTTATTGAGCTATGCACCATTTAATAGGTTATGAAAAAAAAACCATTATACACCAAGTTTCAACCCTATGTCTCAATCAGGAGGGTAGTTATAGGGTAAAATTGAAAAAACGGTTTTTGCCATATTTTCCCTATCTAGTGATATTCAAAAAATCTGAAAAAATTCTAGAATATTCTAGACATGTTTCTTTGTGATTGTGAATTTTTTCAAATTTTTTGAAAACCACTAAATAGGGAAAATATGACAAATACCGTTTTTTCGATTTTATCCTACAACTACCCTCTTTGTTGAGATACAGGGTTGAAACTTGGCGTATAACAGTATTTTCTTATAAGCTATTAAATGGTGCATAGCTCAATAAAAATGTCTTCAAGGGCACTTTTGACCATCACTTATCCTGCTATACCCTTTCTATTCTATACTTGTCCTTTTCAAAATGAGTTGAAATTCTCTGAAGATTCATTTAACAATATTTCCATCTATCAATAATCAATAGCCGAGGGTGAAAAGGTACCTGAAATTGCTTTCTAAAGTGTCCCCCAAGAAGTTAATGAACTTCTGTAGGAAGCAAAGGTGAACCAGAAGGAAACTTTACAGATGCATGGAAGAAGGGTCGATAAAAGTCGCCTACGTTTAGGCGAGACTTCAAAGTGGAAGTTCCGAGAGAGTGTAGGAAATTGAAGCGTAGGAATCAGAAATGGAACGTTCATTCGATTCAACCGCTCGTACGGCAAAGGGGAAAGAAAATCAACCACAAATGCAGTCCGGACGGGTATAGTACATTGTATGGAAGAGACGAAACCCTGCGGTGGGCTGAGCGCGAGGGGGGGGGATCGATAAGAACTGGGTTAATACGATCAGCTAAAGCAGCAGACTTCTTTAACCCAGACATTATATTTAGAAGCGACTTATGGTCAGATGGCAAACTAAACAGTCTCAAGGGACCTGTATTCACAGTCCTTTTCACACGATATTTCGCTTATCTCTTCTGCCTTTTGTTGATATTTCCGATGATAAAGAATCTTTTATTTTCCCAACGAAGATATATTCATTTATACTCTGAAAACAACAGTAGCCAATTATTTCACCCTCTTTCATTTTGTAATTATAAATATGTCTTTCTTAATGGTTTTGAAATTATGGGGGGTACCCCCCGATCGAACTGTTTTTTTACCACAGATTGCCCTTGATTCCAATGGAGGTCATCCTATTCCTTAACTCCCCCCCTCCGCCCCCAGGGGTCAAAAGCTAAAATGGTCTAGAAAGTAGTTAGGTTAGGTTAGTTTTTTTAATTCGGGGGGGGGGGGGGGGTGATGTACTCACTGAGATCGGTGCAAAAAAACACTTTTTGGACCATTTTAGTTTTTGACCCCTGGGGGGCGTAAGGGGAGAGTTAAGGGATAGGTCAAAAACTGAAATGGTCCAAAAAGTGGTTAGGTTAGGTTAGTTTTTTTATTTTTAATTCAGAGGGGGGATGATGTATTCACTGAGATCGGTGCAAAAAACCACTTTTTGGACCATTTCAGTTTTTGACCCCTGGGGGCGTAAGGGGGGAGTTAAGGGATAGGTCAAAAACTGAAATGGTCCAAAAAGTGGTTAGGTTAGGTTAGTTTTTTTATTTTTAATTCGGAGGGGGGATGATGTATTCACTGAGATCGGTGCAAAAAACCACTTTTTGGACCATTTCAGTTTTTGACCCCTGGGGGCGTAAGGGGGGAGTTCAGGGATAGGTCAAAAACTGAAATGGTCCAAAAAGTGGTTAGGTTAGGTTAGTTTTTTTATTTTTAATTCGGAGGGGGGATGACGTATTCACTGAGATCGGTGCAAAAAACCACTTTTTGGACCATTTCAGTTTTTGACCCCTGGGGGCGTAAGGGGGGAGTTAAGGGATAGGTCAAAAACTGAAATGGTCCAAAAAGTGGTTAGGTTAGGTTAGTTGTTTTTATTTTTAATTGAGGGGGGAATGATGTACTCACTGAGATCGGTGCAAAAAACCACTTTTTGGACCATTTCAGTTTTTGACCCCTGGGGGGGCGAAGTGGAATCGCCAGGTCAATGACTGTCTATGGTAAAAAAATCAGCTTCATCGAGGGGTACCCCATTTTCTTAAATTTAATAAAAAATACTGTTCTTATTATTATATACATTGAAACTTTTATACCTTCCTCCATTTCTCAGCTGCACGCTAATTTCATTTCCAAACTCAATTTTTCATCGTCCACTTCATTTTCTTCTGCAAACTTCAATTATCTCCTCGAGCCTTCACCCTTCGCTCTGGAATTCCAATACCGAATTCCGTTCCTCGAGGAGAGTTCTTTTTATACTTCCTAAACAAAACAGTACGTCAGAACGTCAGCGAGGCAGTATCAAATGAAAAGAATAAAAAGTCTGATGCATTGTCTACAAATTATTATTCCGTATCATAGTTCATTATAAACCAGCGGGAAGCTTCTATCCCTTTTGAAAGACGCTCCATAAAAATAAACCTCTAATGGACCACCGTCGGTTACCACGAAGTTAGGCTGGTTACTTAACTTAGACCGTCCCCAGAGCAACGCCAAAACCCCTCTACAAAACGTTGCCTTCCGCTCGGTCGAGCGTACCCCCCCGTCAATCTCGCGACAGCTTCAAGACAAACGGGTTAAAAAGCTGATCCTCCTCGACGGAGGGGTTGTACTCGAGTCGGCGGTCCGGGTGTGGGACGGACGTCAAGCCCTGCGCACAGGACGCGTGTTGGAAGTCGTGCGGAAACGCGTCGGGAATCGCGGCTTCAGTCTGCGCGCGGCACTCGTTCGAGAAGCGTCGCGTTCCTCCTCCCCGGGACCGGGTCTCTATTCTTCTGGCCGCGATTACTATTAATTGATGACAAACTTGTCCTGGGGAATTCTTCATCGGCTGGAAGACTGAAAAATTGAAAGGACAGCATCAGCAGAATTCTTCCAGTGATATTGTGAAAAGGGATAATTAAATTAATATACTTGTTTAATTAGACCGTTAATAGAGAGATTCTTATTTTGTAAAAGTTGGAGGAGTCCCTGAAGAATTGCAGAGGGACAGGAAGTGGAAGAGGAAGCCAATGGTCACCGGTGGGTCGAGGCACGATTCGCTGAATCAGAGGGAACAGCGGCTCGAATAGTCGTGATAAATGGAAGACGTGGCTCGTCGTTGCTCGTTTATCCCTAATTGCGAGACTACCATGCTCGTCGTGCAATTGGACCCTTTGTTCCAGCTATGCGTGCCGGACGATGATTCGCTTTCGTCCACGGAATCTTGATTTTCGCGTGTCTCCTCCACACTGTTCGCAATTGTGCGCCTATGGGATACAATATACCCTTCGAATGGGATAAACATTACCCGAAATTGCAACCTTCTCTTTGCTATAACGAGAATAATCGAGCCTGAACATTACTGGATAAACAGTGCTTCAAATTCAGTGTAATTGAATTGTAGTATGATTTTTGTTTCTTAGAACTCATAATTTGTGGTAAATGAAGTGATTAGGATCTAGCAATATTTAACTTCCATGTGATTTATGATGGTGTAAATTTGTACTTAAATATTCACAATTTAATTGAACATAATTGGACTCCAATACAGAAACAGTGAAATATCAAATTAAACTGAAACGATATAATTGGCTATTATTGGATTTCAACGTGATTTGTAATTACCATGTTTATATTCAATCGAGTTCCAAGGAAGCAAACAGTGTCCAGCCTGATTTATGATGGTCCCCACCATGTGATTTATGATAGCAATGTTGTCCATAATTGAATGCTACAGGTCCTCCATATGAATAACAACAGCATAAATATTGTCTGCAACATTAAGTGAGAACTTAATGAATTGAATCCTCATCGATTCCAATATGGTCAGTGATAATACAAACTTCTTCAACAACCATTCCCACACCTCCCCACAGCATGTGCTCTGTAGCCAACATAAAAGATGAGCATCTGTTCTCTAATCACCTAGAGCTGTCCATCGTACGGTTCATCAGTCAGCTATAAAAGTTGATGGAACTCTGTTGAAAAGTTCTCCAAGAGAGTCGGCTGAAGGTGTGCATTCCAGTGATCGAGGGATCAGTAATGTGGCTGATAACAGGCATGAAAGAGCGCCTGGATCCTCCTGAAAGATTGATCAGAGAACATGATAATGCTGGTGAGCTCGACGTGAGAGGAGCTTGAAGAGGGACGCGCAAGGAAACGCGAGAATGAAAGAATCGTGTCAAGATCGGGCATCGTGCGAGGTAAGAATGCTCGAGTTTTATCATTGATTAGAGCTACTGCTCGTTAATTTGCCCTTGTTCGGTCTATGCGTTACAATGTTGAAGAAATTCTATCCGTTACGCGATACTTAACTCGTTTCAGTTACTTGATACATAGAAGTATGTTTTGTAACACTATTGCTATCAGTATTTCAATTAGCAGTAGAAGCAACATGAAATTGAAGCGAGCTCGTTTTTCACTGCAATTGGCAGGCAATGACAGCTGTCTACGATTATAACAACTCGCATTAGCGCACCGTTAGGCACCTCGCTCTATTATTGGAAAATGATCGACGGGTTCCCCTTCATCTCCTTAATGACGGATGTTGGGTTACTCGGGACATAGTTTTACACTGGGTTGGCACTGCCACATCTGACAAGGGAATGGTCAAAGTGCATGAAACGAGGAGTTTTATAGTGCCATTTTTGGCTGCCATTGGCAATGGGTTCAAAAGTTATGGGACTTTGAAAGTTTCATATTTTCAGGTACAAATGATTAGAAATATGAAGTGAAAATTAAGTGTAAGTGACAAAGGCATGGATTTGAGATGATTAGATGATGTTTACTAACAATTAAGATGAGCTTCAGGGAAAATTGCATGTGTGATGTAATTTGCATTTCTGTGATCATTAACACTTAAAAATATGAACATTTCAAAGTCCCATAACTTTTGAACCCATTGCCAATGGCACTCAAAAATTGCACTATAAACTCGTTTCATGCCCATTCGAATAAACATAGTCTGGACGAGCAACTCTACCATCCACTTTTGACCATTCTCTTGTGAGTGATGTTGTAAGAAATTTGTTCCTCTGTCGACTCGTTCCTCCATGCTCCCCTATGGGTACCAAGAATCCGTCCGGAAGGTCGGCGACGTACGGACCTACTAAAATATATTCAATCATGAGTAATGAAACTTACTATTCCCTACTAATATATGCAATATATAATAACTGATTATACATACTCTGCAGACAACTAAACGTATTACTACGGTTTTTCGTTCCTCGTTGAAGGTAATACCTTTCTCCAAAAGAAACTTTCATTTTGCCAATAAAATCGTGCTTGCGAATGCTTGCCCAGCACGCAACCGGAGTCTCATTCAGCAACATTTCCTTACGATAAACGGAAAATAATCCAGTACTCGGGACAAATATTACTCATCCTCGGAGAAGCAGCTTCCTCAAAGACCCGTACTCATAGCTGATCCCCAAAGAATCTGGAAACAGGACACACATGAACGGTATGGCGAAAAGAATAACTTCTCCCTCGTTCAACTCTTTGATCGCAAAACGTTTCTGAAAATAGAGTCGACGAGCACACGTACTCTTTTTTTTCCACATGTTCAGCATGTTCTAAAGGATCAGATTTTCAATCCTGTCACGCGCACCTGTTCCTTTACATTTCGACCCTGAATTGCGAAAGACAGTGACCGAGATCTATTTAAACACCATCGTTCATAGTCATTCGAATAACACTTTAAACTAAGTGTCTAGAGTCAGGGCTGGACTTGAGATTTCAGGGGTCCGAGGCGACCTTCGAAAAAGCGCCCCTTCACATATATGACATAAAAAGAAGTAGCTCAAATAAAATTTATAAAATTAATATTAAAGCTTGTATAACTAATTAATATTCCAGTAAACATTACTCTTCTTGCATTCTTAGATGCAGAATCGTCTTATGGGGGCCATGGTTTTTGGGGGCCCCTAGACCTTCGGCGGCCTCTTGACCTTGGGGGGCCCAGGGCCGGCCCTGTCTAGAGTCAAAATTCTAGAGTTAACGAAGACCCCATTCTGCCATAATTAGAAATCCCTTTGGGGGACCCTGGATCTTGGGGGCCTCTGTACCTTGGGGGCCTCTGTACCTTGGGGGCTCCTGGGCCTTGGGGGGCCCTAGACGGCCGCCTAGTCTGCCTAGACCCAGGGTCGGCCCTGTCTAGAGTCAAAATTCTAGTGTTAACGAAGACCCCATTCTGCCATAATTAGAAATCCCTTTGGGGGACCCTGGATCTTGGGGGCCTCTGTACCTTGGGGGCCTCTGTACCTTGGGGGCCTCTGTACCTTGGGGGCTCCTGCACCTTGGGGGGCCCTAGACGGCCGCCTAGTCTGCCTAGATCCAGGGTCGGCCCTGTCTAGAGTCAAAATTCTAGACTTAATGAAGACCCCATTCTGCCATAATTAGAAATCCCTTTAGGGGACCCTGGATCTTGGGGGACCCTGGATCTTGGGGGCCTCTGTACCTTGGGGGCTCCTGGACCTTGGGGAACCCTAGACGGCCGCCCAGTCTGCCTAGGCCCTGGGCCGGCCCTGTCTAGAGTCAAAATTCTAGAGTTAACGAATACCCCATTCTGCCATAATTAGAAATCCCTTTAGAGGACCCTGGACCTTGGGGTACCCTGGACCTTGGAGAGCCCTGGACCTTGGGGGGCCCTAGGCGGCCGCCTAGTCTGCCCAGGGTCGGCCCTAATAATTAGAAATAAAGGGCTCTAAATTTTAATAAATCAATCCTTGCGTTAATAATTCAGTACCCATTTCCATATTGACATCAAAAATTCATTATCCTCCTGCCAGGGTATTTCAAGCTTACTCCAGATCCTCATTCTTTGGACATTTTTACACTCATGTCATGTTCGTGTTAAAAAGAACGCTCGGAGTGTCTTGATCCCTCCACATAATAAAATAACCATCAACTTTTTGATTATTAACACAAAGGTGTAAGTGTTAACGAATGTATCACTGGATCGGTGGGTCAAAACTCTTTTCCGTGTCCTTTGAATAAAAGATAAAGCACGTTTTCCATGGGACCAGCAGGTTGCAGACTCGGCTGGTTTTAAGCTGGGAACAGGAAATACTTCTTATCGAGTGGAAAAGAAGATTCTACACGACACGGGTGCACGTACTAGTACATATTTTTCCTGCAGGTTCACAGAGCTTAGTATAATGCGACAATTCTCTGCGAGAAAAGTACCTCGCTTGTACTTTGTTCCTGAAGATCATCCAGAGTCGTATTCAATTATTTATCAGTAGTTTCTTTTGGAAATGAACCCTATGATGATGATCAGTATACACCAGTGGAATTAATTCTGGACATTTTTAAATTTTAATTTAAATATCGCACTTATTCAAATTATTTAATATTTTCTATTCTAATCATTGTTTTCTAATTTTAGGGCATCGCTTATATAAGAAAATCAATAAAAAGAGCATTTACAGCCATACTTTTAATATACAATAAAAATTACAATTTCAACACATCAAAGGAGGTAGAAAAAAATTAATTTCATCCTGTGATTGGCTATTTCACATCATGCGACGTTTCGTGTTGCCAGGCGCGAAAACAAAAATAACAGCACGGTTTAGATTTTTTTAAATTAAAATTTTCAAACATTTACAAACCAAATCGTGTGAAAATATTAAGTATAAACATTATAGATTGCAATAAAAATATTACGGTATCAATTTAGCATAGCAGAATATACATTTTCTGCAAAAGTATGAAATAAGTGTCCAGAATTAATTCCACCAGTGTAAGCTGTTAAAACCTTGACCTGGTTTTTTCCGTTTTCAAATACCTTGAAAAATAAAATAGAACCAGAGTTTGAAAAAAATATTCTAAATTAAAATTGGAAATTCTGTTAAAAATAAAGGTGCTTTTCTTATATTACTGTAATAACCTTTGACGTTGATACAACTCTAAACTCTAATTTAAAAAAAATACTGTTTTGTGATCAAATATTTGATCCGCACAAAGTTAGAAAGGGGGAGTACCTTATAGTTTGTCTCGGTCAAGTAGAACAGGCCATCTTTAATCAGACGCATCCTCCTCGACCATATGCGGGTACCTGCACTAATTGTCACTCGAACGGCGAGCACGTTAACGATTTTAATTGGCATTCGTTACGTAAAAGAGAATAAATAAACACGCGGCACCTATTGGAGTGGAGTAGTGTCCCTTTTTTTCCTTTCTTTTTTAGTCTATTGGGGGTTTTCATTGCTGGAAAAGACACCTTTTATAAATAAGATTATTTAAATAAAAATAATTATTTAGTGTACTTACTTAATTATTATTATTATTGGTTAAAGTACTATGGACCTGAGCACCATTATTGGAGGTCTGCTACTTTGTCCTGAAAAAATTAAACAGAAAGAAAAATTAATTTGCATAGCAATATAATATTACAAGAATTATTTAAAAATGTATAGTTTTGAAAGAAGGGTCAATTTTGAAATTCCTAGTACCTGTCGTTCCTTTTTTTACAATTCTTTTTCAACTGATTTCACTGGTTCTGAAATTGAATAGCAGCCCGCAATATTGTTCGATTAGCTTCAAAAGCAGAGCTCGTGCATAGAACGTAAGGTTTCTCCTGCATCGCAACCATTATCGATCGCTGGATTGCATTGTGATTTCGTATCCGCACACGTATGTATAATCGGAGTGTGCCAGTGAAGCTACCTCTCGTTTTTACATCATTTCACTCGATTGCAATAATTACACCAATTTCCTACAATTTTTTCATTGATTCTTGACAAGGTAATGGGAATCGTATGGTGTCTCAGTCCCCGTCATCTTTTATTATATAATCGTGTGTCAACGATGCACGCGGTTCTGATTGCTTGATTGTGTGGAAGCAATTGATGGTCAGCTGCAAAATGGGTCTCGATACCGATCGCTCGCATTCTCTAATTACTACCTTCAAAATCGATCTTCCATTTTCTTCGTCCATTTAAATACTGGATGGAGAATCGACAGAGAGGTTTTAAACAGGGCCGGCCCTGAGATTTCGGGAGTCCGAGGCGAACTTCAAAATAGGGTCACTTCGCATACATGACATAAAACAAAGTAGCTCAAATAAAATTTATAAAATTAACGCTTGTGTAACTAATTAATATTCCATTAGACGCAAAATTGTCTTATGGGGGCCCTGGACCTTGGGGGGCACTAGGTGGCCGCCTAGTCTGTCTAGGCCCAGGGCCGGCCCTGT